CTTCCGACTTTTCTGCTGACAATTGGCCTCTCACATAAATAGGATTCTTCTACGTCATTAACCACGGCCTCAGTCCCGAGGATATCGATACACAGTTCGCCATAAGTGCTTCCACTCTCTCCCTCACCGTCGAAGAAAAGACTCCCTACCGTGCCGCCCTCGAGAAAGGCGATTACAACGGCTGGAAGCCTGCGGGAACACGCGACCTCATTCCAGGCGTGAAGGACAACTTTGAGATATACAACATCCCAAAATTCAATGGGAAACACACCGGACGCGCGCACCCAGCCCCAGTTACCGAACACCTTGCTACTATCGAGAAATTCTCCAGACACATCCACGACCACATTGTCACAAAACTCCTCGTGATCTTCGCTCTCGCCTTGGAACTTGAGGATGAGAACTGGCTGGTAAATCGGCATCGCTACGAGCAGGAAAGTGGGGATCATTTGCGTTATATGAAATATTATCACCGCACGCCCGAGGAAAATGAAAAGCTCGGCGGCGTCTGGCTGAAAGGGTATGCCACCGCAGCTGCCATGGTATAAGGTCTACGACAAAGTTTGGCTGACTGTAGTGTAACAGCCATTCAGACATGGGAAGCCTGACTCTACTCTTCCGCCAGCCCGTTGCTGCGCTACAGGTTTTAGGCAAGGACGGTTCTTGGAAATGGGTCCGTCCTCAAACCGACGCACTCACCGTCAATATAGCCGATGCCCTCCAGTTCCTCACCAGTCAGTTCCGCCTCCTCCTGTCTGTTCCCAAGAGAATATTAGACGTGGGGCCCATGAAATGATGAAAAAGAACTAACGGAAAGAGTTACCACAAGATGGCTTCCTCAAATCTAGCATCCACCGTGTTGTTGCTCCGCCGAAAGACCAAGCACACATTGATCGCCTCGGGGTCCTCTACATGGTCCGTATCGAGGATGACATCGATCTCCTCCCCATCCAGGAATCTCCCGTTCTCCAGCGCCTTGGTCTTATTGGAGACAAGGTTCTTGGCGACGACGGTAAACCTGTGAAGGCTGGCGAATGGGTAAAACAGCGAGTCATCCGTAACCTGGGCGCTGATACCGGTAGCGGAAAGGGTGACAATGAGGAAGCTGAGGTGGAGATTATTAAAGGCGTCAAAACGACTTACTACAACTAGGCTATGATTAATGAAATCAACATTGGAGCTAGAATATCGAGATAGGTTGATGAATGACGAGCCCACATACGATTCTGCGGCCGAAATTTCAACGACTTTTACATTCCGGCCTGGCTATTTTACTTTGTTCGAGCGAAGCAGATGACAAATATATTTGAGAAATTAAATACCATTGTCTGTATCTAATCGAGAGGCAACTACTGGTCAAATTCAACTCCAATATTTGATATGGTCTGGGTATTACTCATAGCCTAGAGCAAAATGCGACCTGCACGATGTTATCCTTTTTGATAGGTAAGAGCTTAAGCACCTCTTGCTTTTCTATAGTATTAGTATTAGTAGGAGCTATAGGTACAAGAGTAGCTATATCCTTATTAGTAGTACTAATTTCACAGCGCCTAAGAAGGGTTCATATATGATTGAGATTGTAAGTTATATGAATTCAACTGAGGCTGTTTCAAGAGCGCCAAACATTTCAGCCTTGCAAACGGACAGGTCAAATCAAATCAATCAACCTGAAACTGATGGGGTATTTAGCTAATTACACATTGAATACCGTTATTGCCTGGAGAAAACCCCACTAGCCACGATACCCAACGAGCCGGGACTAAAACCTGGTTGCCAGAAAGCAAGAATCCTCTAGTAAAAATGTCTTACAGGAACCCAGGCTGCCACACATTATACTGGCACATATTGAATACTCAAACACAATCCAAACGCTTCTGATACGATAGGGGGGTTCCCCAGCCTGTCTACTTGCGGAGAGGTCAAAGACACAGCTAAGCCTCCACCAACCTGTGGCTGAATCTGCCTTGTTTGCGCGTTCTAGACCTACAAGAGAATATAGATCAACTAACCCACCCTCCGCTAGCACTATTCATGTGCTTTTCCCCTCAGTTGGACTGCGCATTTGTGCTCCCGCCCGGTTACTCGGCCCACTAGTCGCATGAGGCTGAAATGGACCGGCAAAGTTAGCCGTGAGAGCCCTCCGCAAATCCGCAATTGTCGGGGTAATTTGCATAGATATAACTATATACAATAGCAATAGCTTATCCTGAACGGAATTATTTAACTACAACGAATGGCTATTGCCGATTGCGTTATCAGTTGCAGCGAATAGGTAGAAAATATAGCTGATTGCTGTTGCTGAAGGCCCTTAGTTGCGGTGGCTAAGTAAGACATATATCTGCTGGATGCAGCTAGACGAGCAAACCGTTGGCTTTATCTATGAATGTCAGGCGTATCGCGGCATGTTGTGCCGATGTAGTTCAGCTTTGGGTCTGGCCAGCTGGGTGAAAGAGCCACTATTGGCATTAGCGGCACGCCTTCTACTACCCGTGTTACATTATACATATAGATTCCAGCTAGGAGAGTGTAGGGAGAGAATCAGCTGACGTGTATCCAAGATAGAGTCCCGTCAATGGGCATATAAAGGAGGAAGACGGAGGCGTTTGGTGGTGAGTTTGTCTCGGAATCCCTCTCGGCAGCTGAACACTTCGCCTTACAAACTCCACCGTGGCATCAAAAGCCACCCCGACTACTGCAAACCGCTAACATGAGCAACAACACTTCCGGAAACGATGAGGAGGCAAAGGCATTCGAGTACTGGGGCAAATTCGTCCCCGACCCGCCGCAAGGAGATCCGGACCTGGTGGTTGATTCTTTCAGGTTTAGCAGGCTAATCATTGGTACGCATCTGTCAAAGTTTGTCTTCAGGTGGCATTCCGTACATACTCACACCGCCGTACAGCATTGACCGACCTCCTGGTGTCCTCTTGCCCCGTCCCGAACAATACCTTGGAAAAGCGCGGCGCAAAAGCCTACCTGAACCCAGAAATGATGCGGCAATGGGATAGTCTGCTCGACTTTGAAGAAGAGTTCACTCCCGCCCAGGCCGAGTACCTCGACGAGCATACGCGTGACAAGATTTTGTCCCTGAACTACAAAATCTTCAACCTGGAGCACGACATGTCTACTCGACGCATCCCGGACCTAGGGCCGAAGGGAAACATGCCTTATTTGACGAGGGGAGGCTTTGCATTGTCGATCGTGGTGAATTGCATGGTTCTCCCAGTAAGTTTTCTTGTCGCCTCTACCGGTCAAATGCCGCCTTTGTTGCACGCGCGTGACTTGACATGCAAATGATTGATGACAACACAGCCATTCGAGGAATGACTCTTGTGGATCAACAGATGATTGCTAACGACGTGGCTTGGCGCTCTTCACATAGGATACCTTCCTCAAAGCATTGAACAAGGTCATTCTCGACGAGAGCCTCTACATTGTGGACCCATTTTCCGACGAACGGTTCAAGTATGCCATCCCGAGGGCCTCTTTACCAACGCCACCGGACGCAGCCAGTCTCAAGATCATTAATGATAAAATCAAATTGTACCAGGAGAAGAGGGCAGAAATCTTGGCCAAGCGCCGTGCTGACGCCATTGCCACTGGTGACCTGAGCGAAGTACAGAGGAAGGATGTTCGAGACAAGATGGAGGCCCGTGGACTCAATACGGAGGGCTTGAGCATATCGGACATGCTCACGATGATGATGAATCAAAGCGCACAGAACAGCATCAACACGAGCTTGAACGCGGCGCGAAATACGCAGATGATGACCATGGCGAACCAGATGGCGTTGAATGCACAGATGCAAGCCGTGTCAGTGAACAATGCTTATGCCACCATGGGTGAGTCGACGCCTCGTCTTCGGCAGCTGCCTCGCTGTATCTTGGAAATGATATGTTTGGCTAACTGGGTTCCCAGCTTCTGGTATTTTCTAGAGTGTGACATCAACCTGGAAGAGTCGGAGGTGTTTTAGGAGGGTTTGAGCATGGTACGTTATAAGAAGCCGAGGACCTGAGACAACTTGGAATCGATAATAGTGATGAAGACTGTTCTATCCTTAATCTAAGTTTTCAGCCACTCGAAGATCGTAAAGAAGGCAGTAAGGAATACAATAGTTGCTCTCATGCATGCTTATGTCCTCGGAGAGGAAACGAATATAAATATAAGTAATAATTAAGATTAAATACATCTATATACAACCCTTATTCTTGTTGACCTTTATGCTGGTTAACTATCTATAAGCTTTAATATTCCCGTCAGAAGCGTGCTTGCCCAGCCACTCCAGTGTCCCCATGCCCAACATCTCGAGGACGGTGATGTCAAACCCAAATGTTTGTCTCCACCAGCTTCGCATCTCTACTCCAACTAGAGAATCAAGCCCGAGAGATGAAAGAGAAATAGTTGTATCAAGCTCATCTTCAGACTTGAGTAACTAAACAGTTTCGACCAATCTCGACAGCTAGAAGTTGCACAGACTCATTCGCCTTCAGCATTGATGCATCCTTCTTCGCATTACTTAGGAAGGGTTTGAGCACGTCTCCACTAGAGCCGGACCCATCTGATGCATCACAGGATGAGTTGTGATACACGGCCATGCGTCTGTCATTCTTCAGAGAGCGCGGCTTTCCGGGCTGCTCAGGGGTGTTTCTGAGAGAAGACCAAGAATAAGATTACTCCGATCGACAAACTCGGCCTGCTGAGCATTCTTGGCAGGCTCGGGCTTTACGATTGATTTTGAAACAACACCCATGGAGACGGCTTCCAGAACTTCCAACTCAGTAACACCCTTTGGACTCATCTCTTGCGACATATCCAGCGTCGCGCACCGCTCCCAAGTCGATAGAGGTGGCAGGAAGTCCAAGGCTCCGCCTATACTGAGCAAAGGCGTGAAGGAAGGTGTTGGCGCATGCATAGTTGGATTGGCCTGCCAGTCCGGTGGTTCCTGACATGGATGAAAAGCAGATAAAGAAGTCGAGGTCAATCTTGGCTTCAAGCGTAGCATGGTGCAAGTTCCACGTGCCTTCGACCTTGGGTTAAATGGTTGTTCTCCAATCCTCAACCTTCATCTGGGCAAAGTTCTCATCTCGCAAAACCATCGAGGCTTGCAAGACACCTTTGAGGTTCTGTGATACCGAAACAGCTCGAACCACGTCGTCTCTGTTGTTGACACTCCCCTTTACCAGTTGAACTTTGCACCCCTAACTTTCAAGTTGAACGACAAACGCTTAATCATCAGGCCCGCTCCCGGTACTGCGCGAAGTGGCAAAATATGGCGAGCACCGTGTTCAACGAGATATCGAGCCACTGAACGTCCTAGGTCACCAAGACTATTGCAGGAGCTCATCGACGCAGCAAAGGAGATCCTTACTCACGATAACGCACTATTCATCATAGATGAAGCGTATGGTACTGGAATTCTTGGACCAAAAGGATTGGGCCTCGTCTGCGAGCTCGGTCTTGAGAAGGAAGTAGGCATCCGCCTGCACACATTCCCCAAAGCCTTGGACTCTACTGGATGTGAGTTTTACTACAATTGGTCTGATGACTTTTGGGTTGGAAGTGCTAACTACAGATGTATTCTAGCGGCCATTCTTGCTAATGAAACGGTTCAAATGATGCTCATGAACAACGCACAAAGTCTTTTAATCACTGGCGTTCCATCTTTCCCTATGCTTGCCTCGATCCGAGCAGCCTACCGACTCGTTCGAAGTGCATCCACGATTGAAGTAAGCATAAAAATAACCTTGGAATCTAATTTATCTTCAATTGTCTGACGGATGATTTAGTCCTAAAACAAGGTTCAACACTTCGTTAAGCTTTTCTTGACAACGATTCGATCCCACCCGGTTTGGGAGCGCGCCAGCAGCTTGGGCATTCTCCGTATTCCCCTTCATGAGGGCGACGATGACCCTGATCTTGTCACCCAAATCCTCCCTATCTGGACACGTGCAAAGCACAATCTTTACTTGGCATTTCATGTTAACCAGGCCAATTTCTCGGGCTACCCGGTCGTTTTTCCAGTGGTGCCCAAGGGGCAGGAGTGAGTACGCTTCCTTTTCCAAGCTGCGCAAACGGACCAGCATGTCAAGGCTTTCGTGGATTGTATTTGGCCTTGGGCTGAGGAGGTGCTCGAAATTGAAGATTCTGGTGACCACAACAGGCTTCCAGTGACCGCTCGTAATGTTTATGCAATTATGAGTGAGATAGAAAATAAGGCTAAATAAATACTATCATATTTTAGATTGATTTTACCATTTTGTTATTTGATATCAATTATACTAAGCTGCTTACTAGTACTAGCCGTCCTACTGTTTCGTGATTTGCATTCGACCATATTTATCCACGTGGGCACGCTCATTCCGGAAGAGAGTAAGGGAGCCACCCTTGAAACTCCAATCTAGATCCACGCCTGTCTTTCCATGTGCCTCCTCCATCTCTTGACGTGTCTTTGTCTTTGACTTTCCGTTCTTGATGCGCTGCTTTTCAAAGAAGACATACCCGGCATAAAATGCTGGGCTTGTATTGCCATCCATGAGGTGTTTCTGCTTCATGAAGGTGCCTAGATTTCGAGAAGTAACTTGGCCTTGGCTGCCGGGAAGCATCTTGGAGAGAGCCCGGCTCAGGGCTGCCTGCGTAACCCCCTTCGCAAGGAGAGCTCGCATCTTGCGCCGGATCTCTCCACACGTGTCATATACTGGGATGCTCCCTGTATCCTCGCCAGGTAGTGTCACATCACCTGTGTCAAGGAGAGCATCGCTATCTGCTTTCTTGCTTGCGGTGTGCTTCGCCGTCTTGTTTGGCCGCTTTTCGCCAGACGTAGCGCTATTGGACTTGCGTTTTGTTCCTTGTTGTGGGGGATTGGAGGGTTTGTTAGGATCTCTATGGCTGAGGGGGATAGGAGCAGAAGTAGCCGGCATTTCGAGAGTGGAGGCGGGTATCATGATTGCAGCTAATCCGGGGTGAAGGGTAGAAGCAGACAATAAACATTGGTTTCAGGGGATTATCCAATGCAAGTGTCAAGGTGCGATGGTGATTCCAATTGCATTTCAATTCAATGGCAGTTGATTGAATCAAGGCAGCTTCTTCCCCTCGGCATGCCCATACTTTATACCAGGCTCACTCTATGTCAAGGTGAAAACATTAATGATGTCAATAGTCTACAGGGTCAATCAATCAATGATCTCAACCTTGACGTCAGTTTGTTTACTCTTGGCGATCTTTCGTAGCTTCGCCGCCACTGAAAACGCGCTTTGACTAAAACAGATCGGCGACGGGAAGTCCAACCTGGGCTTGGCTTGCCACCTTTTCCTGGCATTGGCCAAAGATTTAGGAGAGTTTGATCATTTTTTTTACAATTCTTGGGTTGAAGATCGAGATTTGACTAAATGAGATCATAGGATAGCTAGTCTGTTAATTGTATAGTCTATTAAAGAAGTCTAGATTTCAATCACCCGCTTTCTTTGCCCCTGGCCAACAACGTGCTTTGAACAACCGCACCCTCTGCTAGTTTCAACAGACTTCCTTGCCCAGTAATATCAAATATCGGAATGTCTGCCTTGAAAGTCTTTCCAAACCAGGATCGGATCTCCACGGCCAGTAACGAGTCAACGCCATAGGTATGTAAAGGCTTATTTTGATTAATCTCCTCGGGCGCGATGGCGATCGCCTTGGAGAGCTTTTGTATCAGCGCCTCGGTCACAATATCAGTAGCCTCAGCTTTCGAAGGGGCCCGAACAAACTCATCCGCCCAATCTCGATCGAACGTCGTGGACTTGGAGTCGGCGTAGCCGTTTCTATCCTCATCAGGGTACCTCGGCAGTGCCCTAAGAAGTGGCCGATCGAGAAGCCAGTCCGGGGGTACGATGCCTTTGCTCCTGATTTGCGCAGGTGTCACCAGACCCATCACCACCTGCGCCTCTTCAGGTGTCTGGATGTCCAGGTCTGGGTTGCAGTAGCGATCGAGTAGTGCCAGAAACTCAGTTTCAAAAATGGGAGCAAGGTCGCCGGCTGCCTCCTTGCCTTTAGCCAAGCCTGCGTTCTCAGCTATTACGCCCACATCGCCCATCCACCCGAGATCTATTGATATAGCTTTCTCACCGAGAGCCAGTCTATGCGCGGTAAGTCCATCTTGATACGTGTTTCCAGCTGCATAGTTGGCTTGTCCTAACGATCCAGCAACGCCGGCCACGGACGATAGGATGATGAAGAATGAGAGACCGCGAGGGAGCTCTGAATGGAGATTCCAAGTGCTCAGGACCTTGGAGCGGATGGAAGTAGACCACTGGTCCCACGTCATCATCTCGAAGAGTGAGTCCTGCACTTGTTTTAGTCGGGCTCTGAGACATATAGATGAGAACTACGTACCTGAAGGGCTATTGTACCTTGTATACAGCCTTTGATGGGCGGCAGGTCCTCACACTGCTTCAATGCCTCTCCGAGCGAGTCGGCAAGAGAAACATCGCATTGTGGTGTTTGTACAATTACTCCGCTGTCTTGAAGCTCTTTGACCAAATCCTGGGATGCCGTGGATTTGGGTCCCGATCGTAAGAGCAATATTAAAAAGCGGGCACCTTGACTAGCCATCCAACGGGCTGCACTGCGACCTAAGCCTCCGGGAGATGATAAAGTCAGATCCGGTATTGACACTGGTTGCTCCAGTGTTCAAAGCTCGAATATTGATACAATGGCCGTCCGTGACCAATGGATCCCAGGCCTTGCTCATTGGCTGGCAGGAGAAGATCTCGAGGAAAATGAAGGCAATGTAACTAACAACGTTGGCCACTATGATGAACATTGTGAGCCAATACAACGTAAATGGCGTTTTCGTCGGCATGAAGATTTGGATATCTTGCACGAGAATCGACAGCTTCATGAAGCAGATGACGAGATCATAGACAATGGACGCATTGTGGTACCACTTCATATAATGGGCGATTTTGTGAGTATTTCTCACAGGCCCAGGGGCGTAGGCGGTAGAACACACGTAGAGGAAATGTCCATAATCTCTCAAACTAACGTTCCATTGATGGACTCCCGGCGCATAATGAGTGACTTTATATGACAATATAAGAAAGACTACAAAGAGGGCCTGGGGATGGAAAATGTTAGCGAGTGGCCTAGCGCATCGGAATTGGTCGCATGCTTCACTACCCAGCCGACTAGAACGAAATCTATGCATATGTGAGTCCGTGCTCGGCATTGAATCCAATGTATGGATATGATGACTTGCAGTCTGACCAGTTGACTTGTTTCGTTAACCTGGCTCTTGAGTAGAGGCGTAAGGCAACGGCCAGTATGGCAACTAGTATGGACAAAACCGCCATAAGATAGGACACCAATTTCTGAGCAGGTGGGCGCTCCAAATTGGATGTCTGCCCCTCCGGCGGCTCCAGGGCCGGTCCGTCAAACTTGGCTTCGATTTCGGACGCGGTTAGGCCGTTGAGAAAAGATGGAAACATTTTAGTGATACCAGTGAATGAATAGCTTTGCTTACGACAAAAGGAGGGAAAGATAGGAATCCATCAAGAGAGCCTCTTGAGTTAAATTCCATGATGGATCTTCACAAAAGTGCTTACAGTATAATGTGGTTGTAATGGGATTCTAGAAGGCATCCGAATCAAGGACGACCCCCTGCGGCTATAGAAAATGAGGATTCAAGTCGTCCTCCACTGAAACAGTGCTATTGAGCCTCATGTCACCCGCACCTAACCCATTCCCACCCTCCTAGGTATTTTTATTGTAGTTATATTGCATAGGTAGGTAAGCATACGCAATAGTCATACTCTATTTTCAAATCTTCCCAATGGGGAAGCATTCCACGGCTAATCCCTGACCCTGCGAGATTGTTTCATGCCGGCCTGCAGTTCTCGATCTGTATCAAGTATTGCTCGTCGTTCTTAGCACTCCCTTACCAGACGTCTGCAGCTTGCCGCCTACCATCAACAATGAGAGCTTATCTCCGAGCAATATCATACGACCTTTCGTATGGAAACTGTCCTCCGACGCCCCCGTTCCCCCCAAAAAGTGCCAGGTTCCCTTGACAGCATGCTGCAGTATTCATGTTAAGCGATGAGTTGTTGCCATCCAGCCCACTCAATACGAAATTAGGTATCATTGCAACACCTCCCGGGGTGTCGGGCATAAAATGCTGACTGGAAGCTTTTGACTCGTGGAAGCAAAATTCGTTTGGTTTGTCCTTCTTGCAACAATTTCCATGACCTATCCTATCCATGAATCAAATTGCCGCAATGTCGCAAAAAGATCAGGATCAGAAGCAGGATGCTACCTCTATCACCGATGAAGCCGTGCAAACGCCCCAGGCTGCTGAACAGGCCATTCTGGGAGCGACGAGCAAAGAACATGAAGATAAGCAGCATTATCTCCAGGGCTTCAGACTCTACCTGATCATGGTTTCGTACGCGTTCCCAGTCCCCCTCCTCACCGCTATGGAAGAAAAACAAAACAACGAAAGGAAAGGCGTCTAATGAACCATTTATAGACTTTGTTTGTGCTTGTTCCTCACCAATTTGGAAATTCCTATCGTCACAACATCTCTCATTGGCATCACCGACGATTTGGGTGATTTCAACAAAGCCAGTTGGATTATTTCATCCTACTTGCTCGGCTACGTTGGTTTGTTCACTTGAAACAAGTCCCAGCAATGACCCAGAAGCTAATTCACCTTAGGCGTCTTGATTATCTTCTCCAAACTGAGTGACGTGTTTGGTCGCAAGTCAATCCTAATCCTTGTAGTTCTCATCTTCATAATATTTTCTGGCGCCTGCGGAGCAGCCCAGACCATTGAACAACTGTCAGTAACCCTCTGGCGTGTGAAAAACACCCCCTTGTGTTAGAACAGGACTGAATGAGGCTACAGTATCGTTTTCCGAGCGTTTCAGGGGATTGGTGGCGCGGGCAATTACTCATTGAGCGCAGTAATTTTAGTCGAACTTGTACCATCCAACAAATACGCCAAGTATACCACCTTCGTATCTCTATTCTACTCTCTCTCGTTGCTCCTAGGACCTATTTTTGGCGGAGTCATCACTCAGAATACAACATGGAGGTGGATATTTCTGCTCAAGTAAGGATACCCTACTTCCCACCATGGTGTCGCTATTCTATGCCCTGACCACCTACTAACATGACTTCCTACCTCAGTGTGCCAGCTGGTGCGGTGGCTCTGGGAATCATCGTGTTTGCCATGCCAAACGGATTCCCTTTCCACGGGATACCCAAAGAGCAAAGACCTAATTCTATCCGCGAATTGTCCTCAAAATGGCTACTCGCCCGTTTTGATCTGTTCGGCGCAGCCCTGCTCCTCACTGCCACATTGCTATTAGTAGCAGCGCTCGAAGAAGCAGATGTTCATTATCCATGGAAGTCGGACTTCGTCATCACATTGTTGACCATATCTGGTCTATCTTGGATAGGATTTTTGCTTTGGGAACGCCACATGACCCGAAACGCAAAAGTTTGCGAACCTGTATTTCCTTGGCGCTTTGTGGAAAGTCGGATTCTCCTTGGAATGATCCTGTGAGTTTTTCATGATGTCGTCAAGAACAAGGCTGATCAATCCTCTCTGCAGGAGTGCAATCTTTCTCGGCGGACCTTGGTTCTGTTCCATTTTTCAACTTCCCCAAAGATTTCAAATTGTCAACTCTCTGAGTCCTCTTCAGGCAGGAATTCGACTAGTCCCGTTTACTCTTGCTGCTCCGATTGGCTCCATCGTCTCCGCAGCCTTGGCCAAGGCCGCCAAGATTCCTCCTCTGTACTGGGTTATCTTCGCTTCAGTGTTACAAGTGATAGGGTTTACTCTGTTATCAACTGTGTCAAACTCGCACGATATCCCCGCAGCTCAGTATGGCTATCAATTTATCGCCGGGTTTGGCTGTGGCATAAATATCTCATTACTCCTCGTGATGATCCCGTTCCGAGTCCAAGACAGGGATAAAGGCAAGTACATGACCCTCGTTGTGTCCGCGAAACGAACGGTGGCTAATTGATATCCTCAAAGCGGTTGCATTGGGCTCGATTGGACAGTTCCGTGTGATGGGCGGCGTCATTGGGCTGGCAATAGTCACTTCCGCATTCAATGGGCTTATCAGGAGCCGGCTTGGAGCTCTGATCTCCTCTTCCGAGCTTGATGCGTTGTTGAAGTCTCCTGAATTATTGAGTTCGTTTCCAGCTGATATTCAGGAAACTATTCGATCGACATTTGGGGATGGATATACTCTTCAGATCAAAATACTGGCTGGTTTGGCCGCTGGCCAAATCCCTTCTGCTATGCTTATGTGGGAAAAAGAACACATAATGATCTAGATGACGACGAGCTAAGAAACACTATTTCTGTCTACCATGTCTATAACTGCAGCTTCTTTTCTGCACAGGGTATCGGTCATCTGGAGTTAACAGACATACACTTTCAAGAACAGAATCTTCCAATTTAAAAGAGGTTCCGTTTCATACAATATTGTCTATCCTTACTATACCTAAGAGAAAGAGAATAAAGTTTAACAGCAATGGAAGCTGCCAGAGCCCGACAACTCAACACAATGAATAGTCTATTCTTACTATAGTTCGTAGTGGTTACTTATTCAATCACCCTCGGTCTTGAGTGGACGCTGGCACTGTGACGCTCACACAACTCACTTGTTGGCTTGTAGTAGTATCAATCTTATGAGTACAGAGATTTAGAGAATATTGATTAATATTCAGTCTATGGAGACTCATTTCAAAAAATACTGTAGCGGTCTAAGCCCTATACAATAGTTGGTAGCAAAGCGGGACAGTTCGGTTCTAAGCTTGCAAGGCTTGATGCTGAAGTCGTGAAAGTCACACTAGCGTTTGCATACCGTAAAGAACGTATTTAGTGATAGATCATTCCAAAGCTGAGGGGGTTGCATGCATAGGGGGAATGCTTGGAATGGACTGGCCCCTGAGAGGTGCAGGCCTAGCCAGCGTTAACTGCGTAACCAACATCAAACCGGAGTAAAGCTCCCTAAGCATGCAACAATCAACTGACAGCATAAGTAACTTATCGTTCCACTTTACTCATTGTAGTTCATATCATTCAGGGCTGGAGCCGATCCTTCACCATACTGTCTACGCCGATTTGCTGGCGTTTCGACCGACTACGACTTAGATGGGTACTTTTGGGCTACCGCTTAGCCGTCGACTTCTACTTATGTGCCATCTTAATATAACTGAGGTTGTAGTGTTGGATTCTGCGGGTACATAGTTATTCTATTAATTTGGAACGTCGACCGAGATGTTGATGTGACCCTGAGATTCATTATGCATGCACATAAGCTGAAGACACATTTGCACTGCCTCTGTAGGGTATTTATTGAGCGACGGAAGGTAGGGAACTTCTTGTGCCAAATACAACCTCTAGTACAATAACGAGATAAGCTGATATCACACCATGCGGTTCCTCTGTCTTCACGGAATGGGCACAAATAGCAGGGTAAGAACAAGCATCGTGTCCCAAAATATGACCCCTGGGCACTAACCAAGCTTTGGATCAGATCTTCGAGGCCCAAACAGGTAATTTTCCAACGGCCATTTCAGTTTACTTTCGGCCCACCTATACACGTGTGCTGAATGTGTCTGATTAGCTGCTATCAGATATGGCCTTGGAAGTCTTCACACGTACGAGTACGTTGATGGGGCGCTCCCAACTGCAATGGCACCAGGTGAGATGATCCTTTGGGTTTTCGATGCGACTGCGTTGGGTGCTAGAATCAGGCTCACAATGTGCCCAGGTGTGGGTATAATTTCCGGCTTGGAGGATGAATACCTCCAGTATGGAGACCATACCGTCCCGGGCAGTTATGGTAAGGCTCATCAAGTGCTAGATCCCTCTACGAAAAATACGCCGCTACAGCCACAGCGGGCCAGGACAAACAGTTCCCTCGCCATATTACCATCTTTGACTCTGCCCCTTCCACCAACTTCCGCGTGAGTAAAGCGGTGGCCTTCTTCACCGTTAACCTATCGCCTATACAGCGCATAATCGCAGCCCCTTTCCTCTATTTGGCGGCAGCGGGCTGGACGCTGGTGCTTTGGCTCAGACTGACCGCTGATATACAAACAAGGTCGTGCAATCACCACAATAGACGAGATTTGGTGTCGGAAGCCCGCAGGACTTATATTTACACTGACACGGATGCTATCGTTCATCCAGATGACGTGGAGCAGCACGCGCGGGAAGCAGAGAAGGCGGGCTACACGGTGAGAAGAGAGAAGTTTGTCGCTTCAGGGCACGTATCACACTCTAGGAAGGATGCAACCAGATACTGGGGGATTGTGACAAGTACGTGGGATGGGAGCTACCCTGCAAACTAGTTAGATTGTTCATGTTCACTCACTTCCACTATTTCTTATATTTGTTTCATGTTTGATCCCTCGTCCTTTCCCACTCTTTTTTTTTTCAATAAAGTAATTCAATGATAATTACTCTATCTTCTGTTAGATACATAAGTATCAAACCTAAATGTTGCCGTATGCTTCTCTCCTCGTACCGTATAAAAACCTCCAGTTGTTTAGTATTATTATATATATAGCCCTGCAAAGACACCGTCATGCTACTCTTTAAGTCAAGAGCCCAAAGCAATACTGAAAATGTACCCCCTGGGCTATAAACCATATAAGCAATTCGAAAAATAACTGCCTACTTTTACACCTCTGGATCAGAGCCTATCATTGTCGTGTCTGAGCTTGACCTAAGCAAGCCTCACTCTTTCCAAACCACCGCGTACGAGCGACCAGCCTAGAAATCACTTTTTCATGTCGTCCTCAGCGGCCAAGATAGTCAACAGGAGAGGAAGAGTCAGAATGTTTAGCCATGTCAGATGCAGAACACTTTGGTGGATGACTACCACCGATTAGTATGTTGTTATTGTTATTATTTAACGCTGGTAGATCCCGAGGGCAAAGGGCGCCTATCTAGAACTATATAGCTGCGTAGTAGCGAATATATATATATATATAAACTAGATAGGAGTATAGTATAGGGGTGTGAGATAAGGGAGAATAAGAGTTATTACTCTAATAAAAGTTAGGTTAGTGGAAAAGCTATAGGGTAGTAAAGGATAAGGGAGGTTATTTCCTTTAATAATAGCCTAGAGTAGGTAGAGAGGGGGAGAGAGAGTGAGAGAGAGAGAGAGAGTAAGAGAGAGAGAAAGGAGAGAGAAAGGAGAGGGAGAGAGAGAGTGGTAGTAAGCGCCTAAGGGTAGGTGCTAGAGGATAAAGGAGAGAGTGAGTAGGAGAGAGAGAGAAGGTATATTAATTACACCTTAGTTTAAAGAAGTTAGACTCCTTAGCCTAATAGGTAAAGAGTTTCTATTTTAGTTCTATCGCCTTACTAATTCCCTAGATCTTAGAGGGCTAGAGCTATTTAATAAGATAGTAAATAAAGATATATACTAAAGTCTTCCTATACTTATAGGTATAAAATAGTTTATAGCTCTTATAGTTATAGTCCTTATAGTATCTTATAAAGTTACTATATTTAGTCCTTATAGTTACTAAATAGTATAATATCCTATAAGGGAGGGAGAGTTCTAGGTTCCTCTTAAGGGAGGCCTTAAGTTAGAAATAGAGGTAAGATTCTAATATATTAGATTACTACTAGCCTATTTATACTAGCTTAATTATATAGTTTACCTTCCTTTATAGATAGCTTATTATTAAAGTAGTATTTTTAGGGGGCTTTTATTCCTCTTAGTTTAAGCCTTTATTTATAAGCTTATCTATAAGCTTATTACCTAAGATCTCTAAGTATTTAAGGGACTATTTTATTAAGTACTCTAACTTATACTTATTTATAGCCTTAAAGAATATTTTAAAGGTTTTATAAGAGGAACTAGGTTCTACTCTAAGGAGGTAGTAAATAACTAAGGAGTTATCTAAATAGATAGTAATATATAAAAGTAAGAAGTATTTTATAGCCTTCTAGAAGCTATTTAGAGTGCCCTCTACTTTAGTATTATAAACTTCTATAAAGTTAAGAGGGGTAAAGCTACTATATATAGCCTTTATATTATTAAAGATATTATACCTATATCTAAGGCTAGTATATATATTAAGGTTATAGGAGGTAGAGTAATATAAGCTATTTAAATATATAGTTATTTCTCCTTTAACTCTTATTATAGCTTAGGCCTTAAACTCTATAGCTACTTCTTCCTTATTATTAAACTTTAGTAGAGGGTTATCTAAGTAGCTTAGGATATAAAGCTATAGATACTTCTTAAGATTATCTAGACCTAGGACTATACTAGTAATAGAGGTAAGGTTTATAGGGGTGTGACAGTTGGTTGACTTATACTAGATAGGGTCTAGGGTAGGTTAGGGTTAAACTAATTAGGGTATTACTCTAAGTAGTGTAATTAGGTTATTTAGGTGCTATATAAGTTACTATTAATATATAAGTATTAAGGAGCTAGTTTTAATAAAAGTAATAATAATAATATTAATAACTATTTAAGAAAGTATTTCTATCTAAGAAATAAGTATATATATATACTAGGTAGCTTATATAGGCTTACTAGTAATCTAGAGTAAGTTTATCCCTAGATTATAAAGGCTTATTAGTAATCTAAAGTAATTTACTCTTAATTAGCTAGGATAGAAGAAAAAGTAGGGTATAATATATAACTCTTTATAGTATATATTAATTTATAATAAGGGGTAAGGAAGAAACCTTAAGCCTATTTTATAGGCCTATTATTAAGGAGGACTATAAGTAGGTAGTTTTTATTTAGGCTAAGTAGTTAAATTCCTTAGTTATATCTAAGTTTATCTAGGAGGAGTAAGACTAAAGGGATACTAGATTCTCTATATAGGGTAAGTAAAGGAGTAGATTTCTATACTAGGATATAGTGTTTAATAATAGTATTAAGAAGGACTTAAATCCTCTACTTTAGACTAACTAGGCTAATATAGGAGGGAGCTTTTATTAGTGCTTTATTCTTCTTATTCTCCTTAGTATATCTAGGATACTAGATCTTAATACTAAAGAATAATTTTAGTAAAATTATTATTATAATAGCTTTCTAAATAGCTATAGGAGGGGTATTAGTTATTATATAACTTAAGGACTAAATATAATATAATAGTACCTATATAATAATAATCTATTTCTTAATATAGAACTTAAAGGAGAGCTTTTAATCTAGCTAAATATTAAGCTACTTAGTAGCTAGCTCTTTCTCCTTTTTATTCTTAACCTTTATCTTTAGTTTAATAATAGTACTATAATAAGTAACTATATTCTTAGGGGTATAATTCCTATAGATAAAGTATATAATTTTAATTTTCTTTAAGCTAAAAGTTATTCTAGACTTATCTCTATATATAATTAAAGAGTTAATTTAGCCTTAGATAATTATAGTAAATTCCTTAGTAGTCTTTACTATTATAGTAATAAGCTAATTATCTATATATTTAAATATTATAATACCCTTCCTTATATTAAAGAAGATAGTAAATAAGATATAGAAGATAAGGGAGGCTAGTAATCCTTATAAGGAGCTACTTATTATATCTTATATATTTATTAAGATTATACTAAGCTAAATAGTAGCTTAGTAATTAAGATAGAAGTTAAGGGCCTATTTATATATATTAAGGGGCTAGCCCTAGTTAACTAGCTAGTAGTATATATAGTATAAGAGTATATAGTTAAAAGCTCCTTTAATATTAAGGGTAATAATAGTAATAGTAAGTCTATAGCTTATTATATCCTTAGCTTAATAGATAAAGGCTTAAATAATATTAACTATAGACCTCTTTAGTAAAGTGCTAGTAATTTAGGGTAGAATAACCTTATAGATAACTATAAGGTATAAGACTCTCTTAGTGATTAATCTCTTAAAGCCCTTACTAATATATAAGAGGAGGGAGATAGGCCTTTATCCCTTTAGGGTACTTAGGTCCTTATTTAGCTTTAAGATTATAACTATAAGTATAATTTTCTAAGGGGCTAAATAGTATCCTATATTAAGGTTCCTTTAGTATAATAGTTAGACTTTTTATCTAATTATAGGGAAGATAAGCCTAAGGAGTAAGACTATAATACTATCTTATCCTAAGGTAGTATTCCTAACTCTAATTAGAGCTACCTCTATCTCCTTTAAGGAGATATAGTTATTCTAGGGAATACTATAGATAAGGTATATTAGAATATCTATAGTATTAAGATCTTTATCTCTATAGGCTCTCTAAAGTAGTGCTTTTATAAGAGCTTCTACCCTTTCTTCAGGGGTACTACTGATTAGTAAAATCAGGCCGAGCCCTTGGTTCGGATAAAATAGCATAAATGAGTTACAGCAAGTATGATATGAGATGTGGGCTATGATCTTAGTTATGGCAGAAGTCTATATATGTAGTTTAGAAGGAGGGATAGCTTTACTAGAAATATTCTTGCCTTACAAAATAAAGAATGGGTCGTTGACTTATACTCTGCGGGCAGTCGTGTCAACTCTGAAGCTTGAATCTTGTGTTGTTTTGTCGATCAGACCACTGAAATAAGGATACAGAAGCCATTTCTGATGGTTAATCATGCTACTCTACCTACTTACGATGCACCACTGTCTAAATAGGTTCCATGAGAGTGAGTAGAAATTGCATGACAGACATAAATTCGACCACAAGCGCGAGCCATTTTTATACACATTGGAAATACTACTCAAAGAAAGCAAACAGGCCTTGTTGATTCGTTCTGGATCGCCGCTGGACGCATTAACTTGAGAGAATTGGATTCCCTGCTAGGCACAAACATGGTCGTTCTATCCTTCCAGTATGTACTGCCAGGCCTGATGCCTATTATCACATGTCCAATTGTCACCAGGTCTCTCCTCTAGTAGGTACCCTTTTGATAATGAAGTCGATGTAATCTCATCGCTCTTGCGGTTCCAACTTCTATTTGGGTGAATGTAACTGCATCAAAAGCCAGCCGCCGCAATGCCAAGTGCTTATGTATAAACCTGCCCATTGAAACTTTAATCTCTTTCGCAGACTCCTCAAAAGTCTTTTCGATGACTTCCAGTGATCGGAGCTCGGGATGAACATGATCGATCGCCCTTATCCAATGATCAATAATACGGCGACTGAGATGTAAATGTTGTTTTTTGCTACATCTCCAAGTGATTGTAGGCTGACGCTGTTCAATTTTGTACTGAAAAAGGTGGGCAATGCCCTCTGAGCAAGAACCCCATATCTCCATGAATTGTAGCTTAGGCATGTTTGGCACCGCTCCTACGGCTAGTTGAAGGAGATGGCGTATAGCTCCGATATCTGACATCGAAAATGTCATTGATTTTAGACAAAGTTGTTGGAGATTGTTCCACCGATATCGGGGGGCCGTTGAGATGGTCGCAGCCCGGTCATCTCCCGACTCGAAGCGATGAGATTGAAGACCATCCAGGAATGCGATGGCACTCATTTGACTGCTGGCGCTGAACCGGGATAGTTTTCTCCTACCAATTTGGCTGCTGACCATAGCCTTTGCCAACTCCTCCTCCTTAAAGGCAATTATCTTTGGTGGCCGATGGTGTCCACAGATGAAGCGGTTGCCCATGCGGAGCTGTTCCAAAGAGGACGGTAGAGAGGGTATTAGTGTTTTGGTAAAGTCTGAGAATGGGTTGTTATTAGCACAGATTGAAGGAGGCCACCTTGCATTGCAGTTCACACCTCACTTACCATCGACAAACCTCTCCTCATCACGAAATTTTATTGCTCGACATCTCTCAAATCGGATCCATTTCAAGGCTACCAGACTTTGCCTCAGTATTCGCGCTAACGATCTTACCTCAATACTTCGATATGTATAGGGAGGAAGATGAAGCCCCGTTACAATAGGAGCCTTAGGAAGAATCGGTAGTACCGATCGCAACATAAGAGGTGTACCATATAACCTCGTTGCGCCTTTATATCGCTCCCTAAAATCCCGACTGTGTCCTTGGATTCGGTTATTCTCTCGTCTCGCCTTTGCGTCTTGATATACCGATATGGGGGGCATGGTTTTATTCAGATCATCTGCAGTGCGAAATGGAAAATCTTGCTCTAGCCGACTGGTAAAGAACATATGCCGATTATCGCTTGGTGATGAAATAACAATTTCAAGGGTTAGTCCTTGAGAAGATCTTCTAGCATACCCATGCCTTTTGGGTTTCCAAAGGGAGAGAGCCTTGAGCAGATGTCGGATGCTAGTGGAGAATATCTCGTTGTGTCTTCATGGTGCAGATTAGTAAAAAGTCATCACAATAACGTGCATAATTTTGGGGGTATGCAGTTGATAGAGAGAAATGATAGGATGAAGTAACAAGAAATCCACATACCTGTTGATTGTATTTTGATCTTCTTCTTCCTTACAGTCATCACAGTTGTACTCTGGCAACTGAATGTGAAGTAGGACGTGGTGCACATAGGCGAGTCTAACAGGGCTTCTCTCTACCACCTCCTTGAATACCGGCAAGTCTGAATCAACAAGAATCAACTGCTTGAATGTATTTCTTTCAAAGAATACCTTCCATTCCAGACACACAGTAGCCAGGAAGCTGATATTATGATAAGGTGTTGCACCAGGGGCTGAGTCGTTGGCGGCGTACTTATTCGCTCGTGAATCTACCAGGATTGTATGTAGAATCATATCCCGAACCTCAGTGTGCAATCGATGCCAAGAGCGACATAGCTCTGACTCAATCTTGGCCATAGACCTTGTTTTGACCATTGTTGTATAGGTTTCTCACATGTGAAACAACTTATAAATCTAGTTTTTTTTTTCCAAGAGGGAAGGAGAAAAACGAAGGGGGGGGGGAGAAAAAGTTGCAGTAGATTGGAATAGTATGCAGTACAGGGCAGCTTATTTATAAGAGAAGATATAATTAAGTAAACCGACATTAGATTTCCAAAAGTCATTTCCCTCTTGCCTTGGTCGGTCACGAAAGTATATGTACTTTTCCCCACTCTGTTTTGAGCTATATTTTCGTTTGATCCGATACTTTCTATGCTGAAGCCATACTCAAAACTTAAAAACGAGATATCTTCACGTGGCGGGAGAGTGAGCTGTACAATCTCGAATTTCGTATTATCATACTTGATGTCTTAACGTAGCAAGTCAGTTTTGAATGCGCCGAAGATCAAGAGACAAAATTCAAAGATCCATTGCTCCATTGTTCAAGCCTAGCCTCGGGCGGGTAGGAAGAATTCATCTAGATGTCTTAGTGCGTTCAAGTCCCCCATACACAAGGCGCGCGTTAAGGTTGGGGCTACAATCGGGATGGTTCATTACTTGAGGTGGCGGTGGTATTGAACTTTACTAGTTGGTATTCTTTATTTACTTATTAATGTGAGATTGAACTTTATGGTGTGTGAGACGTAACTGTCAATGGAGCCTTGTGTTGGGGCCTTGATCTGTTCAAGCATCAGGCACAAAGAACCTTACTATTAATTACTATGATATTTAAGCAAGTTGGATCATATATGAGACATCCACATGAGAGGTTCACCCCTCGATTCATCGTGCTTAATCGTCCTTGACAAAGAGGATGGATTGGCCATCTAACTTGAAAGGGAAGAGTTTGCCTTTTTCTTCAGCGGTGGAAATGTGTGAATTTAACGTGAGTGATGGATGTCTTTGCGTAAGACCACAAGAGGGAAAATGACTGTTCCTCACTAATATATCACTCTTTGCTATCCATCCTTTTTCGTCTACCTAGGCAGATAATGCCAACTTTTCTCAATCCAGAGAGGAGGCGGTCTTAACCATTCAAGACATCGTGAAATCTCCCCGAATACGACCAAAAGAAAAATTACACTGTACTATTGAAATAACGAGGAACGTGGTTAGTCAAGCTTGACGCGCGTCGAAGAATGGTATCCTCCTTCTTGACCAGCTGAGGCAATTAGGGGAAAAGGGAAAGCCCTACCTCTACAAAATCAGGAAATAGCTCACAGAGCCCTCAGCAAGTATTTCGGAAATTTTCGTCATCTTTCCTCTTTTTGCAGGATCATTCCTGACTTTGTGATCGTAAGGGTGAGGAGAAGCACCTGCTACATTTGTAAAATAACCTCCCCAGCGTAGTGCGCTTCCCCCATCGGCAAGCGCTTTCCTCACGATGACTGCGGACGCCTGCTCGTCCTTTCCCCTGTGCCCCAAACACTGGCATTCCATAGGGATTTGGAAAGAGCGTGAAGTCAGTTGGTAACGTCTGGGAATGAAGCTTTGGCCGTTCCCATTTGCTCTGCATCTCACAACAACAGCAACAACAACAACCACAACAACAACAACAACCACCACAACCACAACAGCAACAGCAGCAACAGCAACAAGACCGAAGAAGAAGAAGAAGAAAAAGAAGAAGAAGAAGACGACGACGACGATGACGACAGGCCGGGCCCTCGAGGCCTTTGATGAAGGAGTGGCCGCTGCTGCGGCCGGCGACGAGAGGACTCGTCGCCGGGCACGTCGGGCCCTTGTCCGGGCGTGTCAGGAGGAGGAGCGGAGGGTGGAGAGGGAGGAGGAGAGGATAGAGAGGCGGAGGGAGAGGGAGGAGGCGGCGGCGGCGGCGGCAGATGCTGCTGCCGTACGGACGAGGGAGCTGGCGGTGGCCAACCGCGAGGCGGAGGTGGAGGCGGCGGAGGAGGCCGTGGAGATGCGGGAGGAGGAGGTGACGGCGCGGGAGGACGCCGTGGCCGTGCTCCTGGCCGCGTACGACCAGGAGCAGATGGCCCCTGGTGGTGAAGAGGGGGATGACGAGGCCGAGCAATGGCTCTCATAAAGGTAGGTCCTTTCTTTTGTTTTTCCTTTGTCCGTTTTTTTTTTCTTTTTTTCTTTTCCTTCTGTTTTGATTTCCTTTCCTTACAATATTTTTAACCCGCCCATGTTGTCTGCCTCTCCGTGGCGGGCGGGAGTAACTCTTGGGGTGGCGCCCAAGAGGCCAAAGACAACCTCTACAAACATCATCCGAAAGCTTCTCTTTCTCAGCAGCTTCTCTCTCGGCAGCTTCTCTCTCGACAGCTTCTCTCTCTCGACAGATTCTCTCTCTCGACAGATTCTCTTTCTTCACAACTTCTCTCTCGACAGGTTCTACTTATATTTCCCATCTGTTTGGTCCGTCATCGTGAGCTCCATCACGGCTTAGCATGACCTTTGCTGTCCTGCTTCTTTGACTCTCGGGCTATTTATCAAACTTCTGCTCCGTTAATTTCCGTTGTCTAGGGCGTCTCTTCAGGTCTCTTCTTCACGCTTCGGTCTCTTCTTCACGCTTCGGTCTCTTCTTCGCCAGTTGCTTGCTGCCAAGTTGGTTGTTGTCAACTTTTCTGGTTTGTTGTTGTTTTGTTCCCATTACGTTGCTTAACCATCATCCACTCTGATATTGAGACTTTGAATTCATCTCCCCATTCTTTCAAATGTTAGACCGTCTGCCATCTACCTCAACGCTATTACCCGGGTTGCCACAGAGCTGAACGCCAATTGTGGTAAGAGTTGAACAACTCACTCGATGGCCTTTGGCGCAAGTTTTTATGAACTAACCACGAAGCCAAACTAGTCAAAGCAAATTTTGCCGCCCCTTGGCGCAGAAGTTAATGAGCTTTTGTCAGGTACAGATGCCCGACTTGATGATAAATGAATTGCACACTCTCGCGTTGTACATAGCAATAATATAGCCCTATAACCACCCAATTTACTTAGTTCGTTCGTTCATAAAAGCCTCAATCAATCTTCAAGTTGACACCAATGCACCATTGACCCTAACCGATCATCAGATAGTAACCTGACATACACTTCGTTCTCGCTGCTTATGTGTAAATAAAGCTAGACTGTTTCACAAAAAGTCCTATCCGCTTACCCCTGACATTGGAATTCTCACTACAGAGACATGGGACCTGTTAAAATACCCCTTTCTAGGACCAGGTCTGTACATATTTAGTCCCCACTAAGTTGAGGCCAACAGTTGTGATTCCGCATAACTATTATTGAATGCTAAACTCTAGTGAAGTACGGATACGAGGCCGATGAATGATAAGATGATAGATGACTAAACAAGGAGCTGGCCGAAATCATTCGCTTGGCTAACACCTTGCTCTTCTACCCATGCTCAGGTCGCCGCGAACCTTGCACCATTTGCAAGTAGATATTGCGTCTCAGCCCCGAAGCTCCACTTGACTCCTACAAAAGCTTGACTCTACTGGACCTTCTGTGGGCGGAATGAAAACATAAACTTTACACCCTTTCGCGGCGTGACAATCTGCCCGCCTTGGCCATATCACAACCAATCGGCGAGTTTCTTCGTTCCAGTTCTTGGTCTTTGCGCGACCCCAGTTGAGCCCCAGCAAATCAGAAGCCAATGAATACGACGTCGGGACTAGCTCAGTGGGCATATTGTCAGATCTCTAACACAAGACAACCAAGACATGCTTGATGTAGAACAGTTTTCCGGGACGAAAGGTGTAAGGACTGTCGTCGTCTTTGACTTATAAACTGGCTGTTAAGCTCTACACTACTTCTACCTATCCTAACTTCTACAGCACATTCTTACATGTTATCAAAACACAGGCTCCCCTTCCACACCGTTCTACAAAAATGACCGTCGTTCCTCCTGGAGGTCTCGTTCTTGTGACCGGCGTGAACGGTTATATCGCCGGCGTCGTTGCCAAGGCGTTTCTCGACCACGGTTACAAAGTCAAGGGAACGGTGCGCTCGGTTTCCAAGTATGGCTGGATGCCTTCGTATTTCGGCCCCAGCTTCAGCCTTGTCGAAGTCCCCGATATCCATGCCAATAATGCCTTCTCGGAAGCCGTTAAGGGCGTTGACGGAATTGCCCATGTGGCGGCTAGCCTTGACATGAGCCCGGATCCCACCATCGTTGATCGAACGGTAAAAAGTACCATTAGGCTTCTCGAGGTTGCTTCCAAGGAACCAACTGTCAAACGAGTTGTCCTCACATCGTCTGCAAACGCATGCCTTGACCAAATCGCTGGCACCTCTTACAAGATGACTGCTGATATTTACAACGTGGGAGCAATCGAGGAGTCAAAGCAAGCTTGGAACGGAGAAGATCCCATGAGGCGCGGCAAAGTTATTTACGCAGCTTCTAAGGCTTTATCCGAGATGAAGGCATTCGAGTGGGTTCGCGACAGCAAGCCATCGTTTGTCTTCAACTCGGTTGTTCCCAACTTCAATATGGGGGCGCCTGTAGCTCCAGACAAGCTAGGATTTGGTAGTAATTCTGCTATTCTTGCAGCTCTCCTCCGCGGTCAATCATCCCTTCTTGCGATGTTTGGCTCGGAGTGGTATGTGCATGTCGGAGACACAGCCCTACTTCATCTGGGAGCTCTGACAGTCGAGGATGTGCAAAATGAGCGTCTCTTTGCAATGGCAGGTCCGTTCTCTTGGGGCGCAGTTCTTGATATCATACGCAGACGCTTTCCGGAGAAGGAAGGATCTCTGCCAGTAGTTCACGAGGCAGCTATCGACATTGGAGAGGTGGATAACTACCGTTCTGTTGAAGCTCTGCAGAAATTAGGCAAAGATGGGTTCAAAAGCTTGGAAGATGCCGTGGTAGAGACCTTGGAGGCTGTTATTGCCGCTGAGGGGCAGGCTGATACTCCAAAGTCTCGCGCAGAGGAAACGATTGACATGCTTACCAAAAGTGCAGCCCAGTAGACACCTAAAAGCTATGTCCTGAAGATGAGGAGCAGGTTGTCAGTTAGCTAATGAATCTCAATCTCAATCTGTTCGAGCCCACTTTTGTTCGGTCTTGAATGTAATTGTCGCCACGCTTACTTGTTACAAAATTGAGAATTTTACTAAATGAGCAAGTCTACAGCTTCAGCTGCTCCAAATCAGCGCTCTTCTGGGAGAGTGGTCACTGGGGACCCTCAGAGAAACCCCTTTTCCATTGAGACTGTATACGTGCTTCTTCACCACCAAGGACAAGCCTCGGCCGGTAATGAAACAAAAGAATGAACCTAGGAAAGGACTTTCGCGTCACCTGGAGGCAGTGTAAGACCAGGGACACAGTGGAACAGAACTCATGCGCAAGCACAGAGGAGATTCCGACCAAAAGCCAAAAATATGGTTTAAAAAGGACGAGGACTCATAGTCCACGTACCAGGTTTTAAACTGGTAAGAACAGATACTACACTTGATCAAAGCCAAAGGCAAAGAAAGCTAAAGAAGAAAGAAAGAGAAGGAGAGAGTAAAGTTGGAGGGCCGGGCTGAATTTTATAGATGTTTGGGTGCAGGGGTATGAAAGCGCAGTAGCAAAAACCAGCCAATTAGAGAAGGGCGATCCTGCTGCCTGCTGGTGCCTTGCGGCTGACTCGATGTACATCAAAGTGCCCTGTACACCAGGCACCAGCAGCTAGAATGAAAAATGGTATCCGTGATTCCTGATAGGTAGACGCAGATTTGATTTACAATTTTTATACCCAGTACGGAAAGTTAACGTTACTACTCAAGAGCTGGCTGATCGGCGCATAAGAGTCACTTCACACGAAGTCTAATGACCAGATCTTGGCTTGTCGACAAGTGGGTATATTCGAAGAAGTGATGCTTCATGATGAAACCAGCCCATCATGAATGCTAAAACCTCTTTTCCTAAAAATACTAGAGAAGGCGTTCAAAAAAACGAGGACAAGAAAACACAAAACCTAGGTTGAAAGCAAAGACCAGCCGCTTCCCCAACTTCCGGCCGGTAATTTGGATCTCGTAGACCCTTCATAGATCATCCAGAGAAAAAGTTCCCTGCTGTTCTTTTATTTATCCACCTTGGATAATGACTCAGACCTTACTGGCGAGGAAGTCCGCAGCCTCACCTCGAGCCTCATCATTGTAAGTCAAGTGAGGAGGCGCGACAATCAGGAGTCCTTCGCATACGAGGTCGCCAATAGCGCAGTAGACCTTTGTACGATCGGTGGGATAATTAGGGATGCGGCCATTGTTCTGCTTGTTCTGGGTGTATCCGAAGAGAGCAGCGCCCTTGACTTGATCTCGGGTGGAAGAGTCGAGATCACTGATTGCGGCCGCTATGAGAGCAGCACCTTGACTATATGGAAGAAAAGACAGAGTTGTTAGATTTTCTCTTGTTCAAAATGCAGATGTAAGTCTTCATATTGACATACCTGTAGCCACCCGCCACAACTGATGCGTTGGGGCATTTGCTCTTGGCCAGTTTGAACAATCGGACACCTTCAGCGATAGCCCTCGAGCTTGAGCCTCGTGGGAGCGCATTGTCTCCCAGCGCAGCATCGTACGGGCCGCCAACTCCCTGCACCCAGATGCCGCTGATTTTCTGGCTCAGAGCACCGGAGAGCGCTGGGCCAACGCTAGAACCCTACTCGAATATTAGTACGTGTTAAATTGAAGGGCTCTGAGGAAGGAATTCCTACCATATTGCCAATCTCGGTCGACCCTCGAGCGAAGATCAGAATGGCACTCGGGCAATTGGAACTGCTTCCTCTCTCAAGATCAGTCGACGTGCTGAGCTGACGAGTTTCGAGGTCCTCCATGTCCAATGGGGCGCCAGCAACAAGGGCGGTAAAGAGAGTGATAGCAGTGAAGAACTTCATTTTCACTTCGATATACTCTTAGGATCCTTGGTAAAGGTCAAATCTCCAACAGCTGAAAGTATTGATTTGCAGGGTTCTTTGACTTTGGTTGCCTGAGATGTCGATTTGAGGTGGGATGGTTTCTTTTTCAGAGAATACATCTTGACGCCCTCTTTATACTCGAATCTTCCTATAGTGAATTAGACATCACGAAGCTTCATTCTTAGGCTCAAGAGAACAAGAGAGTAGCGAGCCTCGGCTTGGATAGCTGGAAGGACAAACAGCCTCGGCTTGCTCGAGATTCTAGACTGAAAATGGCCAGCAGGAGATGCTCCCTCCGCATTTTATAAGCTCCATTTGATGTTTCAATTCAGACTGTCAGTCAAATTTCATGCGGTTTGATGGATACCTGGCGTAATCCTGGTAGAGGAAAGCTTGCGATTGGATAAGAGTCAGAAACGTCCAAATCTTCACTGCAAGCCCCTCCCACTAGTTCCGAAATCCAAAACAGCGTCACCATGTTCATATACGGCCGATGTAAATCTAGGCCTTGGCGCTCAATGAAATGTCACTATTTTGCAGTCGGAGGGTCACTCGATGAGTTCATTGGCGGGAAGAACGTAATACTTATCACCAAGCATCAATTCAGTTATGGAACATCCTGCATACTGGGCTCAGAACTCCCTGTACGGCATAATGCACACAACTGCGCCGCAAGGGAAGGGGGGAAGATCACTCCTAAATTCGCAAGAACTTCCTGGGGAAGAACATTCTAGGTTACATTCGGGAACTATCTGAAATGCGGAGAACTAAATTTCATCGCGTGTTAATTCAAGCCCAGAGAGACTAGCCGGTCTGAGAAAGTAGACAGCAACCCTGCTTAGAACGATATTCAGTTTGGTTGTACACCTCGTTCAATTGCAGTCGACTGTAGATGGAAGTAGACATCAATCTTTTTCATATGAAGACGATATCTTCACAACAGCATCCACATCTTAATGCCACCAAATCTTGACACCACCCATTCATGGCCTGAAATGAATGAACTTGCCTGTGCGTGATTGTTGAAACTTGGGTGATACCAAGGTAGGGCGTCTTGGCAAAAATTCCAGCCTAGGTACTGTACCATCCATTCCCCACTCACACAATCGCAAACAAACCTCCAAAAGGACTAGATGACAAGAAGCTGTGCGGGAGTGCTCTCCTACCCCACAGACCCCCCTGAGCGTCTGACTAGAATCTACATTTTGCAATTGTTCTAGTTCCGCAGACTTCAGGTCAGCTGGACGTTCGCGTTGTGAACATCAAGTCAACTGATGGGTTCAGGTTGACCCCATTCCGTTGCCAAACAACTCTCCTCGCTCTAGAGCCCACTCATTTCCTTGTATCGCAGAGCCGATGCGATATGGCAGAGTTGAATGTAAACACCCACTTCCCTACCCGAACAGGGCTTGCGTAGAACCAGGTTCTCTACGGCCGTCAGATAACTACTCCATCTCACACTGGATAATTTCTGTTCAAAACTTTCAGCTAGCGCTAAGGTCTTCTATTCTCTAAGCATAATGCAGTCTTCCGACGGACCACTTTGGTTCAGGTTCACAGTGATACAGTGGCGGGTTCCGCGGAGGCCAAGATCTCTCCATCTCTAGAGCTAGGCACCTACCCTATATAAGGAGCTCAAGATGCGACAAGAAATTGAAATAAAAGAAGAGGCCTGGGGATGCCATAAATAATTGAATCAATTCATAGAGCGTTGGGGAGTTCTCTATGGCTTCAAAAGCCAATGTCTGTGCTCTCTTGTCGTTGACCTTTGACCCTGCATGGTGATAATCATCATCACCAAATCCAGAGTGAGCCACCTGAGGAAAGCTTGAACAATAAATTAGTTACTTCAAGCACAAATTAAAGCATGCGATCTTATCGTCACGTGCCGATTATGCAAACGCCGTATTTAACCGTCTGGAGCTTCAGCTACCCCAGACTCACGAAATGGCATCAAAAGAGGGAGCAGGGAAAATGAGCTCAGGTTCTCGTTCCACCAAAAGACATCGATCGACCCCAGCATGCGCCAGATGCTACAAACTAAAGCAGAAGGTGTGTAAGGTGATGTGATTTTCACTGGGTACTGTAAGTGTTGCGTCACGGGATTTCTAACCACATTGCCAGTGCGACAGAGGCACGCCCAAATGCTTGCGATGTGTGTCTGCAGGTGTTGAATGCACAGCGATCAATCGACAAACAGCGACCGAAATCCCTCGAAGGTTCGCCCGAATTGTCCCTAGTCATCATCGCAAGATTCAATTGCAGAACTGTGTGATGTGATGGTACTAACAAGTCTTTCCAAGCCCTGTTCAATACCTGGAACAGCGCTTGGCCGAGCTGCAGTGGGTTGAATTGAACCACCAAAAGGATGGCTTTGCAATTGCCTCTGACGGCGATGAAGCTGATGCAAGCCATTCCCATGTTCTCGAAGCCGTGTCAATTTCAATCACCAACCGGTTCACGCCGAATCTTTTCCGATCGCATGGTGTCCTACAGCATCAGGCGAAGCTCTTCTATCCCTCAGAGCGGCCACCTCTCAAAATCCCTGTTCATGGCATTTACCATGACATTTACCCTCGAACTGCCGGATTAGAGTATGCGCCAAAGTTTGCTTCTTTTAATGCTAGCAAGATTCCGCTTGATGTGGCTCGGCGACTCTTCGATAACTACAAGGATAATATCCTTCCCCGTTTCCCTTGCTTTCCGGAAGATGATCTTTCAAAGCGATTCGATCTATTCTATGACCCCACAAACTTTGGAAAAGAGATGCCTGATGAGACTGCGTTCATTGTCACTTTAGTCTTGGCCATAAGCTCTCTCACTTCCAAGAGGCAAGATTTTCGACGAGTTGCGGCACTCAGCGAGTCCTTGCACGCGGATGCGATGCGTCACAAAGGCTTCATCCAGAACGCCTCCCTGACGACATTGCGCTGCTTGCTATTGCTTATTCAGCTAGCATTACTTCTCCCACACACCAGCAACCTGTGGTATTTGAGCGGTGAAGCTGTTCGCATGGCCGTCAGTTTGGGACTACACGAAGAGCTTGGCAACGCCACGGGCCAGGATCCTACGCTTCTGGAACACCGAAGGGCACTATTTTGGCTGGTAAGTGGCTTACCATACCCGTTAATCAATTCCCATATCCTATAGAAATCGTGTGCTCATCTTTCTAGACGTACCAACTTGAGAGGACTGTTGCCATTGCTGCTGGGTGTCCTATTGCGTTGAGTGATGACCACATCACGACGCAGCTACCTTTCAACGGAGGTGACCCCAATGGAGACCTTGAGCAGTTTATTCAGAGAGTATCACACCTGAATAAGGAAAAACAATTTCTGATCCATGTCCGCGTCTGCATAATTCAATCTGAAATTCATGGTGTCCAATTTTTCGACCAGAGCATACCTGAGAGCGCAGCTGACTATGACACCTGGGTTCAAAACACCAAAGACTCTATCCAAGATCTGGTTAATCAGATCACGGCTGATGGGTTTGCTACCTCGTGGCTAGTATCTGCCGCCCAGCAATGTCAAGTCCTACTTCATCGACCTTGCTCGCGAAACATTTCTGTTTCTACTTCATCCCTAATTGCTGCAGCATCTGCATCAATACGGCTCATCAATACTTCCCTAGAGAGTGCCATGGCAGGCGGTCTCATCGGCACTTTTGAAATAGCAAATAGCGCTTTCCAAGCTGGTGTGGTCATACTTTATGCACTGAGGAATCATACTTCTGAGCTACAGCAAGCGTCCATACGAATTCAAGCTCAAGAGGCTCTCGAAAACCTAGTTCAACTACTTGTATGTGAGACGAGCCTAAATATGTGGAAACTTGTACTGATTTCACTGCAGTTTACGCTCTCAGAACGATGGCCGGCGACTTTTGACACAGCCAAGTACATCAAGGAACTCATCGAAACCAGTCTAAGCGCTGAAAGCCAGAGATCTGCATATGATCTAAACGTATTGAAAGAGCTTGACTGCTTGGTCACTCAACGGCGGATTCACAGCGTTTATCATAGAAATATCTCCGTTTCAAGCAAGCCAGCACAGGCAACCAACAATGAGACAAGTCCTGGTTTTCTCGAAGATGAAGCCTGGTGGAAGGACTTTATCAATGAAGATTTTAATATGGGTGATTATTTCGATCCGTCTGAAATTGCAGACGCGAACAACAGCGTTCAAACTTTGCCATTGACTTCAGGGTCAGATCCAGTGACCATCCCTGAGATGGCTATGGACTCCAATGAAGACCGGTTGGATTTCACTACACTCATCGACATTCTTCCGGCCTGCAGCCCCTGCAGAGATCGTCGCGTAAAGTGCCACCGACAATTGCCCGCCTGCAAAGAATGCCAACGAACCAATCGTCAATGTGTCATCTTTGATTCTGTGTTATTAAAGAACGTCCCGCTTAAGTAAGTCAGAGGTTTTCATCAGCAGATAATATTCGATTAACACATGTGAATCATAGCTTTGTGTTCTCATTGGCCGAAAGAGTGAAAGAGCTCGAATTGCAGGTTGGCCCATCATCTCATACCCAAAGCCAGGGACAAAGATCAGGCCCACCAAATCACCCTCGACGCTCTATTATTTTGAGCCAACAACAGACTGGTCAGCGTATGGGATGGTCTGAACAACAAGATGAAGAGAAATCTTCTGATCATTTCTTTGGCCCGTGGTCCTCATTGGGGTGTCTCAGGGAGCTCCTCACCAACTCCCCAAACTGGGAGCTTCCATCGATAATAAGAGCTGCCCAGACACTAGAGGACGAGAGCCATGAGAATACTCCTGGATTCGAGTTTAAGCGGTTGTCGATATCGGTGGAGCTTTCTCTCATCCTACTCTACGGTCAATCGGCCAACGCATTCTTCCCCATTCTAGATGAGGCATGCTTAGACAGAATTTATGCTAGCTACCGCGGTGAAGATCCCGACCCAAGTTTTGACTACAATCAAAATATCATCTATTTGGTTGTGGCCATCGCCTGTCAAGTGAGGAAGAAGAAGGAAGCATCATTCGCCTGGTGGGCCACTTTATATTTCCACGAAGCATTATCGAACTTGGACACTACCTGCGATCACTCCTCACGACCAAGAAATATACAATTACTTCAACGAACGCTCTTGATTTGCGTTTATTTAGTTCTGAGTCCAGGGTCTGGCGACGTCTGGAGACATTTGGGGTTTGGCATCCGTCTATTCTTTGACTTGTCCCATCTGCCGTCTGAAGATGAAGACAAGGATCATGTGTTATTTTGCATGCTTGCAAGAACGCTTTATACCTTGGAGAGGTAAGATTCTGCTACCGGTGTTGCTACGCAGCTCTCATAAAACTAATGATTGTTTGCAGTCAGGTGTCTATCGCATTTGGAAGACCAAGCCTTTTAATCATAGGTGATAGTCTTCGGAAGGTAAGCATGCTCTGCCATTGGAAAAGTCGTTGACTCTAACCCCATTCCAAAGGAGCTCATGGAGAAAGCCAAAACATCTCTCGAGGAAATTATATCCATACATTTCTATCTAATCTCTTTTCTGAAAATGAAGATCCATAGCTCCCTTCTCAAAAAAGAAGCGTATATGGGGAGATTAGCACGAGAATACTTCGGCGCCAAGAGCGACTCACAGGTGTATCGCCGTGAGCTTGACGAATGGTTGGTAAGGTGGTCGAAGACTGTTGAAAGTATAGAGGATGGGAAGGCTAATCGCGTATTGACACCATGGGCTGAACTGAACTATGCGCAAGGCCTCTATATGATATCTTTGCTGTGGCCTACACCCGGCGGCCAGCCGACCACTATTTGCGATAACATTTCAAGGGCATGCCTAGCGTTGGCGCGTCAGCAGCAACTCCTCGCAAATTTAAGGCTGGTAAATGCGGAAAGCGATCCAATATTTATTTTCCCAATGAATTGGACTACAGGTTATTTGGCCCTTCAAGTCGGATTACATTGTCTGGGTACCCAGAATCTAACATCTGAGGAGCGGCAGGCAAGGAATTTGTCTCTTCAAAGATGTCTGGGTGTAATCTCAATGTTGGAAACTGACAACCAGAACCTCTTGACTGGGCAATCCATCATATTCGAGGAGCTTTGGGAAAGAAACAATATGACTTAAGGTTCCCTAGGAATTCATTCTGGAGATAAGACTTTAATCGAATCACATACTTTCCTTCCAACTATGGAGTCGTTAGCGTATGAAGCGACTTCGAGGGTAATTGGAGAGCCCCGCGGATTCCCGACTCTCGCGGATTCCCGTCAGAGCTCGAATCCGCCGCCTCAAGCTGAGGACTGACCCACCATCAGTGATGCGCCAGGGCCGTGGTTTAGCTTGGCACGGCCGCACCACCAGCTTACTGCTTTTGGAAGCGAGTTGACCAGGGCCATTAAAAAAGTGATAATACAGAAGCAGCAGTATACCTCAATAGAATTCGGTATTCCAATTCTTCCCGTTCTGAGTCCGGGGACTTCACTCACCATGGCAAAATCTGTCGAGATTCTTCTACCTAATGGGCTGAAGTACGACCAGCCCACTGGTCTCTTCATTGACAATCAATATATCCCGGGGTCAGGAGATGATTTCACGGTTCTCAATCCTTCGTACGTCAAGCATTCGTGAAACTTACGATGGCCCATGTTAACATGATGCGTAAGGCTCGATGAACCCATCATCACTCTTCAGGGCGCTTCCGAACAAGATGTGAACACTGCCGTGAGGGCAGCCCGACGAGCGTTTGAGGGAGCGTGGTCAGAATTTGCCGCTATCGATCGTGGTAACCTGCTTTATAAACTTTCTGAGCTTATTCACCGAGATCGGGAGCTCCTCGCAAGCATTGATGCCATGGACAACGGCAAGGCAAGATACCCCTCCTAGTCCTCCCCCAATCACTTGAGCTCAAACCTAACATATCAACATTAAGCCGTACTCTGTTGCCCTGGATGTTGACATAAATGCATCATGCAACGTGTTTAAATATTACGCTGGCGCTGCTGACAAGATCTGTGGACAAACCATCGAAACCACTCCGGCCAAGCTGGCCTATGTTCTACAGGAACCCATGGGAGTGTGTGGTCAGATAATACCATGGTATGTATAGCGAATCCGAACTTTGGTCTTTTGTGCTAAGTACGAGATGCAGGAATTATCCTTTCATGATGCTGGCGTGGAAAGTCGCCCCCGCGCTGGCCTGTGGCAACACCGTGGTGTTGAAACCTGCAGAGCAAACGCCACTCTCCGCTCTGTACTTTGGTAAACTAGTGGCCGAAGCCGGCTTCCCTCCCGGTGTTGTCAACATCATACCAGGGTTGGGATCAGTCGCGGGTAAGGTGCTCGCGGAACATATGGATGTCGACAAGATTGCCTTCACTGGAAGTACAGAAACGGGTCGCGCTATCATGAGAGCAGCAGCCTCGAATTTGAAGAACATCACTCTAGAATGCGGAGGAAAGAATCCCAGTCTAGTATTTGAGGACGCAGACCTTGACCAGGCGGTTAAGTGGTGTCACACTGGCATCATGAGCAATCAAGGACAGGTAAGAAGCAAGGCAATCTGGGGGAATTGTGACCCTTCACTGTAACGGCATATGCTAAATTTTGATTATGTAGGTATGCATATCGACATCAAGGATTTACGTCCAGGAGAGCGTTTACGAAAGCTTCCTGGAGAAATTTGTCGAGGTCACCAGGGACCATCATCGCATCGGTGATCCCTTCCACGAGAATACCTGGCAAGGCCCTCAGATCTCTAAGTCACAGTATGATAAGATTCTGTGGTATATTGATCAGGGAAAGCAGGAAGGAGCCCGATTACTGCATGGTGGCGTCAAGCACGGGGATACGGGTTATTTCATTGAACCCACCATATTTGCGGATGTAAGTCATCAAAGTGCTAGAGTCTGGGACGAACTGTCTGTTTCTCACATACTGCTACACAGACCACAAAAGATATGAAAGTCGTGCGAGAGGAAATATTCGGCCCCGTCGCCGTCGTCTCAAAATTCAGTACACTGGAGGAGGTCGTGGCTAAGGCAAACGATAGTTGCTACGGCCTCGCTGCTGCTATTTTCACGGAAAATATTGGAAAGGCGCACAGGGTTGCTCGAAAGCTCCAATCCGGCATGGTATTCATCAACTCATCCAGTGACTCTCATTTCGGTATTCCATTCGGGGGGTATAAGTCGTCGGGCATAGGTAGAGAATTGGGGCAGTATGCCCTCCAAGCATACACCCAGTCTAAGGCTGTCCATGTCAATCTTGGTCAGAAGCTGTAATTTAAAATGAATGAACAGACATTAAAAGACATGAGAACGTTCAACTCTATATGAAATACCTCTTGGAAATGTTTTATTTACCCTGGTAGTATTCATTGTATTGAGATGTCGGGTCGTGCACTTTATACTGGAACTTTCTCATCCGTATGTACATTTACCCTGGTAGATCGACTGAGGCGTGTCTGTGATGTTTGCCTTTACGCAGCATTGGATCTGCAAAAGCGCTCACCCTCTGTGTATTGATAAGGGACACGGAAGAGAGTTCAAGTATAAAGTTAAACAATAATAGAAGATGCCAGACCCGACATCTCAACACAATGAATACTCCTCCGTGTACTGTATTGCTCTTTTTGTCAATTCACTCTCAAGTTCACTGTATTGCGTAAGGAAATAACCATATTAGGAACTGATGATATGATATAATATGTTAAATCTGAAGACACTTTCTTATCTCAATCGTGGCAAGCAATTTGTTTTCCTTCGCAACAGCTGGCCAACAAATTCCTGGCCAATCCCTATCTTCCACCGTGAAAAAATGTCTACTTAGCATGTGAAAGCGCCTCCGACCGTTCCTTGGCTATAAGCATTGACGATGCTTTGGATGCTACTGTATGAGCCGGCGACCGTCATGAATGAGCCAAGTATAACCGTGAACACGTGCAGCCCAAACAGCGCCATCTTAGATTTGCTGGATGAGTGATTTCCCCAATCCATATGAATTGCCATTGTGGCGGGAATAACGAACTAAGGCTGTTAGAACCAGAAACAGTAAAGGAGGATATTGCGGCGAGGCTTACACATGCCGGTGCACAGCAAAGTGATCCGATGAGGCCAATCAGGTAACTGAAGAATGGGATTCCAACGGCAATGACAAAGGCAATCGCGCTGATTCCCACAGTCGAGCCACTTAAATCTTATTAGCCAATAGCTCGAGAGAAATGCAGTGAGTAATAGGAGCAAGAACTCACAACCAGGTAGCCCAGTGAATCACCGTGTGGCTTTGCAGATGTTCGGAGTTGCGGAGGATCCGGACAAGAAGCTGCGATGTATGAGCTAGATGTTTTCAAAACTCACTGACTAGCACTCACAAATTTAGCGGAAAGATGAATCCATAACGTCGAGGTCATGATGAAGCCGGGAATTGAAATCCCATATGCGACTTTCTCAATCAGACCTCCAGCACTGGCCAACGACGGGCTGGCCACGTACTGTCCACAGTAGCTATAAATGCAATCCGTTAATAACTGGCGTATTTTGGGAGGTATACAGTCACTCACAAGTAAACAACCATTCCAAATGATACATAGCACGCCACCAGAAGAGCCTGGGAGCTAAATAGTGCTCTGGGGAAAGAGCTGGGTACTCTCATCTCAGCGATGACGGGAATGAAGGTGGGAGTCGAGGCGTAACCAGCTATATTCCAAATTGTTAGCAAGAGTCTCCGAAAAGGTGAAGAAAACTAACCGAAAAGATTGATTGCTGCAGTCATGCCAGCTACAAATCCAGGGCTGGCAACCGAAACAACTTCAAGAACGAAATCACCTGTCTGCGGAGCTGCCGCTGGTCTATCAACTTGGGTAACTCCGACTCTACATCACGTTAGATTAGAATTGCAAGACTGGCAGTGCTTGTTCCTATGCAGGAAACCGTTAATTACTCACACCACAATGAAAACAGCTGTGAAAATGGACGCAAAGCCAATCCAGGTAAGAAACGCTAGCTTTCCGAGAGTCGGGATACTGGAAGCAATGGCGGAGCAAGTGGCCGCAACCAGTGTCCAAACCACACTGCAACCCCTACCGCCAGCAAGAATCTTTAGACCTTGGGCAAGCCCGATGAAAACTGATCCTGAGGCGAGACTAGAAGGAGTCAGTCAGAAGAGTATCGCGGGCCAAAAAGCCAAGTGTTTTACCTACATCCAGCAGAGGAGGAAAAGAAAGCATGCCACCTCTCGGTAAATCGGACCCCCGACAATCATTGCGGCATCCGCAATGCTGTGTACTCCGGGGTACTTCATTCGGAAAGCATACATGACGTATGCGTAGTCTACAATGGTGAATATTAGAATAGCTCGTGTACCTCAATCAATTGTGATCATACATGTTGTCATTGCGCTCCAGCAAAGGAGTAGGACAATTCCAGGCCCATAGCCAACAACGCTGAATGCTGACGGGATTGTAAGTACGCCAGTGGCGAAACAGAGTTTCATAAGAATGATGGCAGTTCGGATCCTGTTTGAAACAGCTGTGTCAGTGGGGGGGGAAGCCTCATACGTACATGTAGTGATATTGATTCCACAGGTTCTCACCATCCTAGGGCGCGGAATTCGGCCTGGTTGAATACCTCGCCATTGTCATCGGCAGCTTCATTTTTCATGGTTTCGTCGACTAAGTCATTGCGGTCGAGACTGGGATCTATCTTCTCTGTCGACCTGTTGGCGGTTTTGGGGGAAGAACTGTCCATCATAGAGGAGTGGGCTTCGGTGTAGGATTTAATATCTGTATTGCAAGAATATGATGAAGACCTTGCTATTGACAGAGCCTTGGAAGCGAGGATGAGACGAAGAACATATAGCCCCAGAAAATGTATGTATGTAGCAGGCCTTCAGGGTCATGAAAATTACTAGCCTGGGTGACTGCCCAGCCTCAAGTGCTAGCGGTTGATTAGAGCACAGTGGTATCAGAGCCGTGTGTGAATTTGATCCACTAGACGAAGATAGATGATAGCACCAGCAAACTCCGGGGTCGATGTGGGGTTAACAGACACTCTGATAGGGGCAAATGCCACAGACTGACTCGACTTGATATGTCGGCCGGCGGGCATGTCTGGGTTCGCGTCAGTCCGACGCTAGCGGTTTTCCGAGGATGTCCTGGGAGGAGGCAAGGTATTCCATGCCTGCTTCCCCATGGGGGACATATCATGCTCATCAAGATGCGTGGGTCATCAAGTGCGAATCAAGTTGCAGAGTTCCTCTTTGTTTTATCTATCATACGATTCTTGCCCAGGGCCCATTCTGATACGTCCGGATCAACGGAGAGTTGTGTGTGCGAGCATTTCTTCCAAATTTCCACGGCGTTGTAAAACCACCCGGCGTCAAAGACACGAGACACAGACAAGCACAATGGCGAATTTGTTCCATATTTCCAAGATTATGTCGTAATTTAATGCTTGAATTACTTTATGATAGAAAAAAATCCATATATTTATGCGTTGCTGAATGCTTTGACGATATAACTGATGTTATCAAGTTGCAATGTCCCATGCTCAACTCTTTCAGCTGCTCCAAGCTGTTGAAGAGCGCCAATCGCCCTTGGGAGCAATTCCACCTTACCAGATTCGAAAGTGACTTCCCAACTTTGACTAGATGAGCTCAAATCCTCTCTCCTCGCACAAAAATCCCCTGTCTCACTTTTCCGGATGGCCAGATATATTGCTCCAACTCTGCCAATAAATGTAGTCCCATCCGCGCTTTGGAGAATCCATGACGGATCATCCTGTTCTTTTCTGGACGTGATGTCTCTCCAAATTTCTTCGTATTCTGTCAGGGCGCCTCCATTATGAGGGCATGGAGTAGTTCCGATCTCCAAATCGTCCCCGTTCGGCAGTTTTTCAAAATGCGCCTCGTCCGGAACAGTGAGATCCAGAGAATCAATAATATGCGTCCAACGGAACGTCACTGCCAGAAAACATCAATATCCTGGCTCATTACTCTAGGGAAAAGTAAGTGAGAAAGCTCACATGGATTCTCTTTAAGCAGAATGCGTTCTCCAGCTCGGCTCCATTGGATTGAGCCCGTTTCTTTGACCACGCGTAAGTCAATGAAATAACCACCAACATTCAAAGCAACTGTGTCGGTATCTTCGTATGCTGGCTTAGGGAGCCAGCGAATGCTAATTCGCTGTACAGCTTGGGAAGACGGCATATTTTCGTTGCTGGTAGAAGAATAGTTCTTTCTGGGCGGCAAGACTGAGAAAGCACTGGGTTATTTTCACCGCCAAATCATTGGAAAAGTCGGCCCATTCTTGCTATTATTTGAATTTTACCTTTTCAATGACGTATCTGTATTCTATTAGATATGTGCACACTAAAGGTTCTAAAATAACGAGCGCGAGTCAGTCCGAACTGGGATCGAGGGAGAGGGGGACGGAAATCCGCGAAGCATCGGACTGGCGCGAGCGACGGAAATCCGCGGCCCCTTTCTTACACGGTGACTTCGTGCTCGCCCTCTAATCACACCACCAACTAACCGAGTTTGGCCACCGCCGTCGGCCAGCGAGCAATCGAGTAATTGAATCCCGCGGCAAGCGAATGAGAGAGCTGCGGAGGGTGACCTTCAAGCAGCACAGACGCCCGCTACGATATCGGCTGCGAGTCGAGTTGGCAGCTCGCTCGGTTTCCATCGGAATGTCTCTTCTTATTTCGATGGTATTATTGAAAAAATCATGAGGGTATTACTGCAAATTCACGAGAGCATCATTGATAAGTTCATGAGGGGGCATGTTGCTCCCTCATGATTCCTATACTGTAGTTAACTATTCAGTATACTTGTCCAGGCGATAAACACATCATGACAACGCTCAATCTCGTGGAGGCTGGCATCTATAGTCTCCAAGACGCTCTATCCTCCGGCTCCTTATCATCAGTTGAGCTTGTGGCCTTGTATCTGCGTCGCATTTCGAAATATGACTGCCGAAACACTGTCCTGAACTCAATCCCTATTCTCAATCCGAACGTATTCGAGGAAGCTGCAGCATCGGATGACCGCCGTGCTTCCGGCCAGGCAGGGCGCCTTGAAGGTATTCCCTTTACCGTCAAGGATAGCTTCAAAGTCAAGGGCATGACTGTCTCCTGCGGATCGCCGGCTTTCAAAAATCTCATTTCCAACGAGGATGCCTTCACTGTCAGCAGCATTCGTGCAGCTGGTGGAGTTCTGATCGGAAAGACAAATATGCCTTCGATGGCATATGGGGGAATGCAACGCGGCATCTACGGCAGGGCAGAGAGCCCTTACAATCCAGAGTTCCTGGCGGCTGCCTTTGCGTCCGGCTCATCGAATGGGTCTGGTGTTTCAACGGCGGCTTCTTTTGCGGCTTTTGGGATGGGCGAGGAGACTGTATCCTCAGGGCGTTCGCCGGCTTCCAACAACGCGCTGGTTGCGTATACACCGTCCAGAGGCTGGATCTCCATCCGGGGAAACTGGCCGCTGTACCCAACTTGTGATGTTGTTGTCCCACATACTCGGACAATGAGTGATATGCTCACACTTCTTGAGGTAATATCTGCCAATGATCCAGTTACCGAAGGAGACTATTGGAGAAACCAGCCATATGTGTCTATTCCAGAGCCATGGGGAGGGAGGCCTTCCGCCACTCTCTTTCAAAACATCTCCGAGTCGGTATCACTCAAGGGTCTACGTATAGCAGTTCCGGAAATGTACATTGGAGGCAAGAGCCCCGATGGCGCAGCCCCAGTCACTACTAGTGAGGGCGTAATCATGGTCTGGGGTGAGGTTAGAAAGAAACTTGAGTCTCTTGGAGCCGAAATTGTACTGGTGCCCGACTTTCCTGCTGTCACAGCCTACGAAAATCCCGAGTTGCTACAAGCTGTGACAGGACTGCCTGAGAACTGGCAATGGACTGAAAAAGGGCCGCTTATTGCACATGGCTGGGATCTCTTTCTCAGCTCAAATGGAGATCCAAATACGCCAAATCTAGCCAGCGTCGATGAAAACAACATTTACCCAGATTCATTGCGAACACCAGTCGAGATTGAAAACCTCCCAACACAAAATGTCATTCATTGGGGCAAGCTTGCCAAATATGTAAAAGAGGGCACCGGTTCAATGTTCGATATCAAGGATCTGGATGCTGCCTCCATAAACCTCGAGACGATGCGCAAACAGCTCTCAGATGATTATCTCGAACGTTGCGGGTGTGACTGTTTCGTTTTCCCGGCAGCTGGCGACGTTGGGTCTGCTGATGCCGACGTCGACTCAGCTCATGCTGCACACGCCTGGTCTAATGGTGTTTTCTACAGTACTGGGAACAGGGCCCTACGCCATCTTGGCATCCCGACGGTGACTGTCCCGATGGGAATGATACCAGGTAAAAACATGCCCATTGGTTTGACATTTGCCGGCCGTGGATTCGATGATGAAAATCTGTTGAAGTGGGCAAACGCATTTGAGACGCAGACGAAACTAAGAAGCCCTCCACCGCACACTCCGTCGCTGCCGTCGGATTTCATCCAATTGTCGTCCAAAAATCATTCAATCAAGACTAGGCCGCAGATCCTAGTTACGAAGTGTACTTCCACACGTACCACGGAAACCGGGTTGCTACGAGTTGAGTTTGAGGGAACAATTCAAGTTGATTCGGCTAGCAGTGACCGCCCACCAGCAATTCAGGTCGCGGTAGATGGGCAAGACGTACCTGATGAACAAATCATTGTTGATCGTGTCGCCAATGAATCGGGGGAGGGTCATGGCTTGTATCTTTTCCGGGGATGGGGAGACACCCGGGCCACCAGAAAGAAATGAGAGAGATGCCGCAAGAGAGCAAGTATGCGGTGATCAAATCATGGTTGTATTCTTGGCTAGGTCTTCCTCTGGTGGTCAGCCTGCGGGATTCTTGAGTTTGATCTAGCAGATTTAGCAGATTATCTTTTAAAATGTCAACACCAGCTTAATCCCCATAAACCTATCTAGCCCTTCGATACTAGTCCGAATATTCTACCAGTGTGAATCTACAAGGATTGTTTGTACCTCCATCAATTTTACTGGTCACCAAAATTCATTTGTTACTTCCACTTTTTTACGTTCCATGCCGCCTACTTCCTCAATGTAGTTTCCTAGCCCTTTTATCTCCGATCCCGTCTCGGCCGGAACTGGGCAATATTTCAATCCTCTCTTTCCGGCCTGTCACTGTTTCCATTTTGTATTAGTGGTGTAGAAACAAGTCCATCAAGCAGTTTAGATGACGAGCCCAGATGTTTACGCTTGTGATAGCAATTGTAGCTCTGTGGCCCAATACCATGTTCTGCCACTTCCATTTTGCCCTTGATTGTAGTCAGGCCAGATTCTTTTAGCAAATCCACTGATACCATGATGTTGGCGGCATTTTATTGTCATGTGTTGGAGTAGGCCCTGATTGTTACTAGACTTTCCTCGTCAAGTGTTCCTTCTAAGATTGTACCTTGTTGATGTGTTTTGTTTATGATTGTGTTTTACTGTATCATGATGTTTGAGGTAGTCAGTGCTAAATCACTGCTGATCAAAGCTCCTTTGACTTAATAATAAGTTCAACAGTCCCGCTTGGGGTTGAAGCAAAGCAGCTTGGCAACGGTTCAGATGAAAATCAACAATCAAACATGCAGCATAACATCATCGTTGCGAGGCGCACGCTTATGGGCCTGTGCGTGGACAAATACTGGTTACAACCTGCCTTGGATGTCGATTTCTTATTGATTGAAGCCAGCGATACGAGGCTAATGGACAAAATATGACACAAACACAGACCATGGCCAGCCTTTCTTCTTCAAAATGCCTTTATGCAATGCAAACTGCACAGTGCATTCAAAGCTACGTACCGTGTTGAGAACGTGGAATTACTAAACGTGCCGGTGCGACCTGAGCCTGTGAGGGTTTGAAGTGTATGCATCCGCCCTTTCTTTTCTCCTCTTGCATCTCTTGATTTTGGGGTTCCTCATCGACCAAAGATCGTCACCGCGAAATGGCGGCGAATCAACCCACTCTTCAGCAGGTCTTAGATGACCTTGAGACTTCTACCTTCGAAGATGCCGGCTACGAGAGCGAGTCCTTTGAGGTACAAGAAGAGGAAACTGCACTAAGCTCCATCAAAAAGAGCCTCACCATCTGCTTTCCCATCCGATCCAACTACAGCCCGAGCTGGAATACCTCGTCAGCCTTTCGCGAGCTTGTGCAAAATTGGTATGTCTTTCTATCCCCCTCCCTGGAACTGACATGAGCTCTAACTAGTGGACGGCACTACAGGAGAGACGGCATCATCCAATCGTTCAAACTGAAAGAGACCCAGTTCCATGTTGTGAAAGAGAACAAGTCGACCGATCTGAAAGCAGACATACTCTTCAAGGCACTGAATAAGGCGGCTGGAGTTGCTGATGATGATTCCTGCCTGGGTTTCATCCGGTTCTCCGGACGACGTGGCACCGGAATCGTCGAGATCACCAGCCGGGCCGCGTCCCTGCAGCCAAAACACCTGGACTTTGGGCAAAGCGACAAATGGGGGAAGACCAATCAAGCCGGTGTCCACGGTGAGGGCCTGAAAGTTGCTCTGCTGGTCTTCTTACGCCGAAATCATCGCGTCCGTTGCATCAGCGGCAACGTCACGTGGAACTTCAACTTCACCACCGCTGGCAAGCTCGTCGCGAGGCTCAATAAAATGCAGCAAGAAGCCGTCGTCAGAGAAAAGCGTTCTGCCAAGAAACTCAAGGATGACAATTCTGTTCCTTTTCAGGTGTCTCCCTATCACGACGTAAGATTCTTCATTGGCGAAAAGGGCAAGGGCAGAGATGGGATTGGTGAATCAACACAGCGGGAGCACGTTACGTTGGAGACTTTCAATAAGTGGTATCGCTCAGCCTTGTTCCTACTTGACCTTCCCAGTCAGGAGGAAGCAATCATCACAACCAAGCACGGCGAGCTCATCCTCGACGATTCAGTCCAGGGAAACCTCTACCTAAAAGGCCTCTTGCTCATGGAGTCCAGCCCAGATTACTCTGCAAGCATATCAGGATGGCCACTCAAGTACGCATACAATTTTCGACATGGCGTAACCAACCGAGACAGACAATCCGTCACAAGCTCAAGCAACGAATGCCGGACAATTCTCAGCATCTGGAGTGACGCGTTGCAACAGAAACCAAGTCTTATTGCGGCCTTCCATGACATGCTTCTCTCCACAAATCCTTTGTATGCCGACGTGCACTTGGCTGAGTCGCTTATGGGAATTGAGTCGGCAAAGAAAGTGAGAGACCATCTCTTTTCTGATCAGGCTAAATGGTACTATTCCAATAAATAGATGTCCGAGGTATGTGTATCATCACTTGATTAACTTCGCTTTTCCAAATCTGCATTTTCAGCTACCTAACCATTGAACTATGCCACGGTATAGGATCCTCGCCTCAAAACGATCATACAGGGGTTGGGCCGGACCGGATCCAGACTTCCAGATTGTTACTGGTCGATTTTATCCAGATTTCACCTCATCCACACTGCAAAGAAAGAGCAAGAGAACCAGTTTCTGAAATCGAGAATCGCAATGGTGTCAGCGGACAAGTTTGCCGAGAGTCTTCACAGGCTTCTCCGCTCATGCATACCAGGAATACCCAGCGTAGCCCATATCAACATCGAGTTTGTCCAGGCGGGTCAGCTCCGACTTCACACGTATTTAAAAGATGCGACTTTCAAGATCCATGAGAGATGGCTCGATAGTGAACAGGTAGTGGGAGAGCTCGGACTGTCCAGCAACGTTCAAGAAATCGATGTGCTCTTCCATGCTGTCCAATGGCTAGTCAAGGAGCTTATTGAGCAGATGTCCGAAGGTCAATTTGTTAAAACCGAAGACCACACCATAGAATGGGACAAGAGAAGGGTCACCAACTGTGCTGTTCAGAGGCTATTTGAGTACATGAACGTCAACAATAGTGTCACGCTACAGCAAACTCCGCCGGGGAATACGAACAAGCTGATTCTGGGATGGAATCGCTTCTCGTCATGGTGCCAAGAAGCAGTGGTCAGTGTACAGCTGCATCATAAGGCCAGTTGCCAGGAAATTCACGCTCGCCTCCTCTCCAAAGAATGTCAGTTGAACCCTTTCCCTATAGCGTACTTGTACCATATGCCAACACTGTTGCCTCTAACACATAGTCAATCCGGAGAAATTGCCTTGCAAAAAACTACAAGAAGGGCCAGCGGAAGACATCAAGCCAACGGCTTGCTTTTCAATGATAGTCCAGCCGGGACTTGGCTCCTACTCCTTCGAGAATCTGAACCGGGGCTCAGAGTACTTTGCTGTTATCATCAAGCAAAACGAGCCAGACTCTATTGCCTTGATATCGCAAATGTGCAAGGTCCCCCGCCTACCGGCAGAAGTAATCGATCTAACTGTTGATGGGACTCTAGCGCTTACACCACCATTCCGTAAGTCCGCAATGGTTTATTTCAGATCTTGGTATAATATACTGAGAAGATCCCAGGCGCTGTAAAACCGATCGAGAATCTGGACATTCTTCAGCCTCGCGATTGGTACGACGCACGATCACACAATGTGGAGGGTGCTGTTATAGGAATCCCCAAGCCTAAATCGACAAACGGTCGCAAACGACAACCCGAACACCATGAGGCTCTCCCACGGCCCAAGCGGGTTGTCTAGTCTACGCGCTTCGGCCAACTGAGAGAGATCTCAAGCGACTCGGCAGAGCCGCCCCCTCTCATCTCCATGTCCGGTTGAATTAAGTAACGGACCTGTCGTCGTAGAGCATTAGAGAGCTTAGCGGTTAGTAAATAGTTGGATTAGCTACGATTTAAATGACCCAAAACGGGGTGTCGAGATCCTGTCTAGTATCCCCCAGATGAGGCGTTTAAAGGGCCTTTCTCTCACTTAGTCATAGGCAACGAGATGCTGAATTGCAAGACATTTATGGGATTTTCTAAGTGTGCAATCATCAATTCATAGTTACACGCATTACATACACTGGTGACAGGATATTTCTTGTAAGGGTCCTTTTCTACTCGCCCTCCAAAAGGCCATCGGTAAGACCTTGTATTTTGTGAATGACCTATCCACCCAAACCACCTTCCAATGTGCTCGGGTGTCAAATCGATGTCGCCTCCAGGGCAGATCGCGAGTCCTCTCGACGTGGCGCAATGGCCGCTCTTCGAACAGGGGTCTGTCTTGCATTTTCTCAGCCGCTTGGGCTTGGCTGGGCTTAGCTGAGGAGGACTCGAGCTGCAAGAGGAATGGCCTCATCTTGGATCAGCAGGGGGTGGTCAGCAGCTCTGCGAAAGGTTGAGCTCCAGCGGGTGTTCGGCAGCACATTTGCGTGGCACAGCCCTGCCCGAAGCTGTAGGCGAACCTCTTTGCTCCTCCTTCTTGGACGCTAAGGCAGACGCCTGACAGGAGAAACAATAGGCAATGGCTGCCTCACGCGGAATTCGCTGTGGCTCCAGAGCGGCCTTGAGGCGCCGAGACAGGGATCATGCAGCTCAGCGGGATCACGAAAACACCCCATTGGACACGCCTTTTCAGCTGTTGGGTCTGGCTGCACTGCCTAACAGGCCGAGTGGATGCACTGCCCCTTCTGCCATACAGCCAGGGCGGAAAGACTGAGGGGAGAGATTGACGCCTGTTGGTTTCTGAGATGGTCTAGGCACGGTCCGAAGCCCAGCGATAAAAGTGCGTCAGACCCCAGCGCCGGCCTCGAGCGGGCACAAGATTCTATCTAAGGATCGACCAACAATCTCAATTCAAGTCCACACAGAGGCGGCTTCTATCGCGCGTCATTTGATTAATTCCGTGTCCTCGTGTACCTACATTGAGCTTGGAAGCCACGTCCCCGCCCGCCAGTGATCAAAATGAGTGACACTGTTGATGCTGTCGATGGCTTCAGCGTGCTCAATCGAGGGCTCATCTACGCCAGTCTCCTGCTGGCTCCTGCACAGGCCGTTGCGGGAGTCGACAGCAGCGGCATCACCAGTCTTGGCTTTCTTGCCTTCAACTGGTACCAACAACTGAAATGGTACAATGACATCAAGGCTCACCACCTCCACGCTCTCTCCCTGCTGCCCGTCCACTTCAACACCATCTACTCCCTCTCCTACCTCGGAGGCGTAACGTCAGGCAACATCTGGATGGGTATCCTTCTTGGCCTTGGCACAGCCGGCGTCATGATCCTCAACACAGTCGCCGCCTGGATGTCCTGGGCCACCAACCAGGAAGCCGGCTATGGGGAGTACCAGTTCTTCTTCTTCGGCTGGCGCACCCTCACCGACGGCTGGCACAAGTTCATCCTGGTCTGGCAGATTGGCGACTCCTTCTTCGCCTTCACCACCGTCATTGCGTGCCTCGCCATCCCCATCTACATGGAAGTCGAGCGGCGCGATCGCGGCGCAGAGGCGAAGGCCACGTCTTTGTTCAAGGCTCTAAAGACAATCTCTAATCTTCGCTACCCGCTCATCATCATCGGCTCGGCGGCCATGCTGCTCGTTGCATGGCCTCTCATCCTCTGGGTGGAGCTGATCATCCAGCGGAACAACATCGAGTCGGACACGGATTGGATAGCCGTCTGGCTTTTTATTGTTCAGGTGGGACTGCTGATGATCCCGAGCTTTAATGGATATTTTGGATATTTGGCTAAAAGAGCCTGGTCACGGATGTTTTAAGTCACGTTAATGATATAGACAAGCAATGATGAGCGGAGGATGTTCGTATTTTTGGTTCACGGATGCCCGATATACCTATTTATTTTTTTCTGATATTATAACTCAAATTAACCTAGTTCTGCCTATGCTAAAAAACCTTTTCGTGCATACATTTCACTTTCTTCCTTACCATTAATCTACCTCCTTGGCTGTGAGTCCCTGGCACAATAATTCCTCTGCTATGCTCAGAGACTCGAATCACCCAGTCGTCTTTCGTGGTCATTTTATCATCAGGCGGGACCGTTGAACAACAAAGCCTTAGTGTCTGCCACCCCTATTGTTGCATTCCGACACCATGCCAAGGTGGAGTTCTAGGCTGTGGCATTCTGCATAAATAAATGAAATATACTGCTAGGATGAAGCGAACCAAGCGTGGCGGTTCGCTCAGCTTGGGCATCATGATTGGGCTGAAGTGCCGATGTTTCTCCAACCGCTGGCGAGCTGACAACAGCATCAACATTCGGCTACCTACGTTGAAGATAGCTGCTATCAACTAGCAGTTGAGAGATTTCCTCCTCCATCATGGTTGCGGTTAATCGAAACGGTTTTACTCTGCTTGGAAAGGAAGTGGCAAGGAGCAAGCCGCCACGATGGAAGTTGGTCAAAATACCCTCCCCCGTACCCAAGAGTTCTGCTGACGTGCCCAAGCATCATTTTCATCCATGGTCTTCGGGGCCATCCACAGAATACGTGGGGCCGGGGCTCTGACGAAAGCCCGGATGCCGAGCGGGAACCTACTCCTAAACCTACATCGAGGCTCAAAACTCTCTTTAAGCGCGACAAGTCCCAACTTCGATCCGATCGATCCAGTTCCGGGCCAAGCAGCCCACAGCCCCGTCCCTTCTGGCCAGACGAGTTCATACCGCACGATATCCCCGAAGCCATAGTATGGACGTACGGATACAATTCAGAGGTGATAAGTGGTCTTTTTACGCCAAATAATGCAAATAGCGTCTTCCAGCACGGCCGGGACCTTGCTGGGCGGTTTGAGCGGGAGATAAAGAACGAGGTCATTCCCCATCCAAGCTCTGTTGATGAACTTCATTAGCTAAGGCTTTTTTAGCATCCGGTGATTTTTGTTGCACACAGCCTGGGGGGCATCATCCTCAAAGAGGTACTTGGCCTCCCTCACCCTAATATGTTTGTAATCTGACATCAGGTTCTCCAGGCCATACGAAAGTCGCAGGTGTGCCGATCAAGAACCAAGCTAATTATCTTTCTCGGCACTCCTCATCGTGGGAGTCGCGCTGCTAGCTGGGGCGTGACCGCAGCCAAGCTAGCCCGCCTTGCCTTTTCTCCGAACATAACCCTCGTGGAGTCCCTCGACGTGGACAGCCTTGCGCTCGATACAATACATGAAGAATTCATAAACATTGTGCATGATTTTCAGCTACAAATCCATTCCTTCCAGGAAGGGCGGCCGATGTCGACGATCCCAGGACATATTGAGAAGGTTCAATCTACTCAGGAACTTGATTCTAGAACCAACATGTTGACCAGTCTCTAGATTGTTGACGACTTCTCATCAAGGCTTGGCCTGCCCCAAGCTTTTGAGAGGGTTGAGACGCTCGATGCTGACCATAAACAGATGGTCAAGTGCACAGGCAGGGAAGATGACCGCTATCGAACTATTCGTAGTGTGATACAGCATTTTATCCACCGGCCACCGGTTGAGGCAAGCTCTGCCGCAAGAATCACCAATATGACAACCTCGCTCTCTTTAGAGGCCGGAGCACCTCGGTTAGACACCACAGAAACAGGTAGGCTAACAAGTCAATTCTTTCGATTGCCTTTGCTTACCTCTCTTAGACCGGGTGTTCTTTTGCATTCCATTCATGTTGAACTCCCGTTTCGTAGGACGGGACAACATTCTATCTAAGATCTCAACCACCCTGTTCACCAACAATGGATACAACAGACTTGCCCTGGTTGGTTTGGGGGGCATCGGTAAATCGCAGATTGCCATCCAGTTTGCGTTCTGGGTCGAACAGAACAAGCCCAAAGTTTCGGTTTTTTGGCTTTCGGCGTTGAGCAAAGCCAGCTTTGAGCAGTCTTGCCGGGAAATCGTGACACAATGCGACCTTCGTCAATCTTCTGCGACTATTGATAATGATGCCACAATATTAGTGCAGCAATACCTAACCTCGAAAGCCTCTGGGAAATGGGTTTTAATTCTGGACAACGTGGACGATGCGCAAATTCTTGGGCGACCTATACATTCCTTCCTTCCCAAAAGTAGGGGTGGATTGATGCTTTTTACGACACGGTCTCAACAGATCGCCAGTGACCTTGCTACCAGCGAAGTCATCAGAATCCCTGAGATGTCCCCGGCGGAGGCGAAAGGGTATCTGGAAAATTCACTCTCTCAGAAGGACTTAATCAAAGATGAAGCCGCCACTGAAGCCCTCTTACGAACACTCACTCATTTGCCTTTGGCAATTACTCAAGCTGCAGCATTTATCAACAGTAATAGTGTTTCAATTGCCCGATATCTTGACTTAATCAACCAGGCTGATGGGAATATGGTTGAGCTGCTCAGCAGTGAGTTTCAGGATGAGACAAGATACCCCGAAAGCGCAAATGCTGTGGTTGCGTCCTGGCTCGTGTCTTTCAATCGAATTAGCGAGACAGACACAGTTGCCACCAGATTTCTCTCGTTCCTGGCCTGGATCGAGCCAAAGGGAATCCCTCAATCCATATTTCCCGAGGAATCCGAGATCGAGCTATGCCGAGCTATTGGGACACTTCTAGGTTATGGGTTCTTGTCCCAACGAAAGGAGAATGGTATATATGATATGCACAGCCTTGTTCACTTGGTGACTCAGACGTGGAACAGCAACCACGGGGAAAATTCGTGGACTTTGAGAGAAACTATGTCTCAAATCATCATGGTCTTCCCATCTATTAAGTGGGAGAATCGCGAAGTGTGGAGGCAATACCTTCCTCATTCATTACGGGCTCTGCAAAATGCTGCTACGCTCGATGATGAAGGGACCCGCTTGGGGCACTGGATTGGCAAGTCCCTTCGAGAAGATAGGCGCGACCAAGAAGCAATTGAAGTGCTTGAGCGTGTGTTACAATTCCGGAATGAAGCTCTTGCAGAGGACCACCCAGACCGCCTGGCATCACAACATTCACTAGCAAGTGCTTACCAAGATAATGGGCAGGTCAAAGAGGCAATTAGTCTACTAGAGAAGGTGGTTTTCATTGAATCAGGACTTCTTGCAGAGGACCACCCATCCCGCCTGTCATCACAGCATGCACTCGCAAGTGCGTACCAAGATAATGGGCAGGTCAAAGAGGCAATTAGTCTACTAGAGAAGGTGGTTTTCATTGAATCAGGACTTCTTGCAGAGGACCACCCATCCCGCCTGTCATCACAGCATGCACTCGCACTTGCTTATAACGATGATGGGCAGGTCAAAGAGGCAATTAGTCTACTAGAGAAGGTGGTTTTCATTAAATCAGACCTTCTTGCAGAGGACCACCCATCCCGCCTGTCATCACAGCATGCACTCGCACTTGCTTATGACGATGATGGGCAGGTCAAAAAGGCAATTAGTCTACTAGAGAAGGTGGTTTTCATTAAATCAGACCTTCTTGCAGAGGACCACCCATCCCGCCTAGCATCACAACATGCACTTGCAGTTGCTTACAAAGGTAACGGGCAGATAAAAGAGGCAATTAGTCTACTAGAGAAGGCGGTCTCAATCCGATCAGACCTTGCAGAAGATCACCCATCCCGCTTGTCATCACAGCATGCACTTGCAGTTGCTTACCAAGACAACGGGCAGGTAAAAGAGGCAATTAGTCTACTAGAGAAGGTGGTCTTGATCGAGTCAAATCTTGCAGAAGATAACCCATCCCGCCTGTCATCACAGCATGCACTCGCAAGTGCTTATGACGATGATGGGCAGATCAAAAAGGCGATCAAGCTCCAGGAGCAAGTGGTCTCGATAAGACAGAGAACACTTGCAGAGGACCACCCAAAGCGACTTGCTTCAGAAGAAAATCTGAAATATTTTCATCAAGCCTATCGTCAATGAGCCATCAAAAAAACTCATATTCATTGTCAAGGCTTCTAAGCTGTTCCATGCATACATACCTACAATGATTAACGAAGAAAAGTGGCAAGAATACCAAGGTTTTGTTTGAGCGCATGTGAAGCTGCCAGGTTGCGTAAACCAGATTTAGTAATTTAAAACTACCTAAACTAGGTAGGGCGTATGGTCAGTAAATAACTGTTTTGGCCCTATTTTACCTAAACCCGCTCATCCACAACCCTACTGTCCGAACCAGCTCTTTCCCGTTGTGCTTCCCAAAGTACATGGTTGAGATATATTCAACTGAAGCTCATCTAAGCGACCAAAGGCTAGTTATTGTACAAAGAGAAGGGACAGCAAGGGGTGTTGCGGGCGCAGAAATATTGAATGAGGAAAGCTAGCCAAGATTTATATGAGATAGAATGGGAAGGAGGCACCTTGGGGGAAATATACCCTTCCTGAATTTTCAAAATGCGTTTTTCCAATCGGCCCTCAATGCTGCCATGGTCGACTAGCGGTTGCCCCCTCCTTTGACCTAGACACTAGTGCGCCACAGCAGACGATAGGGAAGGATTGAGGTCGAAAAAAAGGCAGCCTGCCCTAGTCTCGTTTAGATACTGTCGGCTCTATACTTGTGATTGCGATGCTCTGTGAGAGTATCTCAGTACTTAACTCTGCTATATTACCCCATGGATACGCGTCTTCTACATTCACACAGAGCGTTCGTGGTGTGAAGGCAATGTATATCTCTTTACTCAAGCCCACGCCTGTTCGGCGTTCTAAAGGGGAAGAAAACATCTAAATCCCGAGGTCCGCGAACTCCGAAACGCTGAAGATGATCTTCTTGACGCTTTTCGGAAGGAGCAGCGCTATTTTCCACCTTGATTCATATGGCATCCAGGCTTGAGTACTGCCATCCGCGAAGAACGAGGTCCTCGTGTGAGCCTTTAAAAGGAGAAACTGATTAGTTCAGCCAGCCAACTGACGAGATGTTCCAACTGACAAGCGTTCCTTGGATACAGATAGCGAGAGCTCAGTGAAGTTGGCTCCCTACGCAGGTCAGTCAGAAGATCCGCCGCACGGAAAAAATCAAGGGCCAATCCGTAGCACTGTTGGCAAACCATGGACTGGCAAGAAGGGTATTGCAGAGGGCGTTTACTCTGAGGAAATAGTGCTTGTCGTCTCCTCCCTGGCCCTGATGACCGGCCACTCTGATGGACCGGTAGATAGATCAAATGTCAAAAAGGGAGAAACGGTTTGCAAGTGTGCAGCATGTGCAGGGCCAGTTGCCTATCACATAGCTGTAGGAAATATGAAGATCCAATTGATTTATCGACTAATGGAGCATGCTCCAGGATGTGCTACACAGTTTCGACAAGGCCACTTTCCAGCCCTGCCTTGTTTTTTCCATGCGATCATAGAAACTTGCATTTCCAAGGACCCGCTGCCGTTCACATGACCACGGCACAAGATTCGTAAGTGATCGACCAGGACGTGTTTCGAGGTGCACCCCTCATTGGCCGGTATTTCCGAGGTGCTTCGCGAGGCAGATTCAGCCTCTCGACACATGCAGTATATCTATATATATATTGGCACTCAGTCATGCAAGCTTGCCTTTTCGGGGCCTGGAGTCCATAGATTCTGCGAATGCAAGTGCTGCCTATCCCCGACATAGCCTAACGACAGCTTATTACAATTAAGAAGCGTTGATTCTAACCACTCGAATCTTTGCCAGATCTGCTCAATATCACTACATGGAGGCTCTTGGCGCCGTCGCTAGCTGCATTACGCTACTGGAGGTGTCACTCAAAACGTTGAGTTTTGTGAGACAGATCTCCGAGGTCCAGGAGGACTTTGCAAACCTGAGAGAAGAGGTAGGCGCCCTATGGAGGACGGTTATTGTTGGGACTTCTCTAAGAAACAAGCTACAAGATCATTACGATCAATACCCTTACCCAGGACTTGCAATCTCTGCCAGTTCTTTTTCCTCGCAATCCATCCTCCCCAAAGCTAGCTGAACCAAGATCAATCTTCCGAGCGGCCAGCCAGTTGCGGCAAATTAAGGATGACCTCGAAAATATCGCAGCGTATTGCGCAGCCAATCCTAACAATGGGGCCGCATCCCTAGCAAGGAAGCGAAAATGGGTGCTAAAGCAGAACAGAATATCTAAGCTTCTTGTCAAGGCCCGCAACGCGAAAGAAAATCTTCAAGTAGCCGTTAACCTTCATCTTGCTACTGTATTTGCCCTTCAATCTATGACAGAAAATATGTGAGAAAGTGTACAAAGAGCCGTCATTCTCGGGAATACTAATATAATGCATTAGATCTCGCTCGGAGAAGACATCAATTATACCATCTTCAAGAGGTGTACCAAAATCTCCCGTAGAGGGTTCACATTTACGAGTCGCTGGGGACACGGCGGGGAATTATCAGGACGCGAAACTCAAGACCCAAGAGAAGACATCACAGCCTATCGCCGTTTCTGAAGAACCGCCGAATGATTTGGCACCGAGCCCAGCTAGGGAGTCAGTTCTCATACCTCCAGCCCAGAAACTTGCCTTCGAATCCAGGTCTTCAAGTCCAAACTCCAGCGGTACCGTTGAATTTCGGCCAGCTCGCTCTCCGGCATGCCAATGTCGACCTCTTGTAAACCAATATCGCTACCCAGGGCCAGCCATCTTACAGCTACTTCTCGGAACAGTGGGATTTTCTCACTCCCGTGATCGTGAGGGCTTAAGCTCTGCTTGTCCAATCTGTTCTCGTAAAATCGTACAGGGAACCTCGATAAATGTCGAGTACAGGCTTCCAAAATGGCTTTGGGCCGGGGTGTTGTTGCTCAACGCCTCCTTCAGCAGCTCTGGTTTGCGCTTTGCACTGCGCCCAGCTCGGATCGTTGATTCTAACCATGTTATATGGCGACATATAGAACGGCCAACAACTGATTCTACTCTGTATGACGAACTTACATTCTATCCCGACGACCAGAATGAAGCAGGGCAAGGACTAATAGAGGTAAGAAAACGATCAAGACTTCCATCAAACGCATCTAAAGCATTACAGTACGCCATCAGTTACCGCTCGTTCAAAATGGTTGAGAAATTTATTCTAAACTGGGAGAGTTTGATTTCGAATCAAGGGCTGTCGGCGTAAGTGACATACCGCTACGAGTACATATAGGGTCTGACAATCCGCAGAAGAATTGCCTCCCAGATTCACCAGGCTCTTGATTGGGGCCATTGCCAAGCGGATGAAATCAACATCCTCAACAGGGTTCTTTCATTCATTGATGATGTGCCGCAGTGCAACACAACCCTGGTACACTTGGCAGCCCTCGGGGAAGTAGAGATGATGGAGGCATTAGAGGAAGAGCCCTGGGCAATTAACCAGCCAGATCGTTACGGGATGGCTCCCATACACTACGCGAGTATGGATGGTGACTTGGAAATCCTGAAAATGCTGATTTGGGCAGAAGCTGACGTTAACATATCCGATCTTGACGGTTTGACACCTCTCATGTTTGCAGCATTGAACGGCCATGTCGACTGTATCCGTCTGTTGGTAGACCACAAATGCAACATTGAACAAAGATCGCATACCGAATTCCGAGCCATACACTATGCGGCGCAATTTGCCAGCCGAGATCAGTCCTTGCATTGGTTGCAGCAGGCGCTTCAGCCTCAGCTCGTGGCTGGCTTGGACAAACACCTCTACACCGACTGGCCCGTTCCGAAATGGGTACCAGTTTCGAAGCCATCAAAGAAACAATATCATCCCTCCTGGTGAGCAAAGGGGTCAGCATTGACGCTAGAGATTCGAATGGAGACACGCCCGTTTTCCGCGCGGTCGCCAAAGGCAACCTTCCAGTTTTACGATGTCTGGTAGAGGCAGGGGCATCTCTGCTCCCAGTGAATGACGACTCAAGAAACATACTCCACATGGCGGCTATGTATCCAGATGATACAATCTTGCGATATCTATTAAGCCTTGATTCTAGAGTTTTCTTGGGCATCAACACCGAGCATCGAGCTGCTGATGGCCGCACCCCAATGGACCACGTCCCCATCCACGGCCCTAGTGCAATACAAAGCCCCCAAGAGATGGTCGTATGCGAATCTCTACGACGAGATATTCAGAAGCTATATTGCCTTATTCGATATGCAAATCTGAGGCATCGAAATGAACAACTGCGCACGATTATAAGGCTGGTGGACCAGAAACAAGCGCCATGCGCCAGGTTGCAACTCGCACGTGTGATCAATGAAAAAAAGGAATGGGGACAAATCGAATTGGCTTCTTGGTACCGTGGAATTGACCAACTAATAGAGGTGCAAGAATTTAACAAGGTTGTCATTGCTCTTGAAGATGATATACAACAGTTGACTACACAAATTGGGACTGTCGAAGCCGTTGGAATGAGCAATGGGGGTGGTGTTTCGGAAATTTTTAATTAGATACAACAATGATGGAAAGCTACCATTAATTTCGGTACTAATCAATCATTTCTTTATGGATGTTTATCAAGGAGTTTTCGAGCAGAAATCGTCTTTAGATGAACACCGTACCCCTTCGATTTCATTCCACACTTTCATTGTTCCTTCTAATTTTAAAGAGCAATTAGCGAGCAAAATCTTAGAAAACTGCGAGTGATTCAATTCATTCAACACTTTGACGCAGAATTCAAGATGCTCACATGCGTGCCCAAGATAGGGAATTCGTCAAAAGCGTCCCACTCCAGTGCTTGGTACGAAGCACGTCCCACACCTATGCTGCGAATTACGTTGCTAGGTCGACAACTTCATATGAAAGTAGCTAGATCAACTGACTAGGATGTTTGTCTCTCAATGGAGCCGGTGTTATTGTTGGCCCGGTTCATGGGCAGATGGGCTGACACGCTCAACCTGCAATCTAAATCCGGCTCTCGGCGATTGAAGTGCCGCCGTCCCATCACATGAGATGTAGAGATTGATAAGATCAAATACGAAATCTCCACTTGGTGTGGTTCCTAGTGCAAGCTTCTCTCAACCGCCAAGGTTCATGGGAAAGACGGGTAAATCTGCTCGACAGTGAGCCAATCCTGTTGGAGCAGCTACACTCCGGCCACTAGCCTGCAATTTTCAGCGAGTCCACCTACACGATATATACACATCTGGGGATGAAAATGACCAGTTCTGGGGAGAAAATTGGGCGAGGACCCTGCTGGACCCCTTGCCGTTACTGTGCCGGTGATCCCAGTAATGTACTCTACCCTTCTCAGTCGGGACGCAAAAGCTCTCCTTAGTGCTGCGTGCAAGGATCTGTTTGACCAGATGAAAAAAGATCGAGCAAACAAACCGCGCATAGAATCAAGTCTTCCAGGCAAATACCATCATCCGTTGCCCCATTTTACCAAAAAGAACTTACCTAGTAATAGCAGGAGACTGGTGCGGTCCTCAAATACAAAATGTCGGCTCAATGTCCTCAAGTATGGATTTACTCTACTTCTTGTAGAGCTCTATGAAACTAGCACGCTTTAGGAGAACCCGACAAATCTCATTTCAACGCTCTCGCCATGGCCTCCGATCCCAACGATGGAGGGGCTAGCCCGATCTCAGGCCAGAAACTCAAACCTTGTGAAGACACAATCCGAGATGATTCAGAGAGTCAAGAAGAGAAGCTCCCTGGAGTTATTCACATGGAGGCTTTCAACGACCACATAACCCTTACGGAGAGATACGTCCTTTTCTCCAGCATTTTCATCATAGGATATGCTTTCGGCCTAGATGGGCTTGTTCGGTCCACGTATCAAGGATACGCAACTTCTTCCTACTCTCAACATTCACTGCTCTCGACTATCAACGTCATTCGCGGAGTTATTGCCGCGGCGGTTCAGCCTTTAGTTGCTAAACTCTCTGATTTACTCGGCCGCCTGCCTCTGTTCATCATTGCTACGCTTTTCTACGTTGTCGGAACAGTGGTCGAGACGTGTGCCACCAGAGCAGATCATTTTGCCGCTGGCGCCCTTCTGTACCAAATCGGATATACATGCACTCTCCTGGTATTCGAGATAATCATTGCGGATATCACTTCTATACGCAGCCGAGTCTTTTTTGTCTTTGTACCAAATATGCCTTACCTTATCAACGCGTGGATAAGCGGCGATGTCGTTGCAGCTGTGCTAAAAACGACCACTTGGCAATGGGGCATTGGGATGTGGTGCATCATTTATCCTATCTGTACCATTCCCTTCATTGCAGTGATGGCTATTGTTGGACGACGCGCTTCAAAAGCAATCCCAGGCAAGGCTAAATTGGCACTCTTCAAAGGCAAGAACAAATTGCAAATGCTGGTAGATCTCTTCTGGAAGCTCGACATCGTAGGTGTCTTTCTTCTTACAGCAACTCTGTCCCTGACACTCATCCCTCTCACCCTGGCTGGAGGAGAGAAACAAAAGTGGAAGACCGCCGGCATCATCACGCCTCTAGTTCTAGGTTTTGTCATGGCATTTCTTTTTGCCCTTTGGGAATGGAAGACCGCGCATCCAATGATGCCCAAATATCTCCTTCGGGAAAGAGGCATTTGGGCAGCGCTTTGTGTCGCCGTCTTCATGACCTTTTCCTGGTATACACAAGCCGACTTCCTCTATACCGTTTTGTTGGTAGGATTTGACTTTAGCATTGCTGATGCTACACGCATTGCCTCTGTCTACAGCTTTTGTGCTGTGTTTGGAGGAGTATCTCTGGGTTTGATCATCAGAAAGATCCGAAGACTCAAACCTTTCATCATTGGAGGTATCGGTGTCTGGACTCTGGCATACGGTCTTCTCGTCAAGTTTCGCGGAGGTGCCGATCCAAGCGCAAAGGCGGGCGTGATCGCCGGCCAGGTTTTGCTGGGCTTGGCTGGCGGGTTCTTCCCGTACCCCAATTTGGCCGCAGCTCAAGCCCTGACCAAGCATGAGGACATAGCAGTGGTGACCAGTATCATGCTCACCATGAACAACGTCGGGATGGCTCTCGGGAACGCTGTCTCGGGCGCTATCTGGACCCAGACCTTGTACGCGCAACTTCAAAGGGACCTGGCTCCCAACACCCAGCTTGCGGAGCAGGTCTACGCTTCGCCTTTATACGTGGTTCCCAATTTCCCTGTCGGTTCTTCCGAGCGCACGGCTATTATTGAAAGCTATCGATACATCCAGCGGCTCCTAACCATCACAGGCATCTGTTTGGTGGTTCCGATGTTGGCCTCTGCGCTGTGTTTGAGGGATACAAGACTGCCAAAACCCAAATCAACTCGCTAAGAGGCTTGCCATAGTATTCTTTTCTACACCGTACCAAGGTTGGGATCCAACTAGTGTTTATACTGCTCTTCTACTACATCATCCCAAATTTTGTGTTCAAGTAAGGCCATGAAAACCGAGTTTGACAACGCATCTATCAACATGTTGGGGTGGATGTGAGAAAAACAATGAAAGTTGTGGGTAAAGATAGCAGGCATTTACTCTAGCTTAGTTCATCATGTAACGGACATTGCTTTGCTTGTTCGTATTTCTTTTAGGGTGGTTCTGTTCAGGAGCGCGGACTCTTTAATTTGATCTATCTAGACTTTGACCAAGGAAAATGCCTCATGATCCTACATCGAAATCAGCCAAGCGCGATATCAAGTAGCAGCTAATTACATGTACCATCCCAAGTCCTTCTTATACCGTCTCCACCTCATCAGGCCACGATAATTTCGTGGGAGGTAACAATGCCAGTCAAGCCGTCATCACGAGGCAGCCCTGTCAACCTTACTATAGTATTTCTCTAACTGAGTTATCTTTAAAAGTATTAAAAAAAATTAAAAAATGTCACAGATTAGGCCAACCAGGCAAAAGGAAATCCTTTCCTAGTTATCCACAGTTCACTATTACATAGCACCTGTCATAAAAAATAAAAGCTTAACAAAACACCTAAAGGGGTAAGGTAATAATTACTCTGCCTCTATATACTACTTTTCTCTATTACTCGCTCTCTATTTTCCCTTCTTAGCAGGAGCAGCCTTCTTAGCAGGAGCGGCCTTCTTAGCAGGAGCAGCCTTCTTAGCAGGAGCGGCCTTCTTAGCAGGAGCGGCCTTCTTAGCAGGAGCGGCCTTCTTAGCAGGAGCGGCCTTCTTAGCAGGAGTAGCCTTCTTAGCAGGAGTAGCCTTCTTAGAAGGAGTAGCCTTCTTAGCAGGAGTAGCGGCCTTCTTAGTGTTTACCTTCTTTGAGAGAGTAGGGGTCTTCTTCTGGGTAGCACTCTTAGTAGTAGGCTTCTTGGTGGCACCCTTCTTACTAGCACCAGCCTGCTTAGGAGCAGGAGCCTTCTTGGAGGCTCCCTTCTTGCCAGCAGCACCCTTCTTACCAGCAACAGCCTTCTTACCAGCCGCAGCCTTCTTAGGAGTAGCACCCTTCTTAGAGGCACCCTTCTTGCTGGCTCCCTTCTTGGATGCTCCCTTCTTGGCGATAGCACCCTTCTTGCTAGCAGCACCCTTCTTAGCAACGGCACTCTTCTTGGCAGCAGTGTTCTTCTTGCTGGCACCCTTCTTGGCAGCAGTGTTCTTCTTGCTGGCACCCTTCTTAGCGGCAGCACCCTTCTTAGTAGCGCCCTTCTTGGCGATAGCACCCTTCTTGCCAGCAGCACCCTTCTTAGCAACGGCACTCTTCTTGGCAGCAGTGTTCTTCTTGCTGGCACCCTTCTTAGCGGCAGCACCCTTCTTGCTGGCTCCCTTCTTGGCGATAGCACCCTTCTTGCTAGCAGCACCCTTCTTAGCAACGGCACTCTTCTTGCCAGCAGCACCCTTCTTAGCAACGGCACTCTTCTTGGCAGCGGTGTTCTTCTTGTTGGCACCCTTCTGAGCGGCTACCTTTTTGTTGGCTGCGCCAGCCTTCTTACCCGCAGCAGGGGTCTTCTTGGCGCCAACCTTTTTGTCAACCTTGGTAGGAGTCTTCTTGCTGTTGGCAGCCTTTGCCTTAGTGTCGGGAGTGGATTTCTTCTGGTCCTTGCTGGATTTCTGTGGGAGCAGACAGACTTGCGATCCATCTCTCTTGGTTACACAGTTTGCACCGCCGATATGGGAGGAACAGCCCGACTCTCCAGTCACTGGGTCCTTTTTGCAAGGCTTCTTGATGGGATTGCCAGTCTTTGGGTCTGTGCCTGCAATCGCCCATGTGGCCTTTTCCGGATTCGTATTGCCTTTGACTCCGCTGGCTGGGTTCTTGGCGAGGGCAATGTTACCAATCTCGGCACAGTTGCCCTTGTTTTTATGAGGGCCCTTTCCACAAGTATCCATATAGCTTTCCGTTGCTTGGCTGGTGGTGTGACCGGGTGTACCCTGTAGAGAAAGTCTCGGTTAGCACGATATCCGCCATCATGGTCACTCGATTCGGCGTTTGGAGACATACCTTGATGCTGGAGTGGTAAACAAGGTCACCTTTCTGTCTTCCAACGGCATTCTTGTCCTGTTCGTGTGGATACCAGGCCCCTGACATGGCACTGGGTGTCTGCGCGTCAGTCAGGCCCTTAACTTTGGCATCAGCCTTCATGTGTTGGTATTCCTTGTTGACGTCCGCATCAAAGGCGCTGTCTTCAGGCTTGAATACACCTGGTTTCACGCTCGACCAGCTGTAAGAGCCATCGGCATGATTGTTGTACTCCACTGTGCCGGCGGCCAGGACTCCCCCGACCAGTTGCAGGAGCAACAAACAAGCAATGTTTTTGATACGCATGGTGGAGATACGTTCAGAGTATTCTCGGATGGTGTTCAGAAGAAGGAATCGGTTTTCCTAGGGGCCAGCCCAAGTTGAGAACAATCCAAGAGAAGTAAGTAGGAGATGGGGTGGAAAGGATGAATGAACAAATAAGAAATCGAAATAACCCCGAAGATAGAAAGGAAAATAGAGGAAATGCTAGGACAAAAGAGAAAGAGGAATGAAAATAAAAAATGGAAAGACTTGGGAAGAGAAAGTGAACTGACTTGATCGGATAAACGTTTAATATCAATATCTTCAGCGACCTCAACTCGAAGCGGCCCGAAGGATTTGGCTGGGCTCCACCGGGCTGAACATAGTGGAAATCTTTAGTGTTACGAAAATCCTAGGCGGGACGGACGCCTGGTAGATATTACGGTATTACGGTACATAAGCGAATTTACTTGGGTGGGCTTCTCCCGGGCGCTAAAGGAACGCGTCTCTTGACGATCTGCGGGACCAGCAGCCAGTGTTTTTCTGCAGTGGGTCGAGATTGATATTTTCGACAATCGTGGAGGTATCCGACGCCCGCTGGCAGTGGAACAATCACTGGCGCCCAGCGCGTCTCCGGCGACGTCTCGCAGAATGAGTAGCAGATGAGTCGCATTAGACAAGATCTCCCAAAGACCTTTGCTGACTGATCCTGCCTCGCGTGCCAGGATCAATTCGGGTGATGACGCTAGCTTCGGACCCGTTGAGTTGATCGCGTGAGACTTCAACCTATTAATCCAGTTTGGGCTACTCTCCCGCACCCAGCCTCAAACAGTCAAGATTTTTCACGGCTCGCTATATATAGGACACTATATGCTGCATGAGCAGGACACGAGCTGGAAATAGCTTGGCACACGAGGCGTGCCGCAGGAACAAGGCACAGCATATTAAATCAAGCGACGTAAAACCAAACTTGCCGACGAAGGCTGCAGGCAGAATTTGACCAAAGTCCCTCCTCCGGCACGCCCGATCAGGTAGTGACTGATTTTTAATTTTTTTTTAGAACCAACAATCTGCTCATTCCCCGCAGACCATTTCATTCATTCATACTTGGGCGCCTCTCCCTGTCCATCCACCATCCGACCGCGACTCTGGACCTAGGCCCAGCAGCGACGACCCTGTGTGCGCTCTATGACCAACATCATGGCATCGTCAGCATCTCCTTTATCGCTTCTCTCCCTGCCCTTTGACATCAGGAAGCGGATCTATGCCTTTGCCGGGCTGATCCGAGAATGTCCTGTCACCATTGCGCCGTCTTCCCAGGCAAGCCTCTTCTATGACCCCCGGCCACTACCTCCAAATCACACCTGCGCCTTTAAATTTCGCCAGCAAGGGAAGCCGGACCGCGCGTCGCGCGGCCATGCCCCGGACTGCTTGTGCCCAGAGTTCCCTAAACAGCTGCTGCTCGTCTGCAAGGCCCTGCACCAAGAGGTCCAGAAAGTCCTCTACGGCGACAACAAGTTTGTCCTCTGCACCCACGGCGACCCTGGCGGTCTCGGGGCCTTGAAGACACTTTCCAAAGACGCGATATGCTCGTTACGCTACCTTCTCGTCCGGCTGAATAGCTGGCCTTGTCCTCGAGGGCACAGCCGTGCCAACTTGAAGATGAATCGGTGTCAGATCTGCCCCAACTCTGTTTCGCAAAGCGACCCGGAGCTCTCAGCTGGGGACAACGCATCTGAACTTATTCTCAAGGAGTGGGAGACAATATGCCAGAGTCTATCACATATTCCTCCGGGCCATCTCCAACTTGAGTTTATCTGCGATGTCAGTGATGCAGACACTGCTCGGCGTGTATTGCAGGCATTAGACTCTATCCCCCGCCTTAAGGAGTGTATAATCAGGCTTGGGAGGAAACCTAACCATGCCCTCCAGTCAATTGCTACAGAAACCGCTACCAGAGTCGCCGCAAAGAGCAGTATATCTCAACCTTTCCACTACTTCGGACTACCTCAGGAAGTCCGTCTCCGCATTCTCTGGTATACAAACCTAGGGCTGGGGGGTTCATTCCTCCCAAGCCAAAAGAGTCTCCATGTCGTCAATGGGAAGCTCGACCAACGGTTCGCCTCATCTGGCATGCACACCAGCGACGCTGTACGGTCGTGTTGTCTCCAGTGCTCCTTTACCAAACTCCATTGCTCCTGCCCCTTGAAATACGCGGCATACAGCCCTTACTGCCAGTGCAGGTCCCTCCCTCTGGAGCTCTTCCATGTCAGCCGGCAGATGGCCCAAGATGCTTCTGAGGTGCTTTATTCTATGAACATCTTCCGATTTAGGGGCTCGTTCTCTGATACAAAAAACATGCTCAGTATGATTCCTGGAGAATCTCTGAAGCAGCTGAAGCGCATTGAGTTTGACCTCGACACGATGCAGACATTGCACTGGGATAAGCACAAGGCAGATTGGCGTGATCTTCTCTCATTTATAAGCACTCATTGCGATCACACTAGGCTTCATCTGAAAATCACCGTCGATCCAGGGGACTATGAGGTCGTTCGGGAAACCGAGGAAGTTGAGGAAGCAATGGTCGACTTTTATGCCGCCTACGTTGATCTCATCCGCGCTATCAAGGAGGCCGGTCTCGGGCTCCAAGACTTCCACCTATTCCTGCCGTTGTTCTTCGACTTGGAGCCTGTCCTGGAGAGATACATCATGGGCCCGGACTATGACAGCAAGAATGGAAATCGGTATTCGAAGGCTGCCCACAGCGCGGAGCTATATCCGCACGTCCACCCATACTTTAAGTCGATCCCTGACTGGCATAAGGATCTGATTGATTGATTGATTGATTCAATCTACTCGATTTCAGCCGCTATTGAACTCCGCAGCTATGCCCGGTTAACAGGTGCTGGCAACCAGCCGAAGCATTCCCCAGAAACGTCCCACTTCGCCCCGGTGTTGGATCGAGGCCAGCTGTTCCCATCGTCCTCGTCGAGATCTACGTATCCGTCGCCTCGCAGGACTGGCTAGGTCTATATAGCACACTTGACATACGTCCATCACATACGACCATACCCATTCGAAAGCACGCGATCCCGTCATATCCTCGCATTCTAGGAGTATTAGTATCTAAAAGATCATCCCTTAGCCTCCATCTTTAGAACCTAGTATATCTCTTTCAAGCAGCCATTACTCTTGGATAATTTCATTTACGACGATTAGTTTTTAGTACACTTTACACCACCTTCCTAAATAAAAAAAACGGTGACCATAATAAACGCTAACCTTCTTGTGAAACAGCCTATGCCTTATCCTAAGAAGCATTTTATAATGGGTGATATTAGCTTGATTTTTGTTGTTGAGCCAATCATAAGGGGAGTTAGTGGCACCCCTCACTTTATCACATCCTGGCATAGCCACAAGCAGTCAATGTAGTATCAAGAGTTGTCAATTAATGCCCACACAACCTCCCCCTAACCTTCATAAGACTGATGGTAACACATCCAAGGCCCTTGTTCACTCTAGGGTTCTCAAGCGTTTCTTAACATATCTCATGCTGGGCGGTGAGTGCCTGGTCTTATGGATCTCAGACCAGGTTAACCTCGTATACTCTACACTGCCCAATTCGAGTACTGGCCCAGCCTGAACTCTCGGGAGAGCTATCAAACAGTTCGAAGGCATTGAGTAGTTGACTGATGTCGTTTCCGTAGAATATCCCCAAGCGGCTGAATGTTTGAGATTGTTCACTCTTTTCGAGGATAAGCCCACATGCTTCTGGGGTATCCACATCGTAAGCTTTTCCATAACCCCCTGTCTGTAGAAGAAACAGCTCTACAAGGTCTTGCCGCACAATATCCTGCCTAGTCGTGAAAACTTCGGAGGGGTAATCACATATGGCATCGATACCGGACCGACGAAGCCTTTGTTTGCCAGCATCATTTGTGCCGGGCTGCTTCAGGTAAATGAGTGAATCCCGGTCTAGATATGCTTCGGCTATCCTCCCACGGAGTTTCAATACAGCTGTTGAGAGATCGAGAGAGTCTTTTGCCAATTGGCATCTGTCAATAAGAATTTTGGGACCAAGAGTGCCTGTTCCGTCTAGATAGGGTTCAACCATTCCAAGAACTGAAAGCCAAGACCAAGAAGGTATGCCGTCTTTTCTTCTACATGTAGATTCTCCTGGCCGCCAGAGCAAGTTAGCGTAGAGATCATCTACGGGATGCCCACACACGACAGAAGACCCGAAAACCAATTCCATCTCCTTGGCAATTCCGGCTATTGCAAGTGGCCTATCGCTCTCTCGTGTTAGTTGGCGTTGGGAATATTCCTTAACAATATGGTTCCACAAATGGCGATGGAAATTACGCCTGGAGGACGCAGGGACGTATTGGGACCTTTGAATTGCAAGGCTTTCAAAATTTCCCTTCCCCAGTGTCTCGTCAAGTATTATATCGTTTGGTGACACACGGGGATATATATTGGGGATGAACCCGAGCATTCCATTCTGCCTTTGGACCTCAAAATAGTTGTGCGTTGCCCTGGCGCGGATAGTGGCGTAAGAATTCAGAGAACCAGACCCAAGAGGATTGTAAAACAAAGTGAGAGGGGAGTAATGCGGGAAACTATAGGAAAGATTGTGGGTAGAACAGTTCCAAAAGATTCGCTCGGGGCCGAAGTGAAGAACTCTTGATGAGAGTATCATTTCCTGGTATGTCCATGCTCTATCATTGAGGGGCGACTGAGTTATCTCTTCGTACATCGTACTATCGCAAGGGATGTGATGAAAGTCGCGCCCATTTAGCTGGCTCTGAATAGCGTTTGGAATAATCGAATTCCATTTTCTCGGAGAGAATAGTCCATAGGAACCGTCCGATGCATGGCTTGCTGCTATTGTGCATGTAGCTTGGGCGTACACCTTAGGCATCATGCGAGCCTCTCTGTCCCAATCCTCATTCGAATCTTGCAGTACACATAGATAATCTATCCAGAGGTATTCGTAGCCAAGGGCTCTTGTAAGTTCCAAGGCGTCGTTAACCGTCTGTGTCAGCTGTTCAACAGGGATAGCTCTCAACATATCATCTTGCGTTTCTTCGGTAAGCATGTATGTGATCACTCCAACCCCCCAACAGTGTGACAGCGCAAGATACTCAACGACATGAGGCAGCTCATGGCCTAATCGCGGTGGATCCGTTTTTGACCCCACTGCGACCAACCGCGTTGGATTCCAATGCTCTGATTTCCGGGTGCGCTCACTGCAGAAAACGTGGGACTTTTTGCATTTCTGGATCCAGATTTTGGCTTGTTGTATTTCTGCCAATTTTCCCTGACCCAGTTCCGTTGGCAGTGCTTGAGCATAGCAGCCAGATTGGACTGCAGTCTTGGTAGTGAATGCGAATGAGCGAGCAGCGGGCTCGGTTAGGGCTACCAAATTAGTTAGGTTAGCTCATCTTAAATCTAAGCTGCAACTATGAACCCAGCATACTTCGTGGTAAAAGTCGTAGATAAACCCCGCCCAATGACTCGTCTCGGTAACAAGAAAGCACAATTTGTTGGTGACAAACTGACAAAGCGCTATATTCGGTGATGTCGATTTCCACGTGTATCTTGTGACCACGAGACCCCGAAGGGCTTTCAGATTGACCAATACCGAGTACAGGTTTCGAGCATAGAATTGAGCATAGATAACAACCCTCAGAAGAGCAATGCGAAATTCGGCTTGCATCAATGGAGACTTTTAAACCTTGCAGTTCTTTCTTTCCCAAAAGTTGACAAGAGTTTTGCAACAAGTCTCGATGGTATTGTGGTTGGTCACATGGGCACTGCTGGCGTGACATTGTGTTTGCTGGAAACCCATCAGCAGGATCTGCCATCTAAGGAAACAACACACGTTGAGCAATCAGGCTATTCGAGGCTTTTAAGTTAAGAATTGGGCCGTTATTTGGATGATCGGGCCTTGATTCAGGTCAGAAATTTTGGACGAATAAAAACAAAACATCAAGAAAGGGCGGAATGAATACCTAATAGCACTGCCCTGTGATATGCATCTTGCTGGCTGACTGCTAGGCACATTGTAAGGTATACTGCAAGGTATACTGTAAGGCATACTGTAAGGTATTATACTGTAAGGTGTGTTAAAAATATATTGTAGGGTATATATACATAAGTATGCTATAAGTAAGGTATATTACAATAATATAGTATATATTATATCTAAATACTATGAAGCAAGTACTGTGTAAAACGTTAAAAACAACCAGTCGGCGGAAGCTCGGATAGGTGCCACCCACCCTATATCTACAGGCTGATTGCTGAAAGGCAAAGCCTCAGTAAACGCACTAGGTACCTACCTACCTAGTACAGCCTAAGCCCTGGCGCTTAGCAGGCGTCGAACGGTTCCGGCCCCGGTCAGCCGATAAATGGTGGTTAGCTTACCCAGCGGGGAACCGCTTGCCCTGTAGATTACCCGGAAAAATGGCGTTGCTCCCGGAACGCGAGGGATCCCGTCCGCTCTCGCCTAGTTAAACGGATGAGGGGCCGATTAGTAGTTGGGTCGGTGACGACCAGCGAATACCGGCTGTTGTATGTTTTCATTTTTTTGGGTTTTTTCTCTATTTCATTTTGGCGCTTGATACTCTGGGGTATTTTTCTTTGCTTTGCTGACGTAACGTTGGCCATGGGTGGTGGATCGGCTACCAAAACCAGAAAGGCGCGACATGATCGTCAAACCAACCAATCTACTACAAAAGGATTCCCTGCTTGACAAACCTAGTTGAAGCTTTGGACTAGCCGTTCTCTAACTTTCTCAAGACTGACTGCCGTTCTAAAGAGGTTAAATTTGCAAGTTGCTGTGGAGAGATCTATACCACCCTTTCAGGTGGTATTAAAATTGCTGTGAATCGTATGTAATTGGTGCAAAGGGTCACCCAAGTCAGATTTGGAATGATGCTTTGCACCACCACCGTGTATTTCCCGGCTCTACCCTTCTTCAAATACAACAAACTGTGTTAGAGCTTATAGAGCGTAAATTTAGAATAATAGGGCTATTGACAGTTGGCAGAGACTAATATGAACCATACTCTTGAAAGTTTTCCAGTTCACCATCAGCAAGGTAAACTGGTATAGGGTAGATAGTGAGGCGCTAACCACATCGGAGTGGTCGGAGAAATATTGAACAAGGGAGATCAGATTCCGATTCTCCGATCAACTTCACATGAACGCTGACAAGCCACTGGCAGAGTTTAATACGAAAGTGTGCTTCGCTGCCGCCAAAATGACGAGTCAGCCAAGACTGCCGGCCTGCGACCCCTGCAGAGCGTCCAAATTGGCCTGTGACCATGTCAGGCCTGTGTGTGGCCGCTGCCGTGCAAAAGCCCAAGGTTCAAGCTGTGAATACCGGCAAAGGCCTTTCAAGAAGACAAGACGGGCAATTGGCGGCGGCCCTTCTCCCCTGAATAATAAGAACGACCAAACCGTCCATAGGCGCCGCTCCGAGACCGTTTCAAGCTCCTCCACACCAGTTAGCGGACCGTTGCAGAAGCCAAACCGGTATCCGAACCCCGGCTATCTTGGCTCATCCAGTTACACAACCCTGTTCGGTCAGCTGCCTCTTGGAGGAGGAAATTCTGCAGATGGAGATGGCTTCAATGCGACGCCCAAAAATGGGACAATCTCCGAGGCCATGGTTAACGAGGCCCAGGTGTCCCATGGAGCCGAGCTAATTGAGCAGCTTCACCGGTTCCCTCACATTCCGGCCTGTGTCAGACTCGTGAAGGGATGGCTTGCCACCGGTGCGAACCTGGCCCTCACTGAGTCGTTCACAGAACAATGTGCTGAGTCCGCCGAGCTGATTCTCACTGGAGCTCAACTGGGTTCGCGAACGGCCATCGAGGTGTCCCGCGACCTTTTCACTCATTCATGCCAGCCTCTTATTGTGAACTCGTCCACGACTATTGAAGACTTTACGGCGCAGTTTACCAATGATAACTCAAGATGGGAGAGTCTCTGCCTGTTTTTTATGTCGGTATCTAGAGCTGCTCTCACATTTCGCAGTCACAACCCCCCCTTTGATTCGGAGAAGCAGCGGAGAAACCTACGTAGGCTGTCAATGTACTATGCCGATCGATGCCTTGACATGTCTCTCATGCTCGACTGCTTGAACGACTTGCAGCTTATGCTCCAATACGAGAACTTTATTCTGCATACTCTCATTGACGGCGATCAAAGTAAGTTTCGCAACATCGACTTCATCCTGGCACTTGGTTAACAATTGGTTCTAGGCTTTGAGGCCTGGAGGAGGCTGGGTGATGTTGCCAGCTCCTTGTTTGCGCTCGGGTACCACCAGGACACCCACGGCGGCAGCTCGATACCGGATTTCCTCAAAGCTCTTCGGAGCTCCACGTTTGCCGTCTCCTATTCCGCCGATAAAAACGTCTCGATCTTCCTCGGACGCCCTCCACGAATCAACCAAAAGTTTTGCCAATTCAGTCGCACCGGGCCTGATTCTTATTTCTCTCACGAGTGGCCGCCGGATGCCCAATTCGACTCAAAGGCGGAATCGCGGTGGGCGGCAATCTGTGCGGTTCTCAAGGAGGATATCCTTGACATCTCGGGAGAGAAGAATCAAGAAGACAAAATTCGGAGAGCTAGGTAACAGCCCTAATTATTTACTTGAAGGGTATTTGACAACTAACAATTGACAGTATCATCAAAGCTGCGGCCGATCTGCAGTGGGAATCTTTGCCGGCTCACTTCAAACTAGAAGGGCCGATGAAATCGCAAGATTGCAGTCCTGTAGAGCTGGATAAGTTACTGGGTACAAAACTCAACTACCTTCATGTTCTATTTTTACTCCGACAGGCACTACGCCGTCGGACTTCCGATTGGGATCCCGAGCTGAACTCTGTCGCTGGGCAGATGCTGAGTTTGGTAGTGGAAGCGTTGATGTTGAGAGAAGGCCTTGTTAACTCCGGGACCTCGCTAGTGTGGAAGGTAAGCGGATCAGCCAGATATCCGAAAGAGCCTGTACTGAAATTGAATGCCTGTAGGTGGTATATTACGGACTTGCTGCCGCGGGTGTGATTTGTCTCGCACTCCTGCAACAGGGCCCGGCTACAGACTGCGTCGAAATGGATACGTCCAAAGTGTTCCGGGAACTGGCGGTCCTCGTTTCCGAGGTCGAGCTGGGCACGCTTGTCTACAAAGAAGATGCCAACTACGCATTGCTAGCCGGCGCCACGAGCACTATCAAGAATCTCATCGACAGACTCTCCTCGGGCAGGTTTGATCAGTTCCGGGCAACGCAGAGTAATGTCGAGGCGGCAGCAGAGAATGCATCCCCTGTAGAGGGAGAAACCTGGAATCCCTGGGGAAGCGCGAGTGTTCAGGATTTCGAGTCCAATTTCTGGCTCACCCTGGCCGAGCACCCGTTCTTGATGAGTGAAGAATTTGGCGGGTAAAGAGTAGTTGAGATTTTGCGAATGACGCCCTATTCATATTTCGGCCTATTGGAAATGAAGACTTCGCTGGGGCTGGGGCTGGAGAGATCGACGGGATCATAGCGCCTTGTTCCTTGGTGCAGCCAAGGCTTCCAAATAGCGATCGGTGTGATAAATCTTTGGTTAGCAGATATTTACGAAGTGGGTTGGCACGGACTAATAAGAGCAGAAGTAGTGGTGATCATCTAAAATACCATTTTCGAAGGACGAAGGAAGTAAACTACCTACGTCATGTTACTACTGTACTTGGTGAACAAGTGGAAGTGAACCTATAGGGAGGCTTACAATCAGGAGTTACAATGAGACGATATTCCATATAGGCAGGAGGTTCGTGTTCTTAAAAGATTTCGATACCAGTTACGCCGAGTGATGGGAGACTTCTCTTCCTAATCGATTGAACGTCGACGCTAACCTGATCAACAATCACCTGTTGATAGGTACACATAAGCAGCAATCACAAGAGCAGAAAACGGTGACACAAGTGTTCATTAGAAACCTTTGCTTGAAAGATAAAAGCCCATCGCCACGCCGCATGCCATTACATCCACATGTTCTACACCCGTGACCGCCTGTGCTCGCTCTTCCCGTTGCCATAAACGTGTGCGTGGGTAAAAGAAACCCCTGCTCGTGTCGTCCGATATGCTGAATTCCTGCCGGCATCCATCTCTTTATCGCGTGAAACAAAGAAGCCCAAAAACGAGCAGCACCAAGTGGCCCAAGTTGGGCAACGCGGCAGAAGGCATCGCAGGGCTTGAGCTTGAGCCTCCGACTCCCAGGGTGGACCAAGACTCGTTCTTTGGCCAGTTCAGTCGTATACAGTCGCCAAAAGCTTTGGCAGTGGAGAAGCCCTCCTCCTTGATATTCTTCTGAATGCTGTCTGGAAGCTCGCATGCGAGCCAGCAGTCATCGTAGACAATGATGGGCGAATCTTCGCAGCAAGTTCTCACAGCACCTTCGGTGCCGTTGGTCCAGGGGACCCATCCAAACTTGAGTTCAGGGTTCAACACATGATCAATGCCGGCGGGGACCGAGTCACTGCGACAGCCTTCCGGAGCTCGTTGAAAAAGACTAGGCATGGTTTCTGGCGTTGAGAAATGTCGTGTAGGTGAAACGAGGCAGTGTTGGTGTTGGATGAGGTAGACTCGAAGGGGACAAGACGAAGGTCGGGTCAGAGTATCTATGTAGCATTGATCTTTCGGGCTTCAGCCAATTATGAAAATACCAAAGTGCCCACACCCTGCCCCAGACGCTGGGTCATGTCCTTCCATCGTGACATCACGCAGGGCGGATCAAGAATGGGTCTTTTGAAGCTTGGCATAATCTAACCAACACAACACTTCATCTCTGTCCTCTGGAGGTGAACCTGGAGTCTTTGGCATGGCTCGACTAATTATAGAAAGGAGTGATTGTGGTCATTCCGGGCACTGCCTAGTATGGAACCCCAGCTCATATCAAGAAGAAATTCCGAATCCCGCGGCGGCTGCCTTGTTGAGAGCTTGGCATGGCCGCGCCCGGCCATTACTAAAAGCAGGGTGTGGTTGTATCTCTTATATTGCGTTCTTCTCCAATTTCATGAACGAGCTCCTGGGTTGTAGTCCAAATACGATCTGCGACAGGGCACTCCAGCTAAGCATGGCGTTGTATCGCAAGGATGATTTGGCGTCATAGCAGGTGATTGGGTCGATAGAAAAGCTTCGGGGGCTCTTTCTAGCCCTCCATATATATCTTGCATCCATTGTCGGGAAGCATTGACATGCAAGATTCCAATGGCGGGAGTTCCAGGGGAGAATCTCCTGGGGATTGGGTTGGGTTGGCCGAGTCCATCGTCCCTCTACGCCTGGCATGGCATAGTGATTTGGCACCGGCTGCCGCGTATTAGAGCAATGAGATGCCTTTATATCCTCCCCTTTTATGCCCCCCCGTAGTTCTTAGACGGCTGTCGTTGTGTTGATGGAAATTAAATGCACACAGCTTCTCGCATTTCAACATACGTCTCGATGCTGAGGCACGCTGATAATCAGTACTGGCGGTGAATTCTTTCCCTCATATGCTTCAGATACAAAAAGAGCTGCTTGCCGGGGTCGCGTTTCACATGTTTACCTATAGCAAGCTCATTCTGGCTGGCAATCAAAGCCCTGTTTGAGGTTCTAACCCCAGACCTTGTGTCATTTTCGTGACACGTGGGGGTCAATTTATACCGGTGGTCGATGGGGCCAGGCTCAGGGATGTGCAGAAGCTGCAACGTACATACACAGTCACAGTGGAGCGTCTTGTGCACGATGCAGATTGTTGATTCGTCTCGACGGCTGCAGTACGTACGTAGTAGGCGCTTGGGTGGATTGTCTAGCATTCACCTCTGGGAATTTTGATCATGCGGCGCCCACAGTGTGATGTGTCGTAGGCTCATTCGAGCTGCTTATTTCTTGTCATCTCGACGCGTCGTACAGATTTGCTCAAGTGACGGTGAACAACAGGGCCAGGGGCAAGGGGTGGTCAAAATGCTCAGTTCTTTGCTACATTATCAGTCGAGCCCATCTGACAGAAGAAAATAAACGAGAAGGTCTGCAAGAGAGTGATTTCTGCCTGAGTAGAGTCAGCTGGAGTGATAGGAAGCGACGACCTAAGTGTCGAGAGCGATGGAAATGGCGGGAGTGAGTGGTGACGACCAGGTTGATGAACGTGATGGGTGGGGATGAGATGAGAGTGCGCGCTAATGTACCTGCACGTCCAAGACCGTTGTATTGCGGAGCTTTCTAAACGGATGTATGGCTCCTTTTGTTTTGGAGAACATATGTATATATATTCACCCGGCCATCCCTTTTGGAGTTCAGCCAGCACCCTTCTCCCACCTCACGGATGGATGGATGGATGGTGGGCTAAAAACATGCAATGCCTCCCCGATCCCACGAATTCTCTGAGGCATATTGCAAAAATGGTCTGGGAGCAACATATAACTCATCCAAGGACCGTTCCCGATTCTAGGAGCAGCTGGAACAGGGAAAATCCCTCATCGAATGGTGGCTGATCGGAAAGCCAAGATTCTATCCCCAAATGCCGAGAGGATCTCGTGTAATCAACGCACTACACACTCACGGCACTGGACTTTATCGGCAACCTCAAGCTTAAAGTGGACGCGACCGTCCTACGAAGGGATAAATGCGTATGGTGATCTCTCTTTGGTTTCTGGGCCCTTCTGGATTGGGGTCTGACGGATACGCCCGAGCCATGTCGGCCCAACATTTATCGCCCGTCAACAGTCGCAATAATGCTTGATCATGCTTCGATCATGGCACGCATACCACCACAATTGAAGCTAATGAAACAGGTACATTTTATCCATGACAAGGCGATATGAAATTACAACGTTTTTCATATCTTAGCACGGATATTGATCACGAGTCACCAGCATTGCTCCGCAACGCAGCACATTTAATCGACGCCAACCACGCTGGGTTGACGACTTTTCCCAATAACAAGTCGTACAATCTTGACCAATATTGGCTATAACATATATAAATGATATTCAATCATCTATGTATAAAAAAAAACTCGATAAGCTCTGATCTGTTGGTCAAACAAGGGTTCATCGACGATCTTGGGCAAGTCGGAGATGCGCTTCGACTTGTATTAAACAATGGGCTCGTCCCATTGATGAATATCTAGAAGAAAAACCCCGGGAGAGACTATATCTTGTCCTGCGAGCCCCCAAAGCGGATGAACGGCCGCCTAGACATAAGAAATACCCGTTTCCTTCACCCATTGCTCGCCAACCGCAAGGCCAAAGACCTATTAGCCACAGTATCAGAGATATGGAGCTGCGATATAGGCTTTAAAATGAAACGCGAAGAGCATTAGATGTTCCTTGTGGGAGAATTCATGGGGAAATAGACAAAACCACGGCCTCCAAGCCCGACGTCGAGCGTTTTGCTCATTTTCAGACAGAAAAAATCGGCAATTAATAGAATAATTGATCTACGATGACTTTTAAGTACCAAACGCAACATACAAACGTGATAGATATAGGGAAATAGCTAATTAACGATATATATCGAGAAAAAACGGACCAATAGCGTGGTGTATGTGGCTGTCTCAAGCCATGTGAGCTGGGGTGCGGCTGACCAATCCCCAAGCCTGGACACAACATTACGTTTCACTTCACCCAGTGTACATCTAAAGTTTGATCTTCAATGCCGGCATAATCTCAAAGGCACATGCCGTTTCGGCCTCAGCCCTATCCTTGGTCAAATTGGGAGATGATTGGATGCTGTAAAGGCAGTAGTGTCCACCATTCAGTCTTCCCTGGCCACAGCCGAGAAGACAACGCCGCGTCAGCGTCCAGGTAATATCACGCATACATTTGACCAGACTTATTTTTAAATCTTACGGACGCGTCGAAAGCGTCTTCGTGCAGTGCCGGTTGATATATGACAGGATTGCAACTGGCTGGAGAGCCATTACGCTGGCGCCAATGCTCCTCCCCATTCTCGACAGTGAGTGGAAATGGAGGGTGGCGGGTGACTCAAGGACCAAGCAAGTGACCCAAGGACCGAGTGGGTGGACGATAATTAACGGGTCCCAATCAAGATCGATGAATATGGATGTCGAGAAGCAGGTACACGCCAATGGGATGGGTGGGAGGGGGTTTTCTGCTGGGCAGACCTTGAGCCTGGTGACACTATCCCTTGGGAAATGATACGTCAATCGCAGCAAGCTTACGAGGGGCCGAGGGCAGGCCGGCAGTGGTCCAATATGATGGTCAGCAGGTGGCTGCCTATACCTGCCATCATGCTAAGTGTGTGGCCATGGCCGATGAAGAGAGTAGATGATGGAAAGGGTCGAATCGATGTCTTGTATCGATCCATGGGAAATCTAAAAGAAAACACTTGTAGTTGGTTTCCCAGTAGGCATCCATTCTCAGCCTAATTCATCCATCCCACCAAATGAGTCTAAACAATCCCTGCCCACGAAAATGCATTTATTTATTTTGAATTTACAGGCCCTGAAATTTTAGCGACGCCCGCACGCGTGGCCTGGTAGCAAAATTTCCCTTAGTGGGAACCAGGAAACGGGCGTCGGTGATGCTCCAGGAGATTGCTCCGTTTCCGGGTGCCGGGACAACCAGATCCCATAACGAAGGGGGCTGCATGCGAGATGAAAAAGATTCAGGGCTGCAACCGGCAAGCGACCTGGTGATATTTGTGCCATAAACTCTTGAGAGTGGGTGTCATGGGAAATGGAGACAACATAATCCAGTGGTTGGGAGATAGTGTTGCCACCTATCGCGCGTAGTTCTCTCCCCCTGAATTTTGGAAGCCACATGTCACATAGAGAGCCAAATCCGGGTTTCTCAGCGCTCTGCACCTATCATCTTTGGTGTATTCGTTATTTCAAGAGTTTGCTACGCCAGTCGTCAGCCCGAAACAATCGAGATGCCACATAGATAAGACGGATGCCAAACCGCGCGCTGAGACTCCATGACTTGGTACTTCCGATGGCCATCAGTTATCCAAAAGTCTCTGCATAACGGGAAACGTGTCTGAACAAGACGGGCTGATGCGTCCCATCATCCCCTGCGATGATTGCAAGCCCTAACCCACCAATGCCCTGGAATAGATTTCGAAACTGCCGAGGGCTTGGAAGACGCGTCCAGGCTGACACGGTCGCGCGATGTTCCCGTTGGGTCGGCAACGGGCACTCTCGAAACCAGGGATGCAGGAGCTTCCAGCAGATGCTAACTAACTAAAAGCCTTTGCCTACCATCTATTACAGCACCGCCACACCAAGGAGGCCCCTTTTTTCGACTCAGTGGCCCCATCTCACTTGTTCGTAGGGATGATTAGCCAACCCACTAGGCTCTGACCCTTGTTGATGGCCAGGGGAGTTACTAGACGAAACAAATCAGAGCTTCCGTGAAGAAGCATTATTATTTCTTTGCTTATTCTGAAAATAGGTTGTGGATTGCAAAAATCATAAAATTAGGGGTATAAAATGGCATGTCCCTCGTTCAAGCTTTACTCTCTGTCTTTGACAACCGACAATCACATAATAATAAACAAAAGAAACACATTCATAAGAAGTCAAGATGAAGAATGCGATGGAGAAGCAAGATACTGCTGTCCGCAACTTTCAATACATGATCTTCCCAGAGTGGCCCGTCCCCGAAATTCCCAAGCCGGATTCCGGACCTGTCCTCGTTGAACTCAAGGATTAGAAGGCCATTTTTTCTGATAGTCTTTTACTGTGAGAGAGAAGATTAGTATAGATGTTTGCAACACTACGATTCGATGGTTGTGGGCGGTCCTCGCGGTTCAGGCGGGTTCGGCAAGTGTTGCGGTCTAACAGTGAAAACTAGTTGAGACGTTGGGAAAGGTACGTACGGAGACGACAATCTTGATTCAATACCCAGCCAAATAAATTTACTAACTCGGAGCGGAAGGAGCAGAGAGTTAAAATTAGGGACGAGTGAAGTTGATGCTTGATTGGGGTGTCTGATATATTTTAACGGATCGATATTCGAAGTACAGAGCGTCGCAGTCTTGAAAATTATCTAATCAACTATCCTATCCGCATACACGATCTAGTCTATCTTCCTTGGCCATCGTGATTGATATCCACTCGCATCCGAGGACGATCCCTGACCCCAGAACCCGAGAGAATCCTACGGCCCGAAGCGCCGTTGTCCATGCCATGTCCATGCCAACTATAATGGAAGGTGATATGCCACACAAGATAATAGGTATGGTCGTCGACTATGCGCCTCATTGGGATGTCCCACAATGGCAATAGCGTCGATCTGTTTGGCTCGTCCTGCCTCGGTTCCGCCCAATCATCTCGTGCATCCTCCAGCATGTACATATCCATGCGGCGAGGTCACGGTACCTGAAGGTACTCGACAGCGTGAGACAGGATGCTTTCGGGCATCCACTCCCCACCCAAACCTCCTCGAGATCATATTATATCGGTGTCGCCTCGTCGCATCGGAAGTTTCGATTGGAGCTTGGGTCATGCGGGCTCCATACTCGTTTGTCGCCTTCTCGGGGCCAAGCAGGAGGCTGTTGTCTGTCGGTGTGACGCTGCATGAAAGGCAGCTGCAAGTAATCGATCATGACGGCAGCCCAAGCACCTACTCCAAGATAATCAGCAATCCGCAGCGTGTCCGATTGAGCAAGGCAGAAGTACTTAATGGTCCTTGATTCCCAGTAAATGATGGAGGAAATGCCCAGATCAAATACCACAAGTCGAATAGCTTACAATTGACTCCAATTGACTTTGCCTCTTTAAAAATGCCATCTGCCGACAGTACACAAGCCGGGCGCGCAAGCGTCATCAGCGACCCTCAGCGTGGGAATGTTGACTCGCAGGGGATTCCACTGGAGGCTCTTGCAGCAGCAGAGGCTGGCCAAGCCGGTGTTGAACAAGGTAAGTGTGGCCAGCAGGATAGGATTGGAGAAAACAATCACGAGGGATGCTGATGTTGACAGTAGATGTCGCAATAGAAGGAGAGGACCTCCAGTCCGGTATGCTGCTTCCAGTCGTCTTGACATTGAGGAATGAGCTAACACCCAGACAGCCTTCGCCAAGATGCTCAGCGCCGCCAAGATCCAGCAGATGGATTATGTGTATCGGGCGGTCAGGATTTATCCAGAGGCCATAGCTCTGGCAAGCTTTCGCAAGGCCGACCTCGTGCACAAGTGCTATATGCGGGCGTGTGCTGCCTTCAAGGCTCGCGACGACGAGGCCTTGCCCCAGGTCCTCGATGAACTGTGTGACAAAGTAGACTCCCAGCGTAAGTCTTTTGCCTTCGTATGCGATGACCTACTCTCAGTGACACCCATTTCAGTAGCCCTCATGCAAAAATGGCAGGCAGTCGAGGCTCTTCCTACATTAAGCCATCGCGATCATCTGCGTCTGGCACAGTGCCTCAGTGCCCGCGAAGGCATCATCGACGAGATGTGGTCTGGAAAGAGCGGAGAGTGGAAAAAGGTCAAGCCGATCCCAAAGGTCGAAGACCTGGCAAGATCCGCGGCTGTGGCTATCAAAGACCGGATTCCCCCATGGCTGGTATGTGATCTGTGGCTGCGTATCGCTTCGAGTGCTCACTCAATAATCGCTGACACTAGCTTGTGGCTCAGGCTTGGCTTCTGCCCGAGGAGGAGGTCGAAATCAATGGCAGGCCAGCTCGGTCCATCAATATGCACTGGCTGGTCAGGGTCATTGCCACGGCGATCATCTTGGGACCCTTCGTCCTCTTTGCAACGCCGATCGTTCTACTGGCGATGGATGCCTTTGCAAAGCAAGTGAATGTTGCTATCCTCGTCTTGTCGGCCATGGGGTTCTTCATCTTCCTTGTTTGGTGGGTTTCAGGGCAGAACGGACAGAATACAGATAATCTCGTGTTCTTCCTCCTTGCTTACACAGCCGTGCTTGGAAATATCAACATCGGAGGCAAGTAGTGGCGATTTCAAAGGGATTTCGTTGCTCTGGATCGGCTCGGTGTGGTCTTGTTGACTGGGTTGGGCTGACGTGACTGACTGCGGAGGTAGTCGAGCTCGATAGGTATGTCAATACTTGGCATGTAGTTGAGGGACGAGGCCATTAGCCTCCTCGATGGGAGAGGGAAGTTTTCCGGGGCTTTACTGTACCTAGATGGAAGATCTGTAGGACATCTCAATAAAAAAAATCGGTATTTGCCTACCAAGAAATTCGGGGGTGGGGGAAGCGCCTCGTGGCCGCCGAACCATTTTTGCTTGGAAGCTTGTGAATAAGTAAGGCTGGCGGGATGCGCGACGAGAGCTGCCGCGCAGCATCTTCCCGATAGAGGTAGATACCTACTAAGCAGTTGAAAATAAGTAACTGACATTCGTCGTGAATTTCCAAGGCACGTAGTATTCAGGCACATGTCACTCGTACATAGGAAGGCAGAGAAACGAGCAATGGCAGGCGAAGACCCGGCGTCTCCCAGGCAATGATTGTGCAATTTGAAGCTTAACCAAAGTTCCTAATTCGTTCGATTATATCAGGTACTTCTCGTAGTACCGACTGGTTCGGCTTCCGCTACCTCTGGGATGGCACCAATATAACTACCTGTGTACCTAACTACATACCTCTTTATGTACGTTTGTCCTACAGACACGCAGCAAATTAAGTTTATTACTACTAGAAATGCATATCTGGGGTACAGCCGGTCATGAATATCTTTTAAACATCCAAAAGTTTGCATCTCAAGTAGTGACGGTTTGTATTATTCTCTATGTCTATGTCTGCATAAAATGGTGTGGGCCTATCAAACTGTCTCCCAAGCCGATTCTCAAACGATGTCGTTGCCCCTGCCACTCCCAACTGGAAGCCACAGCCGCTCGATTCATAACAAACGCGTGTAGATGATACCTAGCTGTGGTCGCACAAGCCTTCCAAAAGCATCCATGGGTCATCAGGAGGCGCTAGCTGCTGCGAGAGCCGTCGCTTAGCTGCTTCATTCACCGTTCTTGGCCTCCGAGCATTGTCCCTAACTGGACGAGTCAGATAAGGTACGAAGTACTTACCTTAGTATGCCGGCATGCATAAGTATAGTCTACCTGTCAGTCATGGCGTGCAAGGTTGCATCCTTTTCCCCTCTCCGTCAATCATCACTCTCAACTTTCCTCCTTTCACTCCACCTCCATTCAAATTCACCATGAGACTCACGCTCGGCGATATCCAGCGATGTGGGAATCACAATTTAGGGCATCAGGGTGCTCCAAAAGCTTTGGTTTCTGACCCCTTCGAGCCCTGTTCTTAGACCTGGTGAATAGGCCGGAACCCTGGCAGCAGTAAGTAAGCCCAACCTCCTCCTCAAATTTTGCCAGCAGGGAGCAATTTGTAGTCCATTCAGTTTCTGCATAGAAGCTAGTGAAAGCACAAATAATTGATAATTTCCAGCATTCACATTCATCTCGACGATCAAACATGCGGCGTCGTTCATGACTTCAATTTCGATGCGCAGCATGGGCTAGCCGCGCTCCGCTTTCCAGAAAATTGAAATTGGCAAAGCCAGGATGCTTTCAGCCCTCTTGTTTCATCTTTATCTTTTCTTTTTTTGATCTCTCTATACCCAGGTTGGCAGTCCCTGGGGAAACCCAGCTCCTCTTCTTTGATTGGACAGTACTGCAGGTTGGTGTCACGTGCCACCCTCTTCGGCCTCACGCACAGGTACCTTCTTCGGTCTTGCACGAGACTCCTCGGCGGCCAGCCAAGAGCTCGATGGTTGAAAACGGGTGATGGGATTCGGATTCGTCGACTGCTACGAGGATATATCCTGTGATACGACGTCATACCCAAATGGATAGCCGCTGGGAGGCAACATCCCACTTCGTCGCCTCGCCATCCTCGATCCACGGCTAGGGCCATCGCACTCCAGATTGACGACACATCAGCGTGCACAAGTACGCTGCATGCCCTTCGAATAATCAGGCAATCTTCAGACCGCCTTCAAACGGTTATTGCTCCTCTCGGTCATGATCAAGTCGGGGTCATACTCGCGCCTCGATATCCACAAATTCTGTTCGCCTTGATCCGCCCCCAAACCTCCGACCCCTCCCAATCGCCATCTCCGACGTGTCGCGACCGCGCCTATGCAGCGAGCATAGCCTACGTATCGTCAACGTTGCGAGCGCTGAATGGCCTGTCTCGACCGGTGTCGGTATCAATTGAAGCCCGGTGGAGGGGATGCAACCACATCCTCGTCCGATGCAGCGCGCTCTGCATCGTCGCCAAGAAGCACAGCCTAATCACATCGCCATGTACTCGCATGTACCGGAACATCTACATACATTGGCGGGTCGGGCCTCTCTGGGAGGCGGCCGTGTGGTGGCCCAGCCACCATTGAAGGGCATCAGCTGCGCAGAAGACGTGCATCTCAGGATCTAGATGCGCATATCGGCCCCCACGGCGATGCGGCTGACCCAACGCCTTGAGCGATTGGGCACCCGCTGATCAATATTTTCCTCTCTCCGGTCTTCACCGCCTGCACGAAGCTTGGAGATTGCATGGCCTGAAATGTCGAAATGGGCCGAAGAACAGCTCGGAGATGTTTGCGCGTCGGTCGTGCGCATCAGTTTTGGGTCGCAATTGCGCCTTGTCCTGAGAGCCAAGCATCTCAGTTCCTCCGAGATTTTTTGCGATACCATAATGAGTCACGCCGGCCTAAGTTTGGTCCTGCAATAGGGGTGTTGGTCGAGTAGTGACCGCTAAGGTAGGAAGGTAGGTGGTGTGCCTTTCGCTTTAGCCGTTGGGCTTCACTCTCTGGCAGCTCAGCGGTTGAAGTATGATGAACGCCTCTCCCATGTTCTACGCCATAATTTACTGAAATATGCGTGCCAACCAGTTGCAGCAATTGGATCTCGTAGTTAAACAACTAATTCAGTGAAAAGAGGATGGATTTTGTAATCGTCTTCATTAGTATTGATCTACTCAACATCCCACATGCCACATCTAACCCAAACACTCTGCGCCTAAACATCAAACATTGTCATCATTAAATTTGCCTCGCATTAAGCACCATTTCGGTAGACCTGTGCTCCCTGGTTCCTGAACATAATGGTATCACGCCGTTGCAAGATCATCAATGCTCTGTTCAGCGCTTGCTCGCTGTAGCCTTTGCCTTCCACCATCTCTCGTCTCAGTGTGGCCAGGCTGGTGCTCCAGCCGATCGGCAATCGCCTCTTCAATTCTGCTTCAACTCTGGTCGCCTCGTCGTTCAACTCTCTACTGCCCTGGTTACTGCCTTGATTGACAGCATCCATGGTAGAGCAGATGAAAAGCCGAATGGCTTCATTGACGTGCCTGACTTTGGCGATCGGTTCCAATTCCAGCTTCGCCAGTGACTCGGTTATACGGACAATGGCCTCCAGCTGACGCACGGTGATGGGGATCGATGAACGGCTGTTTGCTTCCATTTCGGCTGCATGAACCTGTCGGCGAATGGTGACAAAGTGGGATGATAACATCTCGGCGGCTTCCTTGTCCAGGCGAGGAGCCATTCGGCTGTAATCATAGTCAGTACGCCATCGTAGATTTATGTAAAGGGCCAAAGGACTCACGTTTTACAGTATGTGATGTATCTCTTCATCTTCTCGACGGAGATTTCAGCCTCAGACGCCTCCTCGACACCACCTCCAGAGTGTAAGCTTAAAACGTGCTTGGCCATGGTCTCATCCTTGGCTCTGGAGTGCTCATCCTTCACGATGAAGATCATATCGAAACGAGACAGAATTGTTGTCTGGAAATCGATGTTCTCTCCCGGTGTTTTCATATCATCGTATCGTCCGAAGATGGGATTGGCAGCGGCAAGAACAGATGTTCGGGCATTGAGAATCGTCGTGATACCAGCCTTGGCAATTGAAATTGTCTGCTGCTCCATTGCTTCGTGAATAGCAACACGATCTTCATCGCGCATCTTGTCGAACTCGTCGATACAAACAACACCGCCATCGGCCAGAACCATGGCACCACCTTCAAGGTAGAACTCCCTCGTTGACTGATCGCGCTGGACTGAAGCGGTCAAACCTGCTGCGGATGAACCCTTTCCTGACGTGTAGATGGCAACCGGCGCCGCCTTTTCCACGAATTTGAGCAGCTGTGACTTGGCAGTACCGGGGTCACCCAGAAGGAGGACGTTGATGTCTCCTCTGAGCTTCATGCCGTCGGGAAGGATTTTCTTGGACCCGCCGAGCAGGAGACAAAGAATAGCCTTTTTGATATCGTGGTTACCGTAGATGGAAGGGGCAATGCATCTGGCCATCTTTTCGTAAAGATCCTTACTCTTACTCATTGACAGAAACTCTTGCTCCTCTTCTTCTGTGAAGATCATGTCGCCCTTGGCACCCTTGTCCAGGCTAGTAGAAATACCGACCGCCCTGAGGTAGGGCGTTCGGATAGCCACAGCTCCGCTTGTTGACGAGTTCTTGGACGCTTTGTTCTGGTAGATGGAGAAGATGCCCATAACAGTACATCTCGATCCAGGAACAACGCGGTTGGTCAGGTATCGATCTGCCGACACCAACACATGTCGAGGCAACTCTCCCACCGGCACCTGGTCAGGGGCCTCTTGCAGCTTGATAATCTGCTGGTCGACAAACCTCGACTTCTCGTGGAGAACGAAGTAGGGGTCAAGCGGACACTTGGGTGTTTCTTTATCTGCAGGCCCACGCTCTCGGCCGCACTGGCGGGGAAGGGCCACGCCAGTGAAGCCGCCAAGAATGGGAATGCCAGTTTCGTACCCGCAGGATCTGCATTTGAGCTCGAGTACTGTGGCTTTGGACGACATGACGGAAGCGCCAATGACAATTCCGGGTACGCGCACTAGTCTCGCAATCGTCATCGAGTCGAGGTTCCTGATGGAGACATCGTCGGCATTCGAATGAAGCAGCAGCTGGTGGCTGGGGATCTCGGCCTTGGGGTCGTGAGGGAAGAGGATCCTATGTGTGCATTTTGCCAATGCAACTTCGAACTATGACATATCAGGCTTCTGCCGGCAAAAAAGCACACTCGTGAGGGGATAGCCTACTAGTGGGATGATGTCGGCAGGCTCAGTTGCGAGCCGGTGTGCCAGCTCCTCGTTGTAGGAGATCAGGTCGTTAATGTTGATATCGCAGTAATACTTCTTCAGAAGCGCATTCTCTTTTAGCTGGTCTCTGCGTCCAGTTTAGTATTGGGTATGATAAGAGCCCACGGGAATACGCAACGCACCTGTAAACGTAGTTGTTGTCCAGTCTGAAGCCGAGGACGAACTCTTCAAGCTCTTTCTGCAGCTGGATGCGAGAGTCGGTGGCGTCGTCGAATGTGGGATTATATGTGCGCGTCGAGTAAACTGATTGTCGATCCATGATGGGCTGCAAGTCTCTCTCCTTGCGGATTGAAGCGACTGGCAAACGAGTAGGCTGGCTTGGGTTTGGATTTCGACCTGGAGGGAGAATGAGGGGCTTGATACTAATAATTTCAGACTGGTTGCTGGGAAGAACTCGCGCGCGTGTTTCGCGTTCGCGTAAAGTGGTGACAGGGGTCTCCCACCCGACCCACCAAAAGGAGCTTCGCGGCTGCTGACTAAGGCGAGCCGCAGCCTGCTCCAGGTGGTCTCTTTGGAACTCGTACCCGCAATGATGAGGTATCCTTTTGATGGGCGTTGGAGCTTATTCTTGAATCGCAATTCAGTTTCTCCGTTTGACATTGGCCATTCGCAACCCGAAACCATCCCAGAGCATCCCCAGAAACTCCAGATCAATATTCTCAGTACCCTGCGATGATATGCCGATAGTTCCCAAGCTCCAGCCGTCAACACCAGCGTTGTTGGTGCTTCCTTCATAGTCCTGCGATCGCCAACGGCGGCCAGTGTCGACAACAATGTTCAACTCGCCGAGCGCCCGGAAGTCCGTCGACAGCTTGCATGCCCTTCCACCAACAGGCCGTTCAGAATATCCCCTCCATAGGTGCGCCCAACCCCGAATTATGCCCAAGGCTTCTGCTGACAAGTTGACGTAGTCGAACTGGACGATCAAGCTCACGGCGCGGATCTACGGCGAGCTCTATCAGGTCTTTTGGGGGAGGAGATAATTCCTCCAGCAATTGGACTCACTCTGTTCATGAGACCGGGCAAAATGGTATGTCCACTAGCCGGACACCCCACTTGAGCATGTTCTAAATGTGTAATGTAGCGATCTCAACATTACTGCAGCCACCCATTGTCCGAACCGGCCTCCTACCCCATGTCTCGGCTCCAGCCTCGAGCGCACACAAACCACCGACGGCAAGAGATATTCCACCAGTCACTCTCACGAACATATCCCACGTTGACAATGACGACTTCTCGTCGTACCTCGCGCAATTCACCACGCTATATGAGCAACTTCGGCGTGTCAAGGAGAGCGAAGTAGACACAGCAGTAATCCGGCGAAACAGCAAACAAGACGAGGAGGCAGAAACGGCAAGTACGGATGGGTACCTACGCCCGAGTTCAAAGCCTCCGATGGGTCGAAAGGGGTCCAGTGCTTCGCTTTCATCGATAGGTTCCACTGACGCTCCCGCTCCCGCACGTCGAAGGTCAAGCTCCGGTTATGGCAGAAAGAGTGCCCAAGGTCCTGCCCCTCTATCTACGATCCCTAACGTTTACTTCGACGAAGACTTCCATCTCGAGAACCCCCGGACATTCGATGTTGTTAGCGAGAGGTCAGAGGTCATTACTGCGAACCGGCCAGGGGAAAACCAAGGCGATACAAACGGGGCTGTGGCGGCTCCGAGGAAAGCCCTTGCAACCAACGCCATTTTGCAGGAGAAGCTGTCCTGGTACATGGACACCATTGAAGTGCATCTTGTCAACTCAATCTCGACGGCATCCACCACATTTTTCAATGCTCTTGGCGATCTGAAAGAATTGCATTCCGAAGCAGCCGAGTCGGTTCGAAGAATTCAAACCCTGCGCAATGAGCTAGATGCCCTTGATAAGGAAGTCGTCTCTCAAGGAGTGGAAATTCTTCACAAACATAGGATCCAAGAAAATCTGCGGCAGCTCGGCGATGTGGTTACGCAATTAAGACAAATCGTTGACGGCGTCGCAAACTGTGAGGCCTTGGTAGATGCTGGAGAAATTGATGAGGCGCTAAATAGCATCGACACCCTGGAAGACCTGATTGCAGGTGAAGTAGATCAGAGTGGTGAAGAAGCACCTGCGATCCAATATCGGGACCTCCAGGGAGCGCTGGCTTTGCGAGGAGTGGATGCAGACCTAGCAGCCCTGCGATTCCGTATTGGAAAGGCTTACGAGACAAAGTTTGTCAACATTCTGCTCGGTGACGTTCGCCGTCATGTTGAACAAACGAATCACTCAGAGGTTCTGCTGCGCTGGAGTAATGCTGCATCCCGAGCAAAGGGAGGGCATGCCAGATCTCCCTCCGTCTTCCCTAGCTACCTCTCGCAGACCGATGAGTTAAAATCCCAGCTACTACCTACTATGATGGGGTTGGAGCGATCGCACTATGTCGCTGCAGCAACAGCTACATACAGAGAATCCTTGCTGCGAGAGGTCAGGAACTTGATCCGACGACCACTGCCGAGCTCCAATGACGACGACAACGAGTCAATGATGTCCAGTTCAACAGCTGGTGGAGGTAAACGATTGTCCAACCAAGAAAAGTCCTCTCTCCTTGCTCGAAACTTGAGGGCCATGGATCCCGGCGATGCAGAAATGCTTCTGACTACCGTTTACATCGGTGTTACAGAAACATTGAGAAGGCTGACCACTCAGACTAAGATCATCATGGAGGTCGCCATGTCGGCGGTTGACCCCATGGGGCTCGACGGTCTACGATCCCCTCCCATCAGATCGCCAATGAACAGCCCCAGGCCTGATCGGTACCCGGCCAACCCTGCATTGGCCAGCTCTGAGCTGTACGAGGAGCTACACAAGACACTGGACGTGGCGAATCTTCTTGGCCAGGCAATTGATGTGGCAATCGAGAAGATTGTAAAGGTGCTGAAAGTACGGTCCGAGCAGGCTACCAGCCTCCCCCACGATTTCTTCCTCCGCTACTTTACTCTCAATCTATACTTTGCAAACGAATGCGAGTCTATTTCAGGCCGGAGCGGTACATCTCTCAAAACCGTGGTTAATGGTCACATCAGGGATTTTGTGCAGAAGAATCGCGATGCAGAGATGCAGAAGCTTGCGCAAGGCATGGAGTCAGATCAATGGGCTGTAAGAGACTTTACCGAGAAGAATACAGAGCTCTTGGGGCAGATTCTTGATGCAACTACGCACGACAATGCGGCCTGGACAGAGAGGACCAAAATCTGGATCCCGTATAGCGAGCTGGACTCTATCGAGAACGACTTGGAGCCAGAGGCGAATGGAACAAACAAGGACAAGACTCGACCGGCGATCATTGATACGGAAAAGTTCATCCTCCCCAACTCTGCTGTTCTCTGTCTCCAAGGAACGGCGACCTTCATGCAGCTGATTTCAGGCATTCCATCCATGACGACCGACATTGCCTCGTCTCTAGTGGCATATCTGCAACTGTTTAACTCTCGTTGCACTCAGTTAATTCTGGGTGCAGGCGCAACTCGATCGGCTGGGCTGAAAAACATCACATCCAAGCACTTGGCACTAGCAGCACAGGCATTATCCTTCATCTCAACGCTCATACCGCATATCCGCGAATTCGTGCGACGACATGCGGGGTCAGGCTCGGCTCTCACCAATCTCATGGGTGAATTTGACAAAGTCAGACGGCTCTTGCAGGAGCACCAGGATAATATCCATCAGAAGCTCGTGGATATTATGAGCGGGCGTGCGGCTGCCCATTCCAAGAGCCTAAGGGCCATCAACTGGGACACGCAATCACCCAGCGGCACGCGACCTTACATGGAGACACTGGTCAAGGAAACAAGCACCCTCCACAGGGTTCTGACCAAACACCTCCCGGAGGCGGAGATCAAGATGATCATGGGACCAGTGTTCTCGAACTACAAGGAGCATCTAGGCCAGGCCATTCGAGAGTCCATCATACTAACACAGCCAGGCTACGACAGGTATGTCACACCGTTCCGGCTTCATGCAGCCCTTGAGACTTGTCGAAACTAGATGTCGCTAACTACTCAATTAGCCTGATGCTGGATTTGCGGTTTTTTACGACGAAACTAAGCAAGATAGACGGTTTCCTAGACGCCGGCGATACGCTCTCCGAAATCGCTAAAACCAAGAGACCAAGGACGCCAGAAGAACCTGACTCGTCCGGGGACCCAGCAGAAACAGAGCCGCAGCCTGAAAGCTCAGGTTGAAAACTGCCATTCATCATCCGTACAGGCGCTGGGAGGAGTTAGTTCTTTTATTTTCGCAGCTAGCCATCTATCCGATCATTGGCTTCATCTCCATAATTCACCATCTCATTGACACTTAGCCACGTGCATTCCCCCCCATCTTGCGTACATGTTTTCAGCCATCTATATATAAGTAGATTGTATCGTGCCCCGTGGAGAAAGCGTTTCCATTCATGAATAGACAAGGACAGATTCCGAGGGTGCACGAGAAACGCTAAGAAACTCTAAGAACAATCAAGTGATCACCCTTCTCGCGTGGGAGATCAATGGGAGGCGTTATCGTTCGAGAGTTATGCGCCGTGTCCCTGAAAGCCCGGTCTTTGTGACAGAAATTCTAGCGCCGGTTCGAAGGCGCCTAGAAGCCCAGAAGTCACGGATCGAAAAAGATACTTGCGACGTTTTTTTCCCGACCTTTTCCTTGACTCTGCCACGCGCCAAAGGGGACGGGGTGCAACAAGGTTCAGCACTACCGTTGAGAATGCATCATCCCTTCGGCGCCTCGCCCCCTCCCATCCATCCTTCAAGCACCGCCATCACGTGGGTTTCGGCCTGGCGTCGGGATTCTTCCCAAAGTGCACGGCGCCTAAAAGTCTGGCCCGAACCGAATCAGAAGCAAAGAGGAGAATGAAGGGAGGGAAAAAAAAATCATCCCGCCACCCGCAATGTCCGGAACAATGGAGTACGAGTCGCGACTGAAACGTGTGATTCCTTCTAGAAGAAGCTCGACACACAAACGAACCCGTGTGGGGTCGTCTAGAATGCCACAGAGCTTTGCCTTCCAAAATACAGGGGGAAGGCGGGGGGCTTGCTCAGGGAGAAGGTCGTTCGCAGAGCTGACACGGCTTGTGCGTCAGGCTGGTTAAAGTTTTAAGCTTTGGTTCGAAGGAATCGCGGGTCAGCCAGAATAGGCATCTGGGAAGAGGCACGACCAGGGACCCTTCGATTGCGATCTGCTTCGTTTTTTCCTCGATGTGTTGAATGGAGCGGCGAGACCGTGGCGAAGGCCGGGATGTGGTTTGAGAGTTGGTTGCATGTTCTGACGACATGTACAGGTCGAGGCGTATTATGGGCTGGCATAACGATACTAGAGGTCTCCCAATCCCCCTTTACCAAAATGTTGGCGTGCATGCAACCGAGGGGATATTTGCTGGCTGCGGCTCTCGGTAATGCAGTTACTACATCTTATGTGTCTAACAATTTCAAAAGAACCTCGCATAGCAGCTGCAGCATTCACGAAAGTATTACTCCGACAATCCCACGGCTCATTCTCACAGCGCGTCGTTCTCACGTATTACGCGATGTTGCCAAGGTGGATAATGCCCCATCAGGCCTCCTGCGCCGGGGTGCGAGGGCACGATCGGAACATAGCACAGTAGCATTCCCACTGGGTAGCTGCAGCCAAGCCTTTTGGCTCTGTTTATTCTTAGATCTCGAATCCAGAGGGCAATTGATTGTCCATCGATCATCGATCGATTTGCACAATGGATCAGAGGAGAGCATGTGCCTTTGACCAGTCGATCAACACAATCCAGAACTGGATTTTTTGCCTTTGTCCGCGTGCTGCGCTAAGACAATCGAACGCAAGGGGAGTCGCGATTCCGAACAATCAACAGACTCGCCAGCCATCCATGTGGAGAGCCAGTCAGCCTGCAGGTCAACAAAAGTATCATGGAGTACGTGTTGTACCGTATTCTACGTATACACCTCTGCCCTCTCTGCTTTTGTTATGATGCCACTGCAACCCCCCCTCGTCGCGACGAGAGATGAGTGGCGTGGTCTCTAAGATTTCGTTCCCCAGTTAGATACCACATAGTCGGCGGTAGGTAGATGAGGCCTCCCCTTGCTCGAGGGCTGTGCTGTGCATCTTTAATAAAACATCCACACTTCGTCAATGGGGACGGCGTGTCGACGGTGCTGGAGCGGCCTGGGGGCGTCGTCAGCGTCAGGCCGGGCGGGTGGTGCGGCCGCGTAGCGGATCATCCCTGCGGGCCAATCTCAGGACACGAGAGGGTCCCGGCCCAACCCCTGACAACGTGCAGGTTGGTGGTGTGTTAGCCCGCATAAAAAATCAACGAGATGGGTTATGTCGAGCATTGGAGAGGTGGAAGATGTGAAGAATCAATCAATGTCTATGTCTATTCCATGTTTATCATCTGTGTCTATACAAGAAGCAGTAAACGGAGGCCAATTGGGTCTAATATGTACAACGAAATCGTATTTGCACTAAACAATAAATGATGTTCTAGGTGGTAGAGAATGTATGTATGCGCAAGTTACTCTTGCAGCATATGTATAACGAATGTTGTGTCCAAAAACGAGAGCCGGTCCCGAACGCCAGAAAGGGGCGAACTAGCCTGTGGCAAGGCCGAGGGTATCAAGCAAGTGCAAATCCCAAATTGTTTCATAAAGGGTGCTTCCACGAAGAGCAGTGTTGAGCACACTGCCCCGTCGCGTAGCAAGAAGAAGCGAAGAAAAAACAGAGTAACAGATACTGCGCCGATCGTCCCATAGTCTATTGATTTTTCAACAGGTGGTGTGCCTGTCTTTCTGGGAATTTGTTTTGCTTTTTTGGTGAATCATGTCTTCGTGATTGAGCGCTCAGCGCTAAATGGCACTGGCACATGGTAGCCCGGGGAGAGGGGACTACACCAAGAACAACGATTGTTGGACCTTAGACAAAGGCAGCGAGCTGGACGGGAGTGGCACCGACACCCAGAGTCTGGATGAGGTCAGTCTGCTCGGTAACCTTGGTCTGGACATCATCCCAGAGGATGTAGAGGGTTTGGCAGCCAGCCCAGGAGCTTTGGTCGCAGCCGGACCAGGGGCCACTCTGGCCGGCGGGCCAGAGCTTCTGGACGTTCTTCTGGTCCTGCAGGGTCGGGTCATCGACGGCGGAGACGTCGAAGTAGGTCTTGCCACCCCAGCCTCCGAACTGGACCTCGCCAAGGAGGGGGTGGGCAGCCTTGGCCTCGCCCTGGATGGTAGAGTACCAGTTGCCAACGTAGTTGTCGGGGAAGGTGACAACGGTCTTCTCCTTGCTGCTGACGGTGACGGGAGCAATGGGGAAGCGGTTCTCGTTGCTGGTGAAGGTGACGGTGCGGACCTGGTCATCAAGAGTCCAGAAGGTGACGGTGGCAGCGCTGGCCATGGCGGCAGAGCCGAGGAGACCGAAGAGAGTGGTAGCGAACTTCATTTTGATAGTGTTGTTTGTTTGTTGTATTGGCTGAACCAAGTGATCAGGATTGTAAGCGACTGTAAAAGTCTAGTGATAGAGTGAGAGTATGGTTGTTGGTAGTGATTCTCGAGACCTGAGCTCAGAGAGTACAAGCAAAAGAATATGCTTGTAGAAGATTGGTTTGGTTGAGAGAGTGTTACGGAACGATGCCGTGTAAAGAATGCAGACTTCCAAAAAGAGTGGGAAGAGCTGTGAATGAGAGTATAACAAATGATTGTGTTGTAGAATAAGGCTCGAGATTGAGTAGGCTGGGGATGGGCGAGATCTTTATACATGATGCGAGCCCTTGGGGAGGACCACAGACGTGGCAGACCAGACCAGCACCGGGATCCCTGACGGCGCGCCATGACTAGCAGCAGCGGGAGCAGAAACCGTTCAGAGCCCAGACAAGGCATGTGGGCTCGAAATGTGCTCTGGTGCTGCATGGTGCCCAGGCACATCCATCAACCGGCCAGGAACAAAGGGGCAAACGCGCGGTACCTGGCAGACGCACAGTTGGGAGGGATGGGTGGAGCTCGGGGTCCGATCGGGGTCGACGCTGGTTGGCTGCAGACAGGCCTCTGGGCCCTCTGATTCGCCAGCTCCCGGGGCCAGCAAGGCAACCGATTGCCCCGAGCGCTGGCAACTGGAGCTTGTACGCTGTAGCGCCGGAACCACACCCGCAATGTCACTGTCGCCGCCCCTCCCCAGCAGCCTAGCGCTGCAGCAGTGATGCCTGACAACGCAACCAGGCACAAACTGACCCGGACCTGCGCTAGAGGCAAAAGGTCGTGTGGGTAGGCCCGTAGCACAGTCCACTATCCACCGTGGTCAGCACCTCACCATAATGCACTGACTCAGTGAGTCTGCTCTGTCCAGAGTGCCCCGAGCAAGCCAGTCAAGGAGAAGGACAGAATGGCCAAAGATGCAGACATAGATGGATGTCTGGCAATTTCACACGTGCAAGTGAAAAAGATCTGGCCAATTGTGCCTATCGCAGCCCGAAAAGCATTGATGTGCGCACTAACAAAAACAAGCTCGTCCTGCTTTCTTTTTCTCCAGCCATGGTCTAATTCTGAAACCGCTGTGGCTTGCTGCTTGGCCCACCTACCTTACTCTCATCAATGACCAAGAGGCTGGCAGAAGCCGTGTCCTCCCACCACCACCAAACCATGTATTGCGCTAGTTGTTGTACTTCGTCGAGGCGGCGGTGATGCATCCCAACGAAAACCCTTCCTTGGCAGCTTTCTTATTCATCATGTGAGGGACTTCTTGTCCTCCCTCGCTCTTCTCAGTGTGTTCTAGTCACTGCTCACGGTCATATTCCCATTGGCCAGTATCTTCAACTACGTGGCTAGGGCAATGCCTTGTCAAGCCTGAGCTTGGCCGTTTTGAGCCCTGGTAGTGCATTCTTCCTCGACACATGGCGACCAAAGGGAGTGTAGACCTCGAACTGACAGTGAGGAAATGAAGGCTATTGTTTTTCTTTTTCCCTTACCCCAGCTTATCACCCCTTAAGGTGGCATTTAACATTGGCGGGAGGTCGCAATTTGAGTTGTGAATGAAAGCATAAAAGACGGGATCTGATTTGACAGGTGGCATGGTTGCTCAGGGCGAGCAAGCCACCGCCAACACCTCCATGACCACCGCAGCTAGGGGCAGAGGGAGGGAGACGTTTCCTTACTCGCCACACATTGTGACAACAATAATGACCCACCAAAAGTGTCCACCTGCAGGTTGGATGTGTGGCCTGGCCAAAAATTCTTGCGTGTTGGATGTGAGGGGCTCAAGGCTTGCAGGGCTGCAATGGATGACAATTCTTTGCGAAAGAATAGGCTCGAGCATCTTCCACATGTCAACTTGTCAAGTCTGGATCATGATCACACCCAGAGGTGGGCCCCCTTGCCCCGGCCCTCTCGTAAACCAATGTGCCTGCCGATCTTTGCCTCGAGAATCGCTCAGGTCAGCTTGCTGCCAAGTTAGTGCTCCCTCTTGAGTGAAGGTCGCAAAGAATCGTATCCAGGTCCCGCTCGCCTGCAGTGATGGCTGAGAATCCAGAAAGTTGCGGACTCGTCCAGTTCGGATGAGATGTACACACTGTATGTATGCACTGGTGGGTGGAACCAGCTCTGAAAACTCTTCCATCAACGCCACCAATGCGATCACGCACTGGGCTCCCTGCATATGCATCTTTTCTCATCACAATGGCGGTTGAGCAGCTGAGTGGGCGAAAATGGACCACAGCGGGAAAAAAAGTCCTTGCCATGGACTCTGTTCCGAAAGTCCCGATGGTGTAATACTGTACACCACGCTGCGGGGAAAGCTGTTGATGCGTTGTCAAACCTTCTCGCATGCTCTATAATGGCTCATTGGCCAGCCGACCTACTCAGCTGGGAGCACATGAGAAGCTGCCCAGCTGTTGGTCTCGCTGACCTGAGTACCTTTGACCGGTTTCGCTGCTGGAAAGTCCAATCGGGATAGATGCGTCGGTCTTTGCCAGCACCTTCAGAGTCATGCCACACCTCACCGCCGCCCATATGATCGATGGCTGGTGACTATTGCCTTGGGATGACAGCTATCAAGCTAGCAGCGAGGAAGGATTGTCGGATGCATGTCCGCGGAAACAGCAAGCCGGCCGAGGCTAGATGTCGCGCCCAGCTGGGGACGAGGCGGGCAAGCTCTAGTTGGGCTGAGAGCTGACAGGAAGAAGAGGTTGCCGATTCATGTGATGGTGGTGCCGGCGGCACCAGGATTGAGGTTTGGCACAATTCCAGAAAATGTCGCACATTCTAGCGGCAGATCCCGACTCAGCCAGGCCGGCAAGACTCTGCCAGTTCCGGCACCAGGCATCGAGGAAGGATGAGCTCCACTGCCGCTAAAGTGCTTGCATTGGTCCGGATGCGGACATCCAGTGTATTGTGGTAACTTGCGCGAGTATGACGAGATGGTTGCTGCCTGACAGCATGCGACTAGCCCGGTGTAGTTTTTTAATGCTCTCTTGGAGGGGGGAGCGGGAAAGACTCTCTTGGAGGGAAGGACGGAAAGACGGGGCGGAATGCAGGTCCGAGACAGCCATTGGCCAGGTGGGTGATGGGTGGGTGGCACCTGCCTGTCGTACTTGCTTCCGAGAGTGTGACGGTGATGGCATCTGCAGGAGAATTTTTTTAGAGTTTGGTGTTTCCAAACCAACAACCACGTTCATTCTTGCGCGGCTCCTCTCACCCTCTTCTCTCCGCTATCCGGTTGGTGAGATTGAGCCGAACCCCACCCACACACATTCCTCGCCGAGCTTTCACCATTGCAACATTTTGTTGTGTGCCCTCCTTTTATCAATTCTGTTTAGTGTCAGCCCATCGGAACTAGATTCCCCATCGCCCTCATGGCGCAGAGCGTGTCTTACAAGGCGAGGCCTAGTACAGGCTCGGGTACCGCTCAGGATGAATCCCGCTCTCCCGCCGTGGGGGATGCCACAATGCATGATGATGATCAGAATCACCGGTTCTTTCTAATGAAGAATCTACTCGTTGATACATCAATAACAATCCCCCATTGCACACCATTACACATGGTTACGGTTGAGTAAACCAAATGCTGATCATGTCGAGCAACTGGATGCACGCGGTTGTCAATAAATCGTACCGCCTAGAATAGCAAAGACTTCTACCTCAACTGGTGCGATCTTCTCGTCCCAGGCAGATCTATTCTTGGAAAGTCGCCGCGTGCCCACCGAAGTCCAACTCAAAGGCGTGAAGCTTAAGGTTGTAGATCGATCGGCAAAGTTGGTGAGACAGCAACTCTCTCTGACACTCGCCAACACCAATCCGAACATCTTAGAGAATCCAAACGCCATGTCCGATTTAGCTCCGTACAGCAATAACGTGAATAGGTATTTTCAAACCCACGGTTATGGGAAGCCAATGGCATCAACAGCTCTTCACGTCATTTGGTTTCCAACTGTTGACATCGTTGGGACCTCCGCCTGAATGAGGATGAGTCTGTGAGAAAATAAAGCTTTTCGAAACTGAGTTTAAAGAGTTTTTGTCACTAAGAGGTGATTGCCCGAGATGGACAGAGGCAATTCCCATGGCTGGTGGTCCACAGCTTGCATTCCAGTACTTGTTGAGGAGGCCACGGATGTCTCCCATTTCCAAACCCGGCAAACTGCCTTGCCTCCAACAATCTTGTCACACCAATACTTCATCTTAGTCCCGGTTGGCGTAAAAGTTATCTCTTGGCCATCGGGAGCTGTCCAAGCTCCAGTTGAGCTGTCAATGAGCTCTCAGGCATTAGCTAGTCCCGGCAGGCAGCTTCACTCGAGATTCACAGTAGTTTATCAGCCGTCTTCAACCAACCGGATGAGACAAGAGCCACATTAGCTTGTCAATCTGATTTGACTCACTATTCAAGTTTCCCATGTAGGGCTCAGGGTTTAGCAAAAAGGCATGTCGATCCCCTTGATCGACGATCTCCCGGTAGCCTTTCCCTGTTCGTCTAGTTAGGGAGCCAATCATTTTACATGCAAAACTAACAAAGGATCTCTTGGTGGAGGATCTACTCCTCACACATGCTTTCAGTTGGTCTCATGTCCGGTTCGAGTTAGATGCCCATCATATCATGGTCAATAAGGTGTCTCAACCTTATTTCCTCCGCGGATACTACAAACCTTCCCATGTTGGCAACTCAGATTGCATCACCAATCCCAGTGGTATACTCTCACCTTACCAAGGGCGGCCAGTTGGTGGAGTCTATTCCTCGTACCGTCAGATATGCTCTTACCAGTTCTATCTTCCGCGCGAGAAATTTTCATCATGGTCGCTCTCCAGGATTCCAGTTCTGAGGGATGTACTTGCAGTCGAGGTACTATTCACCATGGCTCGTGTGTGTTCTCAGGAGTTCAGCCTTGGCAAGGACCTTGATCAAGGTCACTGGCTAGTCAACCTCAGTCTCTACTCTCTCCCAGAGCTCATCTGAGCTATTCCCAATCTTGGAGACAGAACCTTCTTTGCTCGTTAGCCATGTCTTCCGACAGCTGCCTACAAATATCCCCTCGATATCCCCCTTGATCCAAGATATGGATAGAGCTACTCCTCATCTCTTCAACAAACAGCTTAGAGTCACACTGGACTTTGACGACAACCGAGCCTCGCTCAGTCCCGCCGACTTCATCGTCTCTCGCTAGTCAACCTCAAACCCGTTCACTCGCTACAGTCGCTCCCAAAATGCGATTCACCGAGTTCATCGCGCCAATGGCGCTTCTTGTCACCGCGGCCATGGCTGCACCCCAGGGTCCTGGCGGTCCTCCTGGTGGCGGCCCCGGAGGTCCTCCTGGTGGTGGCCCCGGTGGTCCTCCTGGTGGAGGTCCTGGTGGTCCTCCTGGTGGTGGCCCCGGTGGTCCTCCCGGAGGAGGTCCTGGTGGTCCCCCTGGTGGCGGTCCCGGTGGTCCTCCTGGTGGCGGACCTGGTGGTCCCCCTGGTGGTGGTCCCGGTGGTCCCCCTGGTGGTGGTCCTGGTGGTCCTCCTGGTGGCGGCCCCGGTGGTCCTCCCGGTGGTGGCCCTGGTGGTCCTCCTGGTGGTGGCCCCGGTGGTCCTCCCGGAGGAGGTCCTGGTGGTCCTCCCGGTGGTCCTCCTGGTGGTGGCCCCGGTGGTCCTCCTGGTGGTGGTCCTGGTCGTCCTCCTGGTGGTGGTCCCGGTCGTCCTCCCGGAGGAGGCCCTGGGGGAGGCCCTTGGGAAGGTCCTTGGGAAGGTCCTTGGGGAGATCATCCTGAGTGGTGGTCTAAATCTGTGGAACCTACTTGGTATCCTCCTTCTACCACTTCTTCTTGGGGTACTTGGACTTCTACTACTTGGACTTCTACTGAGACTACCGCCTGGCCTACCCACACTAAGCATCCCAAGCCTCCCAAGCCACATAGCTCTGGTTATTATCCAAAGCCTCATCCCAAGCCTCCCAAGCCACATGGCACTGGTTACCCCAAGCCTCACCACGAAAAGCCTCACCATGAAAAGCCTCACCACGAAAAGCCTCACCACGAAAAGCCTGAACACGAGAAGCCTCACCACGAAAAGCCTCATCACGAAAAATACAAAACCACGACCTACTATGACTTCTGGGAGTTGTATTGCCCTGTACGTATCTTGCTTCTGTGAACAACCAAGTTCTCGGGTCTAGACAATGTCTAACAAATTCATTAGGAACCCACCAAGGTGATTCACAAGGGTGTCACCTACGAAGCCCTCCAGCCAACTACTTTGACCATCACCAGTACGTACACCATGCAAGCCTTGAGCTCTGACCCGTTCCGCATATCATATCACTAACACGTAGACAAGACTGCCCTTGCACCGTCACTATCCCGCCAACAACCAAGCCTCCGCCGCCCCCTGTTACAAGCAAGGCGCCGCCTCCACCCTCCTCGGTTGTTCCTCCTCCCAAGACCACTACTCCTCCCTCCTCGGTTGTGCCCCCTCCCAAGAGCACTACTCCTCCCTCCTCGATTGTGCCCCCTCCCAAGAGCACTACTCCTCCTTCTTCCGCTCCTCCTCCCCCGTCTTCTGCTCCTCCTGTTCCTCCCGGCAGCAGCTCGGCCAAGCCTCCGGTGGTTTCTACCTCCGCTCCAGCTCCCGGTCCTGCTCCTCCTATCCCTAAGCCTCAGCCTCAGCCTCAGCCTCAGCCAGCTCCTCAGCCTGCTCCCCAGCCTGCTCCCCAGCCTGCTCCTAAGCCTCAGCCTCAGCCTCAGCCAGCTCCTCAGCCAGCTCCTCAGCCAGCTCCTAAGCCTGCTCCCCAGCCTGCTCCCCAGCCTGCTCCTAAGCCTCAGCCTCAGCCTCAGCCAGCTCCCCAGCCAGCTCCTCAGCCTGCTCCTCAGCCTGCTCCTAAGCCAGCCCCTCAACCTGCCCCAGCTCCTCAGCCAGCCCCTCAGCCTGCTCCTAAGCCAGTCCCTCAGCCTGCTCCTGCTCCTCAGCCAGCCCCTCAGCCAGCTCCTAAGCCAGCTCCCCAGCCTGCTCCTCAGCCTGCTCCTCAGCCAGCTCCTCAGCCTGCTCCTAAGCCAGCCCCTCAACCTGCTCCTGCTCCCCAGCCTGCCCCTCAGCCAGCTCCTAAGCCAGCACCTCAACCTGCTCCTGCTCCTCAGCCAGCTCCCCAGCCAGCTCCTCAGCCAGCTCCTCAGCCAGCTCCTGCTCCTCAGCAATCCCAGGCTGCTCCTGCTCCAAACCCAGCTCCTGCTCCTGCCCCTGCTCCCTCCAAGCAAGCCGTCCCGGCTGCCGCTTCCACTGAGCGCGCTGGCTTCGGTGCTGCCATCTTTGTCGTCGTGGCTGCCCTGCTCTTCTAAGGGATCAAACCGGCAGATGAAAACAGGCTCTGCAAGCTTCCTTATTAGGTACTTCAAAACCCTCGGGTGAAATAATTAATTGTGACTTATTGTTTTTACTGGTTGGCTAGTAATATTCGGACGATGGGGGGGGAAGACGAGAACCTGATGCTTCAGCCAGCTCTATGTCAGTCGGTGACGGAAAATCAGGGGGGGAAATTACGCGTTAATAATAATATAATAATAATATATGGTTTTCATTGTTTTCAGAAACTTGGTCATCGCCTGCGTGAGTTAACAACAAACAAACAAACAAAAAGGTTCGGCACATGAACATCAAAGGAAAGGTCTGGGCTTCGGAGCAAACCGAGTTGACTAGCTTTCCACTGCCACGCTCGTGAATTCAGAGTCAACTCCTTGGGAGCAGTCACCAATGCCTTCGGATGACGTAAGAATCAAACTGTACCCTCCGTCTGTACATCTCTGACAATGTGTTTGCACGCCTTTTCCTCCGGGTCTGCTAGCCCGCAGGATCGTCAAACATTCCAGACGCCTCCAGCCTCGACCTGACCTCGCGCACCAGGGCCTTTGCCTCCTCCACCTCAACACCGTCCTGGCACAGCTCTGTGGCCAGACGGTTCGCTGTGTGGTAGTCGGCCGTCCGCATTGCGAACCTGGCAAGCCACATGCGAGCTTTGCTGGTGGCTGCAGTGACACCGGTCCCTTCGTGCCCGACATTATCGGCATCCTCGACCGTGCCGTCGTCCGACCCCGCCGGAGAGTCGTTGTGGATCCTCACCGACTCTGCCAGGTTCCCTTGCGCCGCCTCGCCGCCTTCTTCCTGTGCCACGCACAGCTCCATGTAAGCCTTGGATTCCTCCTCTTCCCCGAGCTGATCGTACATTATCGCGATTTGCAGGAGGACGTCAGGATCCATCTGTCCTGTAGCGGTCCGACCGCCCAGCATGTCACCGCCACTGCCGAAACTGCTACCAACTTCGTAATAGGCGTCCACGAGGAGTGCTCTCTTCAGCGCCTTGATGCCGTCTCGCTCCCTCCCCATCTTCTGAAGACATGAACCCACAGCCATCCACATCTTACCATCCCAAGGACGCAGACCAGCCGCTTTCTTGTAGTACCAGAGAGCATACGTGTGCATTTCAATCATCTCATATGTCTGGCCGAGACCGTACCATGCGCGGTAATCCCTGCGGTTCACGTCGACGGCTCGTCTGTATGACTCGATGGCTGCGTGGGTGTTTTTCAGCTCGACGTATTCGTGGCCCATCAGCGTCCAGGCGGATAGGCAGGATCTATCAAGGGTCAACGCCCGCCGGAAGTATTGCACCGCCTTGTCGTGCATGGACAGAAGTGAGTAATAATTGCCAATGACGACGCAGGACTCTGGGCGGAACCTGTCAATACTAGAACAGATGTGTGCCAAGAATGCCAACTTTGGTCGCAGGTTTAGTACGTATAAGATATTAGAGTAGTGGTCCAGGGAGTCGAGTCTGTGCGGATGTAGAGAAAGTAATCGGCCAAAATGCTGCTCTGCAGCCATGAGGTCCTTAGAATGGTACGCCAGCAAGGCATTACATGTGAGGAGAAAGGAGGACGTGGGGAATATGGAGAGAAGCTGCTCCAGAGAGCTTGCGAGCCCTGAGGACTGTTGGTAAAGTTCTAGTGAGGTGTGAAGGTGGAACATGTATGAAACAATATTCTGAGGGCATTCGGCCAAAATTTGGTTGAGCTAGAGGCAAAAATTTAGCAGGGAAACAGTTGGCTTGGCTGGCATAGGTGACATACATCCTCGACTCTAGAAATGAGAGACGTCATCTCGAGCCAACAACCCCAGTTCATGGTATATTTGTGAACGCTTTGAATGAAGTAGCTCAGGGCCTTCTTATCATTCTTTTCTTTCGCGAGAACCATTCCGTAGCTGTAGATTTTGTTAGTTCCACTTCGCTTTCCCATCAGAGCAAAGGACCTACAGATACTCAAGCCAGCCCTGACTGCCAGCAATATCGCCCTCCTTGGTTTCCCGCTCCTCAAACCAAGTTGAGAGATAGCGCCCGACAACAAGCAACTGCTTGTTGAGAATTGACCCCGCATCTTGAGGGCCCATGACCATCTCGGTGTCCTCATTCCTCCTCTTCTCTCCGGATAGAAACTTGGCATATAGCGCAAGAAACAGGCTCTTCTGGCTGATCTTTGGCAGTTTTACAGGTGTGGAGGTTCGATTCGAGGTTGTAGCCTTGGCCTTGCCTTTTGTCTGGGCTGTGGTAGGCTCGAGCTTGGAGTTGAGCACGCTGGAGAGAAGCGAGTCGGGGAGAAAGACGGCGGCGCAACGGTCATATTCGCGGCAGTCGAAGAATGATTTGGCAAGGAGGTATTTGCTCAGCTCTTTTGCCTCTAACAAGGCCTCTTCGGGGTCTGAGTTCGGGGTATAGATCGGTGAGGCAGACTGTCCTTCGATGGTAACATCCTGCTCTTCGGTTTCGGGAAGCGCATTGAGAAGTTCGGCGGCCCTGGCATGTGCATTAGCAACCCGACAAGCAGTCAATGGGATCGGCTTCCAATAAATAATAGCTTACCATTTTGAGGATTGATACAGGCATCTCTCGGAGCACTTCACCACTGCGTCCTGCAGGGCAGCCCGGAGCTGTGCTATTTCGTTTGCGCTCAAGGACATGGTTTCGTCGAGGCAGGAAACAATGTCCTATATATCAGAGTCGCGACTTTTCCACAGCTCAGAAAGTTGCACGCTGGGCACTCCCCGGGGACAAAATAAATTTCCAAATCATAAAATCATAAGGCAGTCATTTTCTTCGTTGCTCGCCCAAACAGGTCTGTGATACCCTCAACGCGCCCAGTGACAATAAGTAGTAGCCACAGCTGTCACGTAAGTGTCATACTGTACCCATTCCAGCCACACTGTCCCGTGTTATTGCTATGGAGCTGTGGCACACCACTTCCAGCGTCCCTGCGCCGAATCAGTGCGTTGCTGGTCGCACAGTTCTCCACACTGTGTCTTTTGCTTGTCTCAACCAGGAGCACCACTTGGATGCTCCTGCCCCCACCTAGCGTATTCGTTATCGTTTATCGGATCTCCAATAGGTCGGTCAACGCTGCCCCGCGATTGTGCCGCACGTAGGATGGGACAGGCAGGGGCACGGGTGACATAAAAAAATGAGGCAGCAATTGAGCTGTTGGGCCTGATATGTGACTCCCGGGTGTATTATCCGACTGGGAATACCACTACAGTCATAATAAAAATTGTTATCACTTACGTCGGAATACCTACCAGTTGATTGGCCTGGTGTATCATGTTTTATGCCCGGTCAGGAGTCCTAAAACCCCCGAGATTAGGTCCACGGCGGGGTATTCTTTTGGGCAATTGATAAATAGAGGGGCACTTTCCTCAAAATATGTTCCTGGCGGGCTTAACTATCTTCGACTAGCACGGCACCTCCTTTGTTTCCCCAGCAAGCGAGAGAGCGCATTTCTTGTGGAGAGATTAGTGTCTGACTTCCTAGATTACCTTGTTTCTTCGTTCAAACCAATTCGACTACCAAGCTATTCAAGATGGCGCAGAAGACCACCCTCAAGGAGTTCGAATCCGTCTACCCCAAGCTCGAGGAGGCTCTCCTTGACCATGTCAAGTCCTATAACCTCCCCAAAGAGCAGGTGGAATGGTTCAAGAAGGTGAGCAACCTTTTAGAGTTTCCGCGCCTCAATTCCAAGCTCCCAATTCGAGTTCACAGTGAGCTAACTACTGCGTAGAGTCTCGAGGTCAACCCTCTCGGCGGCAAGTGCAATCGCGGCATGTCTGTTCCCGACTCAGTTTCCCTCCTTCTCGAAGCCCCCTTGACCGAGGACCAGTACTTCCACGCCGCCACCCTTGGCTGGATGACTGAGCTCCTACAAGCCTTCTTCCTCGTCTCGGACGATATCATGGACAGCAGCATCACCCGCCGTGGACAGCCTTGCTGGTACCGCCAGGAGGGCGTCGGCATGGTCGCCATCAACGACGCGTTCATGCTCGAGGCCAGCATCTACTACCTCCTGAAGAAGTACTTCCGCTCCCACCCCGCCTACGTCGATCTCTTCGAGCTCTTCCAGGAGACCACATTCCAGACCGAGGTCGGCCAGCTCACCGACCTCCTCACCGCCCCCGAGGACAAGGTCGACCTCAACAACTTCTCCATGGAGAAGTACAGCTTCATCGTCATCTACAAGACCGCCTACTACTCCTTCTACCTCCCCGTCGCCCTGGCCCTGCACCAGCTCAACCTCGCCACCCCCAAGAACCTCAAGCAGGCCGAGGCCATCCTCATCCCTCTCGGCGAGTACTTCCAGATCCAGGACGACTTCCTCGACAACTTCGGCCTCCCCGAGCACATCGGCAAGATCGGCACCGACATCAAGGACAACAAGTGCTCCTGGCTCGTCAACCAGGCCATCGCCATCGCCACGCCCGAGCAGCGCAAGGTCCTCGAGGACAACTACGGCCAGAAGGACGACGCCAAGGAGGCCGTCATCAAGAAGCTCTACGACGACCTGAAGCTCAAGGAGCGCTACGAGGCGTTCGAGGAGAAGCGCGCCGGCGAGCTCCGCAGCCTCATCGACAACATCGACGAGAGCGAGGGCCTGAAGAAGACCGTCTTCACCGCCTTCTTCGACAAGATCTACAAGCGAAGCAAGTGAAGAACAGAAAACCGAGTAGCTAGTGTGGCACGAGGCAAACGAATTTACGCATGCGAGTAGATTTAATAGAAAAGGGGACAGCCTGATTCTGAGACGTAGGAATTGAAAACGATATATAGATACTAAACACAACCCCAATGTTAATAAAGTACATATTGAAAGAATCCCCGATGAGACTCGAAAGGAAACCAGCCATAGGCATTTCCAAGCACTTCTATTTAAACATTGATTCCGTAAGATCCTTCTTTTTCATTCCGTCCAAACCTGCCCACGTGCACCTGACTCCATTCTCCTAGAAGAGGTATCCAAAACATTTCGCACACTATCATCAGTTTTATAACGCGGCGGGGGTACATTAACATGACAGAGAAAGCAAAAGAATTA